ATATACAAAAGTATGTGGACACCCCTTCAAATGAATGGATTCAGCTATTTCAGTCACACCCGTTGATGTGTATCAAATCGAGCACACAGCCATGCAATCTCCATAGACAAACATTGGCAATAGAATGGCATTACTGAAGAGCTCAGTGACTTTCAATGTGGCACCGTCATAGGATGCTACCTTTCCAACAAGTCAGTTCGTCAAATTTCTGCCCTGCTAGAGCTGCCCCGGTTAACTGTAAGTGCTGTTATTGTGAAGTGAAAATGTCTAGGAACAACAACTGCTCAGCCGCGAAGTGGTAGGCCACACAAGCTCACAGATCGGGACCGCCGAGTGCTGAAGTGCGTAAAAACCGTCTCTCCTTGGTTGTAACACTCACTACCGAATTCCAAACTGCCTCTGGAAGCAACGTCAGCACAAGAACTGTTCATCGGGAACTTCAAGAAATGAGTTTCCATGGCTGAGCAGCCGCACACAAGCCTAAGATCACCATGCGCAATGCCAAGCGTCGGCTAGAGTGGTGTAAAGCTCGCCGCAGAGGACTCTGGAATAGCGTAAACATGTTCTCTGGAATAAGGAATCATGCTTCACCATCTGGCAGTCCGGAGGACGAATTTGGGTTTGGCAAATGCCAGGAGAACGCTACCTGCCCCGATGCATAGTGCCAACTGTAAAGTTTGGAGGGGGAGGAATAATGGTCTGGGTCTTTTTTTCATGGTTCGGGCTAGATCCCTTAGTTCCAGTGAAGGGATATCTTAACGCTACAGCGTACAATTACATTCTAGACGATTCTGTGCTTCCACCAGTTTGGGGAAGGCCCTTTCCTGTTTCAGAAATGGTTTGACGAGATCAGCGTGGAAGAAGTTGACTGGCCTGCACAGAGCCCTGACCTCAACCCCATTGAACACCTTTGGGATGAATTGGAACATTGACTGCGAGCCAGGCCTAATCGCCTAACATCAGTGCCCTACCTCACTAATGCTCGTAGCATAATGGAAGCAAGTCCCCGCAGCAATGTTCCAACATCTAGTGGAAAGCCTTCCCAGAAGAGTGGAGGCTGTTATAGCAACAAAGGGGGGACCAACTCCATATTAATGCCAATGATTTTGGAATGAGATGTTCGACAAGCAGGTGTCCACATACTTTTGGTCAAGTAATCCTCCTGGAGGACTTATGCAACTTATACAAGTGAGTTGTGTGCTTTGAACTCTTTGAGAACGCCGATTGGCTTATGGCAAACAAGCTGAGTTAACCATAAACTGAAAGCACAGCTATCATGCTCGTACACAAATGTGTTAAAAAAACATGTTAATAGATTGCTTTTTATAAATGTTTTGTTGCATTTAACTGCAGAAAATGCTGTTATCAAGGTAATTTTCTTAGTATGTGATGTCAGAGTTCAGCATGTGGGAGAAGTCGGAGCTCAGAAATGATGAGTTTCCCACTAGTAATTACCAGTTGGAGGGGCATTCAAGTGGATTTTTCCCAGTCGTATGCTGGTATTTGAGAACATAATTTGAGGAGTCGCCTGAAGAATGGGAGATAGAGGAATACTGCAGTGCTGAGGCAGAGGGCTCATAGTGAGGACGACTGGCTACTATTCTGAACTTTGTGTGGTGAGCTTTCTGGCGCCCAGAGCTGCTGAGGCATCACCCAACTGGGTGCTACACAGTGGAAGAGAAGTCCAGTGGCTATAAGTCAGGCTGGTTCCCAGACTTGCCCTCTACAAGATCATCAGCAGACTCCATAACCATTACCTACCGTCCTCTGACCAGCTCTCTCAACTCAAGCCATGAACTGACCCCATCCCCCCGCTCTCTTCAGAGGATGCAGCTTTCAAAGACTTGGCATCTATTGGTTGACCCGTCATGAAATATTGCTGGGGTTATTTTTGTAGCTCGAAGCGCTTTGAGATTCTATGAAAAGCACTATACAGTGGGGAAAAAAAGTATTTAGTCAGCCACCAATTGTGCAAGTTCTCCCACTTAAAAAGATGAGAGAGGCCTGTCATTTTCATCATAGGTACACGTCAACTATGACAGACAAAATGAGGGAAAAAACATCCAGAAAATCACATTGTAGGATTTTTAATGAATGTATTTGCAAATTATGGTGGAAAATAAGTATTTGGTCAATAACAAAAGTTTCTCAATACTTTGTTATATACCCTTTGTTGGCAATGACACAGGTCAAACGTTTTCTGTAAGTCTTCACAAGGTTTTCACACACTGTTGCTGGTATTTTGGCCCATTCCTCCATGCAGATCTCCTCTAGAGCAGTGATGTTTTGGGGCTGTCGCTGGGCAACACAGACTTTCAACTCCTTCCAAAGATTTTCTATGGGGTTTAGATCTGGAGACTGGCTAGGCCACTCCAGGACCTTGAAATGCTTCTTACGAAGCCACTCCTTCGTTGCCCGGGGTGTGTGTTTGGGATCATTGTCATGCTGAAAGACCCAGCCACGTTTCATCTTCAATGCCCTTGCTGATGGAAGGAGGTTTTCACTCAAAATCTCACGATACATGGCCCCATTCATTCTTTCCTTTACACGGATCAGTCGTCCTGGTCCCTTTGCAGAAAAACAGCCCCAAAGCATGATGTTTCCAACCCCATGCTTCACAGTAGGTATGGTGTTCTTTGGATGCAACTCAGCATTCTTTGTCCTCCAAACACAACGAGTTGAGTTTTTACCAAAAAGTTCTATTTTGGTTTCATCTGACCATATGACATTCTCCCAATCCTCTTCTGGATCATCCAAATGCACTCTAGCAAACTTCAGACGGGCCTGGACATGTACTGGCTTAAGCAGGGGGACACGTCTGGCACTGCAGGATTTGAGTCCCTGGCGGCGTAGTGTGTTACTGATGGTAGGCTTTGTTACTTTGGTCCCAGCTCTCTGCAGGTCATTCACTAGGTCCCCCCGTGTGGTTCTGGGATTTTTGCTCACCGTTCTTGTGATCATTTTGACCCCACGGGGTGAGATCTTGCGTGGAGCCCCAGATCGAGGGAGATTATCAATGGTCTTGAATGTCTTCCATTTCCTAATAATTGCTCCCACAGCTGATTTCTTCAAACCAAGGTGCTTACCTATTGCAGATTCAGTCTTCCCAGCCTGGTGCAGGTCTACAATTTTGTTTCTGGTGTCTTTGACAGCTCTTTGGTCTTGGCCATAGTGGAGTTTGGAGTGTGACTGTTTGAGGTTGTGGACAGGTGTCTTTTATACTGATAACAAGTTCAAACAGGTGCCATTAATACAGGTAATGAGTGGAGGACAGAGGAGCCTCTTAAAGAAGTTGTTACAGGTCTGTGAGAGCCAGAAATCTTGCTTGTTTGTAGGTGACCAAATACTTATTTTCCACCATAATTTGCAAATACATTCATTAAAAATCCTACAATGTGATTTTCTGGATTTTTTTTCCTCAATTTGTCTGTCATAGTTGACGTGTACCTATTATGAAAATTACAGGCCTCTCTCATCTTTTTAAGTGGGAGAACTTGCACAATTGGTGGCTGACTAAATACTTTTTTCCCCCACTGTAGAAAAGTAATACATTATTTACAAATTTACTAGATGTTATGAATGCAGAATTATTTAAAGTGAGATTCCTGAAGAACCTGCTCACAAATGAGCCCTCTGATCTCACATCCCCTCAGCCTTGCCTGAACCCATACTGGCCCACACTCCAATAAATACACACGTTCATACTGTACATTGCTTGGTCCCCAAATGATTTCAGTGTGACTGGAATAGTATTGTTGCACTATATTTGCCCTCAAATGACACAGCTCTGGCACACTGCCCCTAATGCCCACTAATGAATGAGGCAACTAGCTACCCTTCCAATGGGATCCCATTAGACTGAATAAGGCGGTGATTGGATGAGGCTTTGGGATAAGATGTTCTCAGTTAGCCAATTCCACTCTTACCGACCTGCCAAATCCCTTTAGCTGGGGTAGGGGTTAAATAGGGGTAACCCTAAACCCATGGTCCATTAAGGATCCATCTGGACCCCACCCATGGCCCAGTCAACCCCTAAAACAGCTCATTAACGTGCCAATCAAACACTCACCCAGCAGTGAGGGAGTGGCTAACAAGGACAGAGGTAAAATTTGCATTCTGAGTTAACTATGATGTATTTAAAAGCAAGGGTTAGAATTATGTACCAGTAGAAATCGCTCCATTCCCCAACACCGCAAACAATGTTTTCATAAGAGAGACAAAATGTATAGGTAGACGTACTTTATTCCTAAAACAGAAGCTGCACCATCTGTAGTGGCACACATTTATATGTACACATATACACACACACACACACACACACACACACACACACACACACACAATTCTCTAAATCTGTCATATAAAATATATAATCTGACAATCTGTACCTCATATCCCATTTATCTGAATGCATTGAATTACTGTGCAACAGACTCTGGCACTATGGCTGAGCTGTAAGTCCTGTCCACTCAAAAGGAAGGGATATAAATGCCCAGCCTACTTAATCTGTACATCAGGGCAATACAAATGTCAATACCCTTTAAAAAATATTATACTCTAAAAGCGGCCTACAGCAAATTCACTTGAGCGGTTTCGGTTTTGTAATTCAAAAAAATGGATTACATTTTAAACCAATTCCTTTTAAAGTGAGATGGCAATACACCCTCAGATTCTTTATATATAAAAGATATTAAGAAATAAAAATTACACATTTAAACTTACAATAAATAAGATATATGCAGGCATTTCATTAGGATAACATTTTATCAGATTGAAATCTAAGATCATTAAAAACACAACTTATTCTCCTTTATGAAAAGTCCCTATTCCAAAATGTTAAAATGGACACTTGGCATTTGATTGATAGGATAGGACACCTTCAGTGCTGCCATGGAGACGTTGGCTGGGGGAGATTCCTTATGGCCATGCCCCCACCCTGAAGTGTTGAGGGTCCATCCACTCCAGGGAACCCCCTCCCATTAGTTTCATGATGATGTCCATAGATCCCACTTGATATCCTTGTTCAGAGCATGTTCATGATAAAGTTGTACATCTGGTTGAGCACCACAAAGTGAACAGGCAGACAGGAGCGCCGGTCCTGTGTGGCAGGGTCACACGTCAGCCAGGAGAGGGCGTTGTACTGCTCCAGCACAAACCTGTCAGGGCAGAGAACACATCACTATATATAACTAACTATACATTCAACTTACCCCTCTTTTCTAATAAACCTATGCTCTGCCTATCAAATTAATGTATTGCCCATTTATGTTATTTCATATGGCTTCCATTCAATATTGAGCAGTTTACCTGAGCACATCTGAGGTGTGGTTTGAGTCCAAAGGGTGTGAGTGTTTGCTGTGGAGAAGCTCATCTGATTGGACTGAGGACACGTGGAGGTGTAGGGAGGCCTGGGAAGGGACGACAGACAACAAGAGGTCAGCTAGAAGAACACCCAAACATCACACCAGTTACATTAGAAAAGGGAAACATTGAAATGACATGACTCCTGATCAAGTACACATTTAAGTAAAGCAGAAATGTGCTGCTGGGTTCTAGGACCAGAGAAGAACAAAAGCCTTTGGGAGCAGAGTGAGTGTGAGGTTAACTGTCAGAGGAGCATTAGGTAGGTAGGTACCTTGAGGAACAGTGGGCACTGGTTCTGTGCCTGGGGGCAGGCTGACCAGAACCAGTCAGGCAGGGGGCCAGCCTTTGCTGTGGAGATGAAGTAGCCCAGAGCCATAGGCTGCTGCAGGATGTTCAGGGCCTCTTCGTGGGACTCCATACGGTCTGTGCTCTGGCCCTGGAACACACAGGGACATAGGGAGACACCATCAATCCTTATTCAATCTTCATTTATTCATAGTCAGGTAAGCATCCTCCTGCTGGTAGTGTTGTGGAGGGGCAGAGGGGGCTTACCTTGCTGCCGTCTCCCCCCTGGTGATAGTGTCCACCGGGGGAGTGAACGGGGGAGGTGGTGGGAGAGTTGGGCAGGATATTGATGAGGTCAGGGTCCACCATGTCGTTATCAAACAGGTCAAAGATGCCCATCCCATCTGAACCATCTATGGAGAGGGATAAACACAAAGGCTCATTCAAGACTATATCCCATTAGCTCAGACAGAGCTGCTCTGTCTCCCTGTTTCAGTAACATCGCCGTGTGGAGCCAGACTACAGCCAGAGCCTAGAAATGCATCAACAGCTACAGTGTGTGTGTGTGTGTGTGTGTGTGTGTGTGTGTGTGTGTGAGAGAGAGAGAGACTGACCAGGGTTGATGGGGTTGAAGGCGATGTCTATGTTCTGTTCGGTGGTGGCGTTGTTGACCTGCACCATGGCCGAGGTGGGGAACACCAGGATGTGGGTGCAGGACGTGTCCTGAGGAGTGCTCAGCTGGGAAGTCTGCATGTTCAGAGTGGTGCTGCGGCCAAACACTGAGCCTGTTGACACAGAGTCTACACAGCAGAGAGAGAGGGGTTAACACGATACAGATAACACCAAAACATTTCAGGAAATTCAAACAGGGGAACCAAGGCTGCACTGTGCAGCCATCGCTCAAGGTTAAAACTTCTGTTCGTTTTTACCCGGCATGATGACAAAGGAGCCCTGGGGCTCCATGGCAACCAGGCAGGCGCTGAGGATGCTGGGAGTGTCTGCGGCAGAGATGCCACACATCCTGCAGGTCTCCTTGAGGCGCTTGCTGAGAGACTGCAGGTTCCTCCTGCTGAGCAGAATACTCCAGTCTGGAACACAGAGGGAGACAGGGAGGCTGTCATCAGTCAGGGCACAACAGATCATGTACAACTCACTGTATATACACAAGACCAAAAGTATGTGGACACCTGCTCATTGAACATCTCATTCCAAAAACATGGGCATTAATATGGAGTTGGTCCCCCCTTTGCTGCTATAACAGCCTCCACTATTCTGGGAAGGCTTTCCACTAGATGTTGGAACATTGCTGCTGGGACATGCTTCCATTTAGCCACAAGAGCATTAGTGAGGTTGGGCACTGATTTTGGGCGATTAGGCCTGGCTCGCAATCAGCGTTCCAATTCATCCCAAAAGTTGTTCGATGGAGTTGATGTCAGGGCTCTGCAAGTCAAGTTCTTCCACACCAATTTAGACAAACTATTTCTGTATGGACCTCGCTTTGTGCACGGGGGCATTGTCATGCTGATACAGGAAAGGGCCTTCCCCAAACTGTTGCCACAAAGTTGAAGCACAGAATCGTCTAGAATGTCATTGTGCTGTGGCGTTGAGATCTCCCTTCACTGGAACTAAGAACCATGAAAAACAGACCAAGACCATTATTCCTCCCTCACCAAACTTTACAGTTGGCACTATGCATCGGGGCAGGTAGCGTTCTCCTGGCATCCGCCAAACCCAGATTTGTCAGCCGGACTGCCAGATGGTGAAGCGTGATTCATCACTCCAGAGAATGCATTTCCACTGCTCCAGAGTACAATTGCGGCGAGCTTTACACCACTCCAGCCGAAACTTGGCATTGCATGGTGATCTTAGGCTTGTGTGCGGCTGCTCGACCATGGAAACCCATTTCATGAAGCTCCCGACAAATGGTTATTGTGCTAAGGTTGCTTCCAGACGCAGTTTGGAACTTGGTAGTGAGTGATGCAACAGAGGACAGACGATTTTTACGCGCTACACACTTCAGCACCCGGTGGTCACGTTCTGTGAGCTTGTGTGGCCTACCACTTCGCGGCTGAGCCGTTGTTGCTCCTAGACGTTTCCACTTCACAATAACAGCACTTACAGTTGACCAGGTCAGCTCTAGCAGGGCAGAAATTTGACGAACTGACTTGTTGGAATGGTGGCATCCTATGACGGTGCCACATTGAAAGTCACAGATCTTCAGTAAGGCCAGTCTACTGCCAATGTTTGTCTACGGAGATTGCATGGCAGTGTGCTCGATTTTATACATATCAGCAACAGGTGTGGCTGAAATAGCTGAATCCACTCATTTTAAGGGGTGACCATATACGTGTGTGTGTGTGTAATATATATCTCACACACACAGTACCAGCAAAAGTTTGGACACCTACTCATTCAAGGGTCTTTCATAATTTTTACTAATTTTCTACATTGTAGAATAGTGAAGACATCAAAACTATGAAATAACATACGGAATCATGTAGTAACCACGTTTTTTATATATTTTAGATTCTTCAAAAGTAGCCACCCTTTGCCTTGGCAGCTTTGCACACTCTTGGCACTCTCTCAACCAGCTTCATGAGGAATGCTTTTCCAACAGTCTTGAAGGAGTTCCCACATATGCAGAGCACTTGTTGGCTGCTTTTCCTTCACTTTTCAGGTCTCTCCAGTAATGTTCGATCGAGTTCAAGTCCGGGCTCTGGCTGGGCCACTCAAGGACATTCAGAGACTTGTCCCGAAGCCACTCTTTGCTGTGTGCTAAAGGTTGTTGTCCTGTTGGAAGGTGAACCGTCGCCCCAGTCGGAGGTCCTGAGTGCTATGGAGCAGGTTTTCAAGGATCTCTCTGTACTTTGCTCCTTTCCTCTTTCCCACGATCCTGACTAGTCTCTGAAAAACATCCCCACAGCCTGATGCTGCCACCACCATGCTTCACCGTAGGGATGGTGCCAGGTTTCCAGGTTTCCTCCAAACGTGACGCTTGGCATTCAGGCCAAAGAGTTCAATCTTGGTTTCATCAGACCGGAGAATCTTGTTTCTCATTGTCTGAGAGTCTTTAGGTGCCTTTTAGCAAACTCCAAGCGGGCTGTCATGTGCCTTTTACTGAGGAGTGGCTTCCGTCTGGCCACTACCATAAAAGCCTGATTGGTGGAGTGCTGCAGAGATGGTTGTCCTTCTGGAACGTTCTCCCATCTCCACAGAGGAACTCTGGAGCTCTGTCAGAGTGATCATCGGGTTCTTGGTCACCTCCCTGACCAAGGTCCTTCTCCCCCGATTGCTCAGTTTGGCCGGGCGGCCAGCTCTAATAAGAGTCTTGGTAGTTCCAAACTTCTTCTATTTAAGAATGATGGAGGCCACTGTGTTCTTGGGGACCTTCAATGTTGTAGAAATGATTTGGTACCTTTCCCCAGATCTGTGCCTCGACACGATCCTGTCTCGGAGCTCTACGGACAATTCCTTCGACCTCATGGCTTGGTTTTTGCTCTGACATGAACTGTCAACTGTGGGACCTTATATAGACAGGTATGTGCCTTTCCAAATCATGTCCAATCAATTGAATTTACAACAGGTGGACTCCAATCAAGTTGTAGAAACATCAAGGATGATCAATGGGAAACAGGATGCACCTGAGCTCAATTTCGAGTCTCATTGCAAAGGGTCTGAATACTTAAGGTATTTCTGGTTCTTTTAAAAAAAATACATTTGCAAACAATTCTAAAAAAACTGTTTTCGCTTTGTCATTATGGGGTAGTGTGTGTAGATTGATGAGGACAAAAATAATTTCATCCATTTTAGAATAAGGCGGTAACTTAACAAAATGTGGAAAACGTCAAGGGGTCAGAATACTTTCCCAATGCACTGTATGTATGTATGTATGTATGTATGTATGTATGTGTATATATATATATATATATATATATATATCTCTCATCTGCTGGAGTTTGGACTAGTGTGGCATACCTCGTAACTCTCCGTGGCCCATTCTGCCCAGGCGGCCAATCACCACCCTCCAGGGAAGTGATGTCACCTGCACCAAGCCTAGACACCACTCCCACAGCTTCTGCAGGCCCAGTCGTCTGGCTGAACCCTTTTTCCTCCGAGCCCTGTATATAGGACACAACAAACATCGTCACAAAAGAGACATTCTGAATTGAATTTGTTTGCATTTTGAGTATCTACCATTTGACAGGTTGTGCGTGTCACTGACCTGTTAGGCACGTCGATGCTGATGATGCATGTCTCCAGCAGCTCTCCTGATTGGTCAGTACAGGAGGCCAGGAGCCAGCGCTGGTCATGCGACAGGCAGTAGCCCACAAACAGCACGTTGTACTTCTGAGAGGCCTCGCCGAACGTCTCCCCCAGCTCTGTCTGCTTGTCCTTGATGGGCGCCAGGATGAACGGTGGGGTGTACAGACGCAGACACTCTGGCCTCTGCACAGGTGTGAAAGTCAAAGTTCATGGGTCAGACCAATGGTTCATATGTGTCACTTAGCAAGCTGCATTTAGTAAGCCGTTGTGATTTATTCAACAGAGCAGTGGTCTCTTGGATCATCAAGGTATATGCAAGGAGTTGTCAAAGACCAGGATGTTATGTTAAACAGACCATTCACATTGTGACAACAGTTTCTAAAACTGATAAGCAGTCTAAATCAATCCAGTAATAATATTTGAGAGGTTTTAGTGCAGTTTCCTATGTGTGGTGTGTTGTTGTTTACCTCCGAGCTCCTCAGTGCCATGTCGATGGCCAGGCCAGGGCCGAAGCCTGTCAGAGCCTTGATGTTGGTGTTGCCGGGGAGGGGCCGTCTGCACTGGGTGAACACCGAGAAGGCTAGGGACTTGAGGTGCTGACCGTAGAGATGGCGCTCCTCAATGCGCACAGGCTGCAACAAGTACTGGCAGGGAATGATCTGACCAACACAATACATTGTTAGAAACCACCTTTTTAACCACACCAACCCCACAGGTGTTTGAGATAACAATGTGCTGAACATAAATGTGAATGGTCTGCAGTCTGGCTACATGTGTCAAGTCCTCCATTACCTGCACAGACACAGAGTTTCTGATGTGAGGTGGCAGGAACTGGAGCATCTCCACATAGCAGCGCAGCAGGCCCAGCGTCCACACACTGGAGTGGGAGTCCCTCTCCCCGTCCTCGTAGCTGAAGGGATCCACGATGTAGACCACAATGGCTGGGGGGAACGTCACTGCATGGGACTCTCCGTCTGTAGGGACGCCCACCTTGTCTCTCTCCAACGTGCTGTAGAGAGAGAAGCACTCGGGTCAAAGGTCAAACAGACAATAATCAACTAGCTTTATGTATCAGATTAAAGACATTTAGCAGGCCAAATGTTATTTTCCAGACAAGTCTAGTGCACAAAAATGGGAGAGATGGGTAAGGTCGTAATTCAGCCTATTCCAAGTGCGAGTCAATTACAAACTCAGGGCAACAAGTGGTGCTACAGAAAATCAGTGACTAAACCAGAGGATGTCAGATGGTGGTGTTACATACGTCTCCACGGGCTCGGTGGTGGCCTGGGGTTGGTTGGCAGTGGGGCCATTCTCCCCTGTGGTCTGAGCTCCCGACTGGGGCCCATTCTGGGAGACGCTGCCCTGCAGGCCTGATGTCCCGTATGGTGTGTAGGAGCTGGGCTTGGCCGAGGGCATTCCTAAGCCCCCTATCCCTCCCATTGCCTGGGGGCCTATGGTGGAAGTGGTGGAGGAGGGTGGGGTGCTGGCAGGCTGGGCAGTGCTGCTGGAGCTCTGGGGACCTGATGAGGGGGTGGTGGAGCCAGGGGACTGGGAGGAGGAGGACTGGGGGGAGGCCACAGTGGGGCTGTGCTGGTTCAACAGAGAGCTGTCCAGAGACTGCCCAGCCAGGTATGGAGCTAAGGAGAGTAACAAAAATGTTGAGAAAAAGATGACCAATGTCTGATATTAAGAGACACCCAACTCAAAAAAGAGCCAATAAATGACATCTGAATATTTGCTTCTTGCCTTTTGTACAAGCCAAATTATAAACCCCATCTCTTATTCAGTACAAATCTCCTGAAATAGAAGATTGCATTCTAATGAAGACATACCCAGGTCATGCCGGCACACTTGGGCGTAGAGTTTGAGTTTGCTGAAGGCCTCGCTATTCCCGTTGCTGCTGGCCATTTTGAGGAACCAGTCACTGAGGGGCTGCTCTGCCAGGTTCCTGCCCTCTGCCGTACCAACCCGCAATATGCCATCTGGATGAGTCTTACAGATTGGTCTGTGCTGACCCAGTCGACAGGCCTGCAAAGAGAAAAACATGGGTAAATGTACCAATTTTCTCTTATTTATATTATTTTACATTTATATTTTATTAGACTATGGGGGGTGTCTGTGTGCGTGTGTCCCCACTTACCTCGTACACGGCCGTAAGGTCCTTGAAGAAGCTCTTAGCCCCGCGGAGCAGAGCCTCGTTCTCAGGACAGACGACTACATATCCCACGTCCCTGTGGGAGCCGAAGGGGTCCAGCAGCAGCTTCTCCCAGTAAGGCAGGCCGAAGGGCGACAGCACCACAAAGTCATACTCATAGCCCACCAGGAAGGTAGGGATGGGCAGGGGCTCTGGAGACTCATCAGTGCCTAACGGTTCATAGAGGAGGGACAGTCAGACTCATTGCAAAGTTTAGTTGAGGGCGGCAGGTAGCCTAGGGGGTAAGAGCGTTGGGCCAGTAACTGAAACAATTGCTTTGTGTAAACTTAAACCAGATATAAAGTATGAAGAAAATGGACCTATATATATTCTTTAATAATATCATATTTGAGAACTACAATCACCAAAATAAAAGCTAGACAATCAGGGTGAATTACATTTAAAAAATAATTAATTTAGTAGTATGGATTTTGTCATTATGTTTGAGCAAAAGCACAGCATTAGCCAAGGCAAAATGCATGGAATTGCAGGAAATTAGATTTAAAACGGCAAATAAATTCTCAGCTCCATGGAGACATTTATAGAATTGCAAGAATTCTCTTCAATTCAGCTGCGCCGAAAGGCCACCACCTAAGCCACTTTTTAATCCAGAAAAAAAACCTAGATACATTCATGTATTATTATTATTATTATTATTATTGCTTGATTTGTAAAGTCCTCGTGTTTACCGTAGGATCCCCTGCCGGCCATCTTGTGAAACTGCTGCCAGGTGAGGGGTCCCTGAACGCCCCAGGAACGCACGCTCCTCTTCTTCTGGATGGCATCCTGGAGTACAGGCTGGAGGGAGAGCAGCACCCGCAACACGTCCTGAGAGAACAGCCTGCTCACTTCTGCAGCTGGAGGGGGAAACAGAGGGAGCGAGGGATCAGCATCAGACAAACACACATCCAACCAAGGAGACTGGGTTTCACATAAGAGGAGTAGGAAGAGACGGGAAAAGGAGGAAAGAGTAGGAGGGGAAAGAAGATTGTGCATTGTCAATGAGTGAAGGAGCGGACTCACCTTTGCGTTTAGGCCAGTTGTGTAGACACGTGCTCTTAACCAGTGCCTCATCCACCTTGCCTCCTGACATGTTGTCCATGAACTGCCGGCCATGCTCCAGAGCCATATAGCAGTCATTATAGCAGTCCCTCTCCTCCACCCGTAGAGAAGAGCGAAAGGGGCCTGAGGACAGAGCCCTGGGGTACTCCACCCCAGCCATGGGGGAGAATGGGTTGGTGCACTGGTCCTGCAGCAGCAGGATGAGCTCGTCTGGGGGCCTCTCTTTGGGGTTGCCGGTCCTGTGAAGGGAGGCGGAGTGCAGCTCCTGGAAACGCCTCTCAGAGTCGCGGCCAGCGTCCGAGCCACGCCCCACCACGTCCAGCTCGTCCTCCAGGAAGAGCCCAGCCGAGCTGCCGTATCGACGGTTGACCACGGCGCTGAAACCGCAGGTGCAGGGGTACTGGGCCTCGCCGTTGTCGTTAAGATACACGCCCACGTCTGCGCCACGGATGTTCATGTTGCACACGCATACGCAGCAGCTGTCAAAGTTACAGTCCTTGAAGAGGTTCATGACGGACTCAGAGAGGATGAGGGTGACGTAGAGACTGTGGGCCTCGGGGATGGAGGGCACAGTGGCTGGCTCCACTGAGCTGAGAGGTCGGCAGGTGGAAGGGGTGGAGGCAGGCGAGTAGAGGTCAGACTCGTCGTATTTGAGCGATCCCTGGACGCTGGCGGGCCCTCTTGGGGTGCGTGGGGTACGGGGAGTGCGTGGGGTGGGGGCAGAGAAGCGGGGTGTGGCCGGGGAGGGCAGGATGCCCGTGCCGCTGTTGCTGGGTGGGGCGCTGTTGGACATGAAGGGCGTGTGGGTCTGAGGTGTGTAGCTCTGGTAGTCTGGCTCAACACTGGGGATGTTACTGAAATAGGGAGATAACAGCACACACATTAAAACCCCTGACACACAATTGGGTATATGAGACTTGTATAATTCTAGGGGACCAGTCTGATTGGTTACCCGTCTTTGGTTGAGGAGGCCCATGGTTGGCACAGGGGGTATGAGCTCCAGTTTGCCCATGGTCCAGCTGGGTGTGTAAACACAGTCTGGCAGCTTGATGGGCATCATACACTGACTGGGCAGCATCTTCAGTGGAGCAAACATGGAGCAGCCTGTGAATGCCTTGCACGCCTCCGACTTGTACACAAACGAGAAGTCCTGGAGGTAGATGGGGGAGAAGGAAAATAAGCCACTATAACACTTCAGCAAGTCTAAGCTAAGAACAAGTATTGAAGCTGACAACAGCATGACTAGACAAAGAGTATGTTAAATAAAACGTCAGTCTTATTCCCCCCCCCCCCCCCCCCCCCAAAAAAAAAGTGCATTACGAGCACTGACTTTGCTGATAACCTGTACTTACTACGACTGTGATGTGGTTGTCTCACCTAGCTATCCTTAGATTAATGCACTAACTGCAAGTCATTTGGATAAGAGAAACTGCTAAATGACTAAAATGTAAAATCAAGACCCTCCACACTAAACTGAATCTGAAGGCCCAGTGCAATCAAACATTTTATTTTCCTGTTTTATAAATATTTCCACACTATGAGGTTGGAATAATAGTGTGAAATTGTGAAAATGATAATACCCTTTTAGCGTAAGAGCTGTTTGAAAAGATCACCTGAAATTTCTTCCTGTTTTGGTGTGATGGAGTTTTGGCATGCCTGGCGACATCACCGGCAGTATAAGTTAATAGACCAATAACAAAGAGTTTCAAACCTCTGCCAATAACAGCTATTTTTCAGGTTACATATCCCTCCCTTTAGGCTCATCCAATGAGGCCCCAAACTCCGACCACTCCCAGACAGTCCTAGCAAAATTATTGCTTGAGAAATTGCTCTGGCAATTTACTAAGAAGCTTTGTTTGTTTTTGACCATTTTAAATTGAAAACAATAAGAGTAAGTACTTAATTATTACCCAGAAGTTATTTATATCAAGATAAAAACAGCTGCATTGGGCCTTTAAGTTACCTTGATCTCAGAGGGCTTGGGGCTGCAGAAGCCTTCCTCCACCTCCATCTTGTAGTGGCTGCTAAACTGGCTCCCTTCCAGCAGAGTGAGGCCCACCCCGGCCTCCAGGCCACCGTAGTCCTTCCCCCCAGTGTTCATGGGGGAGTAGCCCATGATGTGCTGCTCCAGAGAGGGAGGGGTGGGGAACATCTTGTGCAGGTCAGCAGAGCCTGGGGACAGGAAGGTGAACAGAGGAATCACCCTATTGTTTGTTAAATTAATGTAGGATACAGTGATGACCTAAAGAGGAACTTTAGGGAAGGAATTGGAGAAAGGGAACATACTTATGCAGGACAGAGGGTCCAGATTTGATGTTTTGTGTTCCTTACTGCCAAACTTGTCTCCATGTACTCCTGCTCTCCTGGATCCAGGCTGTGGGGGACAGAACGTTTTAAAAAGGCTTTGAACAGAGAGCTTTAAGACTTTACATAATGTTCTGTGAGCAATGTATCAACTAGAGATATTGAAACGGACAAAAGGATATGTAACCCAAACAATGTTGCCCCCCAATGTAGATGACAACTACAGTGCCTGCAGAAAGTATTCATACCTCTTAACTTATTCCACATTTTGTTGTTACAGCCTGAATTCAAAATGGATCAAATATTTTACAAATTGCCCACCCATCGACACACAATACCTCATGACAAAGTGAACAAACACTTTGAGTCACCTTGGGTATGTCTATCAGTTTTGCACTTCTGGATTTGGGGATCGTCTCCCATTCTCAAGATTTTCAAGCACTGTTAAGTTAGATGGGGAGCAGCAGTGAACAGCAATCTTTCCACAGATTTTCAATGGGATTCAAGTCTGGGCTTTGGCTGGGCCACTCAAGGACTTGTTCTGAAGCCATTCTAGCATTGCTTTGGCTGTATGCTTGAGGTCATTGTCCTGTTGGAACGTAAATCTTTGCCCCCTGTCTAAGGTCATTTGCACTCTGACGCAGGTTCTTATCAAGGAGTTGCCTGTATTTGGCTCCATTCATTGTTCCCTCTATCCTTAACAGTCTCCCAGTCCATGCCGCTGAAAAGCATACCCATAGCATGATGCTGCTGCCACCACCATGCTTCACGGTAGAGATGGTGTTAGAAGGGTGATGAGCTGGGCTTGGTTTTCTTCAGACACGGCACTTTGCATTCAGGCCAAAGACTTACATTTTTTTCTCATCAGACCACAATCTTTTGCCTTATGCTCTGAGTCTTTCATGTGCCTTTTTGCAAACTCCAGGTGAGCTGTCATGTGCCTTCTTCTCAGGAGTGACTTCCGTCTGGCCACTCTCACATAAAGCCCAGATTGGTGAAATGCTGTAGACTGTTGTCCTTCTGGCAGGTTCTCCCATCTCAGCCAAGGAACTCTGTAGCTCTGTCAGAGTGGTCATTGGGTTCTTGGTCACCTCCCTGTTCTTTCATGTACTGTCAACTGTGGGACCTTTTATATACAGGTGTGTTTCTTTCTAAATCAATTGAATGGGCCACAGGTGGACTCCAGTCAAGTTGTAGTAACATCAAGGATGATCAAAGGAAAGTGGTTTGGAGTGTCATAGCAAAGGAGTGCATTTCATTTTCAATACATTTGCTAAAATCTCTAAAACACATGTTTTCACTTTGTCAGTATGGGGTATTGTGTGTAGATGGGTGAGAATTTTTATTTAATCAATTTTGAATTCAGGCTGTAACACAACAAAATGTGGATTAAGTCAAGGGGTATGAATACTTTCTGGAGGCACTGTATACTCTACTGACCGCTAGCTCATCTTCGTCTGAGTTGAAGAGGTTGTCCAGGTCGTTGATGGACACAGCCAGGTCTGTCTCATGGATGAGGCTGGTGGAGGGTACAGGCTTTCCACCAGCTGAACCCTGACCATCTGCACACACAGAGAGACAGACACAAAGGAAGTGCCCTCAGTAACCACTCTGGATGACCATTTTGACATTCCACTCTGGTAGTTTTAGAGGAGTTATTAAAACAAAGTCTTCAACAAAGAAGGAAATGCTCACCATCTGCTGAGGTCCCACTGCCATCGTCACCCTAAACAAACACCAGCATAACAAATGTGTTATTCTCTTGGCATCTGCTACATCAGTGGCTGCCAACCAGGGGTACTAGGACCCCTGGGGGTACATGGTCTATCCACAGTGGGTACTTGAGAAGACCATAAGCTGACTGGTAAAATGCACATGAGGGGGTACTTCAGGGGTACTCCAGGCAGAGCAAAATTCAGTTGGTGGTACAGTAAGCAAAGAATGTTGGGAACCACTGTGCTACATCATCCCATAAGCAAAAGAGTGGCATTTAAATGTCAACTGAACTAACAAATTCTACCACATTAGGTAGGTAGGATTAGGAAAAGGGTGTAGGGATAACTATGGAATGAATTCTTAGAAACTCATGTTTGATACTCACCTTGTGTCTCTTGCTGGTCTCTCTCTCAGAGCTTAGTTTGTCCTTCTTGTCAGTGAAGGTGAACTCCTCGTCTCCCTCCACAAAGGCGTAGGGGTCTGGCTCCTCCTCCTGGTCCTCGTCAGCCATGGCAGCCGCTAGGTGGCTGTTCCTCCTCTGGGTGTAGGTCCTCACCAGGTCGTCAGACACCTTCAGAGGCCTGCCAGAGCCAGACATCAACCTGGGAGGAGACAATGTTACATAGATGATCAGTAATCATGTGAAAGGAGGGGAAACTGCATATATAATGCTCAAAGTGGATGTACAGAGAGGGAGAAACCAAATATCTATCATAGCCACTCATCACCTTGGTGCTTGTAGTAAGGTTCATCATTACATCTTGAAAGAGAGGAGGGGTAGTGTACTCACTCTGTGACAGAGACAATGTTCTCCTGCCCTCCTCCTCCCCCGGAGTCATCCTGTAGTTTGTCCACAGGCAGTAGTGGTGTCAAGAAGTCTGAGGCCTTCTTACGTGGCAAGTTGAAGTACTTCCAGGGGTTGTGGGCAGAGTCTTCGTTGGGGTTGATGGCTGAACCCACGTAGACAGTGGGTTCCAGGGACTCAGGGTAGGCAGCGGGGAAAGGCAGGGGCAGGGGCTCGTCAGACGAGGTCTTCTGGGGCAGCAGGCAGGGCTCGGAGGAGGGGGGGTAGAAGTGTTGGTGGACGGGCGTGGAGGAGCTCTTCATGGCCCCAGGGTCTTCCTCCCCGCGTTCGCAGGGGTGGGGGCTGAGAGGAGGGGGCTGTGGGGAGCCGGCCAGGTCTTGGGGGGTCCCGTGGGTGTGCAACATGGGGGCTTTGGAAGGGGCTGTGTCTATGTGGTGCAGGCTGGGGTAGGGGACCTCATCCTGGGTTCGCATACACAGCCTCTGGGGCTCCATGGCCGGCTCCTCAAAAACATAGCTGCGGTGGTGGAAGGGTGTCTGGGGCCTCTTCTGCTGCTTCTCCCCCTTCTCCAACTTCTCGCCCAGCTTGTGTTTGGGGGGCGGCTGTGGGGGCTGGCCCACCGATGGAGGGTTTCCTGAGGTGCTGCCTGATCGTTGCTTCTGGTTTTTATGCCTGGGGTAAATAGACAAAATATTGGAATAGCTGAATGTTGATTTCCAAGGTGTCTGTGATAAAAATCAGATCCCCTAAAGGACTCTGGGGAAAAATTCACATCAGCCTAAAACACGTGTCAAACAAGGCCCGCAGGCCGGATCTGGCCCATGACACATTTCTATCTGGCTTGCACAATGATTTGGGTTGTGAATTCATTTTGGCCCGCTTCCATACAGCCCACGACGCGCTGCACTACAAGTCCCAGCAAGCACTGCCAACTTGATGCGCTCCAAAGGCAGTGCATTGCATTGCCACACACACACAACCCTCCTCCCACACCCACACACACCCAACCCGGAGCCAGCCAGTGTGCTGGATCACCTCACTAAACAACTGTTTTCCTTAACGGCACTGACCGAATCTTCTACCAGACCGAAAGTTTAAGTTGTAGGCTAAATGTTGATGCCAAGTTTCAGTTCCAATGGGTCATTGCTGTAGCCTACAGAAAATGGCATCATGGTTGTCAAAATGTTCTTAGATAAAGGATTCACACGCAAGTATAAGTTACTACTAAAGGACACACGCAAGTATAAATGAGTTAACAGTTGAGTCATCTACTTTATGAAATTACAGCCTGATGTACATCAATTGTGCGGTCCCATTTATCGCGCGCAGCGGAAGGTAAGTGCACAGGCAGTGCCTCCTACGCTACTAAAATGTTGAAGTCTGGCTTCGGTTTTTAAAGCTTGACAATGAATAACCAAAAAACAAAACCTGCAACAAAACACTTAAAATATTTGTAATTAGGGTCTAAGCATATTAGCCAATGCACATCTGCAAGCAAAGGCTGGACAAATATTATTTATCTCCTTTTATTTATGTTAAAATGCTATGTGTTTTTTCAATATGGCCCGGGCGGTGATTGAGTTTGACACCCCTGGCCTAAAACAACCCCCACTGTTATAATCAAACGTGATCCACAGTACCTTGAACAGTTGCAGTGTGCCCTACGTGATGACTCCACAAAATCCCACACTCCTGTTTTGTCCCCCTCCTCCTCACAGGTGCCGTTGGTCAATGTAGCAAACTTCCTCCTGACAAAGAAGCAGAAACAGAGCTCAGCAGACACTCTCCTTCAATAGACCAGTAGTATGATATGACTCAGTAGGGTGAGGTGACGGGTAGAGTACATACTTGCTCTGGGCCCGGTTGGTAGTGCACTCCTGCCACACGCTCTCCACCACCTGGGCAGCCAGCCTGCGGGGGATCTTGCTGCCGTGGATACCGCTACTGTTGGAGTTGAAACCATCCACTTTCGAGCAGAGCTTCAACCACCTCTGGGCTGCCTGAGAATCTACAGCGAAAAAGATAGAGAAACACAAGTGATAATGCCAGAGAAGCCGGTGTTTGGAGGATATACAGTATTGGCCCCGAGACGAAACACTGGCTTCGAGGGCATTATCGCTTTTATACAACGAGTTACCAACATACTCAAATAATGATTGACATATTCTCATTAAAAACAATTATTCTGATTAATTTATTCATACTATTTCATCCTTCCACAAGATATAGTCCCGACACAAATCTAGGGTTGCTACCCAAGCCGGCTGGTCGTTCATTCTATCGGTTCGGTTGCCAGAGACATGACCCAGTCGTTAAGTCTTTTTGTTCTAAATCTATGGTGGCTGGCAACGTTCTTATCTCTTGCTTGCTAGCCAGCCAACTAGCTAACACAGTCACGTCAAACAGTGCAGCCAGAATAACAGCAAAGTAGCTGAATATTGTTAAAGCTGTGTTTCTAGTGAATTCTTTTGGGATACATCCATAACAATGAGCTAATGATGCGCGATTTCGCCTGGCATAGAACATTTGCTCTCTCGCCAGGCCACTGTTCAGAAGAGATAGCCAACTGCACAGCTAAAACAATCACTTCAAACTGATGCTGGAATGACAGCAAACTAGCTGCATTGTGTTTTTTTCTATTGACATTTCTTTGTATATATCCATACAAATTATGCTGATTCATGATTTTCGACTGGCTCATCCCAACTTCAGACACGTTCATTACTATGGGACAGATGGAAATCAAATTTCAATTTTTTAAACAATGTTGCAAATGTCAGAGAGACAGACAGCAAGGTTAATACAAATCTCCACTGTTAGTCTAAAAGAAAGAGCAGATAATGTCTAGACGCTTTTTAGTGTAGATCTAGTATATAAATTGCCTGGCTGGGCTGATGAGACAGTGGATTGTGCAGTCAGATGGAACAGAGTAAATAGGCATTTCAACGTCATAGATTTAGCCAGTGGTAATAGACACCGGCTGGAAGGCGGTATTTAACCAATCAGCATCCAGGATTAGACCCACCCGTTGTATAAATGAATATAATACTCAGCCTTAGTGTATAATAAGTTATGAGTTTCATGTATATGTGCCTATCTAGGGAGTTTTTCCTAGAACTGTGCTTCTACATCTGCATTGCTTGCTCTTTGGGGTTTTAGGCTGAGTATCTGTATAAGCACTTTGTGACAACTGTTGATGTAAAATGGACTTTATAAAATAATTGAACCCGAACGCATCAATGTTTAATAATTCAAAGATGGACAGTGAAGCCAGACAGCTACTCATACCCTATTACACTTGCAGTGTTTGTGGTCCTAATAGACTCATTAGTAAATGGTAAGGCTACCTGTTTGGGCCTCCTCTGGTGATGTGGGAGGGGTAAGGGTGACAGAGGACATAGGAGGGTCTCTGTGGGCCCCCTGGCCCCCACACAGGATGGCTGAGGGGTTGGCTGAGCCCTGGGGGGCCAGGGCAGGGAGGTCTGACTGGGGCACCAGTACTAGACAGGCAGGGTACACCATCCTCACTCCCGCTGGAACAGATCAGCACAACACATTTAGTCAGAAGACAGTCTCCTTCAGAAACACACACAATTGCAATACCACATACTAACCACTAAAATAACACATCCACACAGAATACACACTCAACTGTAGCAACAACCCCACTACCCCCATCTTACCAACAAGGACCTCCACGGCTGCTAGTGAGTCATCCTCCCAGTCTGTATCCTCCATCTTGTCCTCGGGGCGGTCCTTGGCGCTGGGGCTGATGGGATAGAACTGCCTCCACTCCTCAATGAGTTTCTGTGTGGGGTGGTCAGACATCTTGAAGGACTGGCCCGTGACCGTCCCGTTCAGACCGTATGGACTCAAGATGACTGTGGAAGGGAGAGAGGGGATAGAGTCGTGACTAGAGATAAATGAATTATGACAGCAGAGAGCAGGCAGGACTATGCTTGAATTATAAATATTACTGCAGAGGCATTGCCTTTGACAAAAAAATAACATTCATATCTATGGACATTACAGTATTTAACCAATGCCAGGTAGACTCAATAGGACTAGGCCATGGCTGGTTAGACCCACCTTGCAGGGGGCTGGCATTCTGCTGTGCCAGGCTCAGGTGCTCTTCACTCAGCCGCTGGACAGGCTGGTGCTGGGCAATCTCCACGCTGGTGCACACATTACTGTCCCCGTGCAGGAAGAAGGTGAACGCACACGACAGGTGCTCACTGCAGAAGGGATGGAAAAACTTGGTCAATCTCAGATCCATCTGGAAATATACGTACGACATTCCTCAGAGAAGCAATCAGAGTGAAACATAAAAGATTCAATGTCTTATTAGATACAGAAAAATAACAGAAAGCAAAATAATTATTTATTCTCATTTGGATTAACTGACAAAATGACACAGGTGAGGAATTAAAAGGGTTGAACAGTGAGGTCTGTTGTCCTTGACCTGACATGGTACATCAGACATGAAAGAAAAATACTATACCAAAACAATCTACAGTCCTATGAGGCTGTTAGCAGGGTTGAGGCTGGAAATGAAACTGAAAGGTAAACAAAGCTTTGCTGCTGTATGCAGAGTAAAGATCTGCATGCATGATTTCTTGACGGATGGAGCAAGTCAGGATACACTGGATTACTACAATCGTCTCACTCATGTTATACGTGCACTGAACAGTTAACACAACAGTAAATGTACCGATTAAAAACCCAAACTATTTTAGGGTTTTTTTCTGGATCAAAAAGGAGCGTAGGTGGTGGGCGTGCCATGGCAATGGGTGCGGTCGGCGCTGCTGAATTTCTTTACACCACCACCTTGGTTGTTTAGAGATATTTTAGAAATTTTAAGCCAGTGGAGATAATTTTTTTGCAGTTTTATAGCTAATTTCATACTTTTCTACATATTCTGCCATGGAACAGAGAGACAATGTTACAGTTTTAAAGCTAATTTCCTGCAATTGCATGCATTTTGCCATGGCTAATGCTGTGTTCTTATGCGCAAACATAATAAAATCAAGACGGCTAAATTCATTGTTTTTGGAATGTTCAATTCTCACAGTCTAGATTTTATTTTGGTGATTGTAGTTCTCACAGATTTTATTATAAAAAATTGTATTTTCTACATACTTTATATCTGGTTTTAGTCGTGTAAATTAACACTGAAAGAGTTTTTCCATCCCGAAATTGATTTTTAAAAATATATATATATATATTACGCTGTTTGGACGCTTATGTGGCCCACCCAAGGATTACAATGGCAGAAAAATCCCTGTTTTCCAGTCAAGTCATTACAAAAACCTTGACTTTCTATAAGGTTGAATCAAAGATGGGAATGTTGGCACGAGAAGGCACATGACAGGGTTACCAATTTCAAACTAATCTTTACAATCAAAACTTTTACAGTCTGTGTTACATAGATAGCAGCTCCAGTACTTTGCTGAAAGGATAAGTCTCAACATCCCAGAAATACACTAGTCACATACAGGCTTCAGTTTATGACAGGCTATTGGTCTGTTCCTAGAGCGACAAGCTCATGTCTTCACCACAGAGAAAGCTAATTGTCCATGAATGTCAGAGGAGCGGTGTGAGGAAAGGAGAGCAGGGAAGGGAGTGAGGGGACCAGACAGCGGAAACAACATTCCTCACATATTTGTTGTGCACTTCTATCAGAGCGTGTGAGCAGAGCTGAGCAGTTGGAAATCCAGATGAGGGCGCTCCGCTAAAACGCGCCCACAGGATGAAAAAAAAAAAAAAACTGCCGCTCCAAATGTGCTCAGTTCTTTAAAATCCACATTTAACCAACACCCATTTATTTTTGTGACTACCTGGACCTACCAATTGGTTTTTAAGTATTGAAACCAAACCATATGGATTTGAATGAAAAGTACTCTAATAAACATGAAACTGTGAATATAAGAAGCGAACATAATTTCAAATAGGCTACATGTCATATTAAAACAGCATATAAACACTAAATAGGTCAGGAGCCAGACAGGAAGGCTACAAAGAAATACATTGTGAAGCATTTGTGAGTGCGACACACTAGGCTGGTAGGGACATAGGGCCCTTAGCATTTAAATATTTTGTTGTATTAAATCATTAGTCTATAAATTACACATAGGCTGCGACTTACTTAGAATTAAATACAAATTAAACTAAAAATTACTTTAGTGCCTTTGAACTATTCTTTTATGTGTACTTTTTACCCCCTTTTCGTGATATCCAATTGGTAGTTACAGTCTTGCCCATTGCTGCAACTCCCATACAGACTCAGGAGAGGCGAAGGTCGAAAGCCACGCGTCCTCCGAAACACGACCCCGCCAAGCCGCACTGCTTCTTGACATACTGCTCACTTAACCCTTGTCAGGCTGGGCAGAGATGCATTTTTTAATTAATTTTTTATAGGTAGGCCTAAATGGTTTTTAGGCAAAATAACCCAATCAAAATGGAAAGCTCCTTGAACGTGGGAATATGCCAGGCCTATTGGGCCAAAGTCAATTATGGCCTATTGTATAGATAATAGAACGGAAATTAACTTAACGTTTAAGAGATCAGATTTTTTGTTTATAAATACTTTGCTACAATGACACACTTGGTTTTCTACCCACCTCTTTCCTTTCTTTTAGCATGTGCACATAGTAAGTACACCATCATGCTTTTGGGATACGTGTCTTTTCAGATTCCACAATTATTATTTAGTTGTGAACACTACATCACCGCACTCCCTCTCTTGCTCTTGGTCCTCATCTTTGTAAGTCACCTTGATTTAGCACTTGTGTGCTTTATCAGTTTCTTTATGAAAATATGTAGCAAACTCCATGCCAGTAGCTAAAGCAAGGGGCTATAGCAGCACACAAGTAGACTACAAATGCATTCTGGGGCGGGCATGCCATGAGCTGGTGAAGTGAGCGCTACTGGGCACGCTCCGCTCCTCGCTCTGCTCCAGCTCTACTCCGCTCACATACTGACTTCTATGTCATTAAAATCTACTTCCAGGTCACAATGGCTGCTTACTATGAGGAAAATGGTCATGGAGGCCTGAGCCCTGGCCTTCAACCAGCACGGACAACAGACAGAAGATTATTTTAGTTTCAGTTCAAAGTGATCCTCCAAAACACCTACTTTCCTTAAATAGGCCAAAATGTGATCGCCTACTTAAAAATAACAGAGACTATTATAGAATTGAAATGTTGAAACAACAAGGCTTTATTTCCTCAATAGTGCTGCACAGCAAAGAGGCTAAACACACCAAAATAGTTCCGGTTGACATGGTTGGTGTAAAACCACAGTGCAGACTCAGCATTTTCCAAAGACAGCCCTGTTTACCAGACAGAGAGTACAGGTGACAGTGAGACCGCTGAATCTCTCACCAACTCTCATTTTCATCCAGTCCAAGCAGGCACTGCTCTTCTTCAACATCCACTTGTAGATGTCTTCATCCTGAACCCCAAGATGCCAATTCTCACACACTTCACACCCGTAAACACACCGTGACAGCTTAACCCTCAAGTGATCATGCACTGCAATCACCTCAATTCTACGCTCTCGCCCTGCTGACTGAAAACGTACTCTCCTGTGGTGGTGGTGGTGGGGGGGGGGGGGCAGCTCTGAGCAAAAAGGAAACGCTTAAAACAGCAGCACTGCTTGAATTACCAGGGCAGGCGAAACAGGCAGGGATCAAATTAGCCCATCAGGGCTCTTCAGGATTCCCCCAGGCCCCATTCAAGTGCAGGGGGAAGCCAAAACTGTGATGTCATTCCCCTTAAAGGCGCCCGCATGCTTCCCAGCCGAAACAGCTGCGAAGAGTTCTTGCATATATTATGACGACATTTTGTGACGGTTTTGTTCGTTTTGGACTTCGGTAAGGGTTTTGAACTTCCGCTGTTCGGGCACACATTTTTTCTCTCGCCGCAAGCCGAAGTCGGTAGCCGAAGTCTATGCCCCTTCATCTGTGATTGGTCGACAGCAGGGATTCTTCAATAAAGTATTTGTTGTCATTCAAGGAGACTTGTTTTCATGCACATTCTTTCATTGAGAAATAGTGCACCAAACATCTTAGATGTAAAATTGCGCAACTAAGATCTTCTACGGCATCTCAAATTTACAAACCGTACTATTGTCGATTTTTTCTCGTTTTTCAAGCGAAGGTCTTTTAATGGCGTATGCGAGCACACTCGTTTGGTTAGCCTAGCCGAGTACAGCTAGGTGCCAGGCAAACTGAAGCATGCTGACGCATAACAGGGCAAGAATTAATACAGTATGCATGTACTGCTGCTGCTTGTTCAGCCTGAGATAGGCGCTGCATAGATTCCCTAATATTTCCAAAATAACTCATGGCAGTGTAGTAGTTGTTTGGAATCGGAGGTCATTTATAGATCAGAATCTGTGCAGGCTGACTTATGTGAACAAGCATACATTCACCTGCCATTACTAAAAATACTCTCTATGGACAACAGGAAACTCTCCAGACATCCAAGAAGTAATCCAGCAGGGCTATTAACAGAAAAGGATACTGAAGTGAACATGTGAATAAATACTAAACATATGCTGCCTTTGAAGAGCCAAGTGTCCTAGGGGGATTTCAATGAATCCATCTATCCAATGAACCTCAGGGTTTATTTCAAGAATAAATCATAAGGGACAATAGCGTCAGATAGGGAGTCAATGACAAAGTGTGCACATTTCTATGGCCTATGTGTTACAAAGCATATGCCCGAACATCAAGTAAGACGAAAACTATCACATTCACATGCTGACTAGACCGGGCACGGGTCCGCGTGCGCCATCGCACGCATGTTGATTTTGACCATCCACACCAGACGCGATCAGGATGCGCAGGTTGCAATATCAAAACGAACTCTGAACTAATTATATTAATTTGGGGACAGGTCGAAACGCACGAAACATTCATTGCAATTTAGTTAGCTAGCTTGCTGTTGCTAGCTAATTTGTCCTGGGATATAAACATTGGGTTGTAATTTTACCTGAAATGAACAAGGTCCTCTACTCTGACAATTAATCCACAGATAAAAGGGTAAACCTAGTTAGTTTCTGGTAATCTCTCCTCCTTCAGTCTTCTTCTTTGGACTTTATATGGCGGTTGGCAACCAACTTTAAGGTGCATTACCACCACCAACTGGACTGGAGTGTGGACCTCAGTTCATCTTTCAATCACCCAGGTGGGTATATGATCCTAAAAACGAATGAGGAGATGGGAGAGGCGGGACTTGCAGCGCGTCAAGCTTCAAAAATAGAACCAAGTTCTATTTTAGCGCCTGGCTATGCAGACGCTCATTGACGTGCGCGAGCAGTTTGGATGAAATTATTATTTTTTGTACAGTGAGGGAAAAAAGTATTTGATCCCCTGACAAAGACATGATCAGTCTATAATTTTAATGGTAGGTTTATTTGAACAGTGAAAGACAGAATTACAACAACAAAATCCAGAAAAACACATGTCAAAAATGTTATGAATTGATTTGCATTTTAATGAGGGAAATAAGTATTTGACCCCTCTGCAAAACATTGACATTTTAGTCATTTAGTAGACGCTCTTATCCAGAGCGACTTACAGTTAGTGAATGCATACATATTTTTATTTTTTTCATACTGGCCCCCCTTGGGAAACGAACCCACATCCCTGCCGGCCAAACCCTACCCTACTTTGGACGACGCTGGACCAATTGTGCGCCGCCCATGGGTCTCTTGGTCGCGGCCGGCTGCGACAGAGCCTGGACTCGAACCAGGATCTCTAGTGGCACAGCGATACAGGGATTTTGTCCCACTCCTCTTTGCAGATCTTCTCCAAGTCATTAAGGTTAAGGCTGACGTTTGGCAACTCGAACCTTCAGCTACCTCCACAGATTTTCTATGGGATTAAGGTCTGGAGACTGGCTAGGCCACTCCAGGACCTTAATGTGCTTCTTCTTGAGCCACTCCTTTGTTGCCTTGGCCGTGTGTTTTGGGTCATTGTCATGCTGGAATACCCATCTACAACCCATTTTCAATGCCCTGGCTGAGGGAAGGAGGTTCTCACCCAAGATTTGACGGTACATGGCCCCGTCCATCGTCCCTTTGACGCAGTGAAGTTGTCCTGTCCCCTTAGCAGAAAAACACCCCCAAAGCATAATGTTTCCACCTCCATGTTTGACGGTGGGGATGGTGTTCTTGGGGTCATAGGCAGCATTCCTCCTCCTCCAAACACGGCGAGTTAAGTTGATGCCAAAGAGCTCGATTTTGGTCTCATCTGACCACAACACTTCCACCCAGTTCTCCTCTGAATCATTCAGATGTTCATTGGCAAACTTCAGACGGGCATGTATATGTGCTTTCTTGAGCAGGGGGACCTTGCGGGCGCTGCAGGATTTCAGTCCTTCACGGCGTAGTGTGTTAACAATTGTTTTCTTGGTGACTATGGTCCCAGCTGCCTTGAGATCATTGACAAGATCCTCCTGTGTAGTTCTGGGCTGATTCCTCACCGTTCTTATGATCATTGCAACTCCACGAGGTGAGATCTTGCATGGAGCCCCAGGCCGAGGGAGATTGACAGTTATTTTGTGTTTCTTCCATTAGCGAATAATCGCACCAACTGTTGTCACCTTCTCACCAAGCTGCTTGGCGATGGTCTTGTAGCCCATTCCTGCCTTGTGTAGGTCTACAATCTTGTCCCTGACATCCTTGGAGAGCTCTTTGGTCTTGGCCATGGTGGAGAGTTTGGAATCTGATTGATTGATTGCTTCTGTGGACAGGTGTCTTTTATACAGGTAACAAGCTGAGATTAGGAGCACTCCCTTTAAGAGTGTGCTCCTAATCTCAGCTCGTTACCTGTATAAAAGACACCTGGGAGCCAGAAATCTTTCTGATTGAGAGTGGGTCAAATACATATTTTCCTCATTAAAATGCAAATCAATGTAGAACATTTTTGACATGAGTCTTTCTGGATTTTGTTGTTGTTATTCTGTCTCTCACTGTTCAAATAAACCTACCATTAAAATTATAGACTGATCATTTCTTTGTCAGTGGGCAAACGTACAAAATCAGCAGGGGATCAAATACTTTTTTCCCTCACTGTATGTGTACATTTATTTTGCAACGCTCGCGCACGTAACGCGAACGGTGTGGTTAGCATGTCAGAAATGGCTGAATTTCACACTAGACACTAATGCACATCATTAACAACTTTCATTGGCATTCACTCAATTTACTGTAGGCCTACATTTGTGGCCAACCAATTTACTATTCTTGGCAGACGTTTTAATCCAGTGCAATACATTTCTAAAACCAATAAGGAAGTACACTGGATCAGGATGCCTGGTTGACCTGCTGTAGAAATTTACTAGAAACAGTCACCAGAGCACTCCGCAATACTGATGAAGATATCCATGCACTGGTTACAGAATAGGGTTATTATGGGGACTCTTACCTCTTCTTGATGGGCTTCTCATCCTTCTCGTAGGGCTTGACGAACCACTTGCCAATACGGACAAAGCTGCGGTTCATGAGGCAACGCTCCAGCAAGTTGTGGACAGCTTTGAACAGGAGTGTGCGGCACTCGTAGGACAAGCCGCTCTCCCACTCGCCATCCTCCTCACCTGAGCCAGGGAGAGAGAAAAGACAGTCAGATACCTGCTGAATGCTCCACCAACATCAATAATAATAATATGCCATTTACATCACAACTTTAAACTGTAAACATAAACTCAAGGATTGGTAGTGTTGCCTTTTGTCATGGGTTTGAACATTTCAGAAAAGATCGGACAGGAATTTTTTACCATCTGCCAATGTTTACAATGAAACAACACATTATGCAACCATGTAAATAATATGTTAAAGGGAAACTCCACTCAAAAACAGCATTCAAGCTGTCTAGCTTTCATGATATTGGACATTCAAGAAGCAAAGGGTCACCACCCACATGCATCATATCCAAAATATCATTTTTGAATGGAGTTTCCCTTTAAGCTTTCATGATGAACTGTTGTTGCAACAGTTTGACGGGTGGTGGGGATACAACAGGGAATTTCACCTGACTAGTGTTGGATAGATACTAAACAAAAACATGTTAGCTTTGTTTTGTTTTATCAGTGGCAAGGCCTATAAGATCTAGCCACCAGGCAGCCCCTTATGTTTACCCTGTAGGCAGCTAACTACTGTAACAAGAGCTGCGACCCCAATGAAAAAGCAGATGGGAGATTTTATGATTTATGCGTTCAGCTGACTGGTATCGTGGTGCGCAAACCCCCTCCCAACAACAAGCAGAACTCAAAACTGTAGGCCCGACTACTTGCAGCTTTTGGTAATGAAAGATGCAGGTAGTCATTGAAGTGCGTCAGGCTGTGGACTACTGTGGGTCCTCAACTGAGCAGTGTCTCGCATGACACTGGCAGCCTCTCTCCCAACAGTCAACTGAGAGTTTATCCTAACTCCAATGCCATGTGAGCCACAAGCATCCCTTCACGTGGCAGAGGCTAGCCCTTACTTGACAGCTCGTGGTGGATGAGTTCGGCGAAGCTGGGGTCATCCCCCCACCAGAAGAGCCAGAGCTCGCGGCGGCCCGGGGTGTGGTGCCTCCGCCACACGCTTAGCACGTCGGCCGCCAGGCACCGGCTGAAGCTGCACAGGATGGGGTCCTCCTCTGTCACAGGGAACAGGATGGGTGAGGAGGTGGGCCCCTGCCACACAAAACGTCGCCATTTTATCCCAGTCAGGTCAGCCTGGGGGACGGGGTGAGAAAAGAGAGAGCTGAGACAAAGGCCCAATCCCAAATGGACACTACACCTTATGCACTTGTAGAGATCTGAGAGGATTTGACAGGTGCAACTAATATGGTAATAGCTCCACCTTGCCCTCTGATAGGCTAGGTGGAAGTTTCACCATATTGCTTATACCAACCAAATTCTTTCAGATCTCCAAAAGTGCGTCCCAGAGACAGGATGCAAGCCGGCTGAATGCAAAGCAGTAGTAGCCTAACTCCCGGGACAACTTTAACAACTGCTCTGTCCAATCAGTGTGAAGCACCTCCAAATACAAAATGTAACGGATGCAGCTGTTCTAAGCAACGCAACCTAACCTTCCAACTCATTAGACTTTAGGGTTCGAAGGGTGGGAAACCCCTTTCTATCAAAGTATTTAGTGCCAATGGATATTACCTAGAATATTCAATATAGAATACTTTCAAATGCTATACAACACATTTTCCAGAACAAGAATATAGTACCAATTCAAAATATGACAAGACATTTCTTATATCCTAGTTTCAATAAAATATACAGTTTCAGAATCACTAAAACTATTGGCCAGTAGACCCTCAGTCCAATATCTATAGTAGCCTATAGTTGAGATAGGGTACACTTATCTGTGTACACTGCTGAAAGTTCTATCCATAAGGGAGTACCACATAATACTACAATGAGGAAGTGTGCAATTCACTAGCTTGCGTGAGTTGTAGTTGACACCATTGGCAATAGGAATGCTCACTGAAGAAAACTACTGTAGACCTAGTCATAGGCTGACTCATGATATTGTTGGCCTAAAAAGTTATGGCTAACCAAACATCAAGTTGTAAATAAAACGCTAATGTACACTACGACTAGTTGCTAAGTAGTTGGATAGATGAAATTGAAATCAAATATATAGCCAATGGTGCTGAGGTAAAGAAGAATCATAAACATCTCACAATAACAGACAACCTCATAAAACAACCTGAACCTAGCAAGCCAGTTAGCCAACATTAGCCATATTAGTTAGCAAGCAAGTGAAATGATAGCTAGCTAAGTAAGTTTGTGGTTGAATCTGGTGTACTTCACTTGCTATAAACTAACATCGTATCAACCAAGTATTAATGTTAGCTAGCTAAATAAGCTAGCTAACGTTAACTCACTTGCAAAATTGCATTAGCCAGCAATCTAGATCAGGCCTTGACGCCTCTAGTCAGCTGTAGTCAAGAGGTTTAGCTTGCTGACAGCCTAGCCAAAATGGCTTTCTGGCCTCAGTTTGAGCTAGCTACCGTTAGCATGCTAACAGAGTTTAATCACTTACCAGGCAAAATAGGTTGGAGTGGCAGTCCTCCAAACTGGCCCCGTTTGGTACAAAACATGAACTCATCCTCACAGCGTGGTTGAACAATCCATCGTCTCATTCACCGAGAAGAGCAATATTCAGCAAAGTTTTAAGCTATTTGATCTGGATATTGAGTATTTAGTCAACCACCCCAGAAAACTAAGATGCTAACTGGCTAGTTATTTATACAACCGGTTGATGGCTAGCCACTTCGCTAGCTTCTAGCTAGCTAAACAGTCTCGCTGTCTTGATAGCCAGCTACGGTTAGCTAGCCAGCTAACACAACTAGCTAGTTAGATTTCTACGCTAACAAATTCATCAACCCCCACTTGAAGTCCGTTCTTACTTTACTTCACAATACGTTAAATAAAATATATACACGAACCATAAAACAACCTCACCATAAAGTGATCTAATCTTAAACAAGTTCAGAGCAAAGACACTCTCCCCTCCCCGAGTTTAACTAACGTAGCTAGCTAACATAGCCAAGTCAGACTAAATAAAACAGTTAGCTAACACCACCCATCTATTCCCCAAAGTCACCGGAATCCGATAAAACTATTACAACTTTCACTAAAATACTGACATCATGATGTAAGGGTAAACTGCATTTGCGTTTACTGATTCTCGGGTCCTGCAGGTTTCCATTTGAATTCATGGATTGAATTCTTTAATGGCGGCCAGGAGAACAACTCTGCCTCCCAACTCCCATTGGCCAATTTGTGGTAATGGGTGGGTGGCGTCACACTATAACTGATGGCTCGTAGCTGAGTTTACTGATCAAACCAAGGAGATATTTGTATCAAGCCAATCTCATCCTATAATGATCATCATGCTTTAAGGCTCTAGTCAGCCATAATCTAATGGAAATAGTAAGAACGGAACCTCTCATCCTGGTCCCAGTCAGTCCTGAGGCTGTACCTGAACATCGCAGGTAATCCTCCTCAAAAATGCACGTCACAGGGCACAATGGGACAGTTTTACTATATGTACTAAATGTTTGCATTTGTGCAAGTTTTCCCCTGTTATTTTTCAGAGGGGAATATGACATAAGGTAGAGCAAAGGGTAAATAGAGGTTAAGGAGGGTGAATCATATCTCAAATATACACATAACTGCTTGGGGAGCTCTGACATAAGTTTGGCATACTTTCAACTCCAGCTGATGATTTTAGGGTATACTGTTTAATTTCCAGGGCACTCTAGTGTCTACAAATAGATTTATTAATTCACATCCATCATCATTATTTTGGAGATTTCTGTTACAGCTATCAGAATACATTTCTCTAATACTCCCCATACGATTTCAGGTATAGAGTGACAGAAAGCACCCTTGTTGATTATTTTATGCTTGTCACTAGTGAAACTCTTGCATCCAATGTATGTAAACATGAACATTGGTGCGAAGACCAGTCCTGCACACAGTGCAGCTTGACCAAGCTGTTCCCTGTTCTTTTGATCCAGATTTCTGGTGAGTGTTATAAAGGGATACTTCACCCAAATTAAAAAATGACATTAGTTTTCCCCTGTTATTTTTCAGAGGGGAATATGACATAAGGTAGAGCAAAGGGTAAATAGAGGTTAAGGAGGGGGAATCATATCTCAAATATACACATAACTGCTTGGGGAGCTCTGACATAAGTTTGGCATACTTTCAACTCCAGCTGATGATTTTAGGGTATAATGTTTAATTTCCAGGGCACTCTAGTGTCTACAAATAGATTTATTAATTCACATCCATCATCATTATTTTGGAGATTTCTGTTACAGCTATCAGAATACATTTCTCAAATACTCCCCATACGATTTCAGGTATAGAGTGACAGAAAGCACCCTTGTTGATTATTTTATGCTTGTCACTAGTGAAACTCTTGCATCCAATGTATGTAAACATGAACATTGGTGCGAAGACCAGTCCTGCACACAGTGCAGCTTGACCAAGCTGTTCCCTGTTCTTTTGATCCAGATTTCTGGTGAGTATTATAAAGGGATACTTCATCCAAATTATAAAATGACATTAGTTTCCTTACCCTGTAAGCAGTCTATGGACAAGGTATGACAGCAAACCATAGTTTGGTTTAGTTTCCCTGAGACTGTTTCCACATGCTAACGTTTTAGCATTTGTGGCACAAATCCCATTAAAGTCAGGGGACCGATATTAGCCTTTTTCAATACATCATGTTCAAAAAGTTACTTTGTTGAGCTTTACAATCAATTTGAGATACTTTGGGATTTGGACATTTACATTTTAGCAGACGCTCTTATCCAGAGCGATTTACAGTTAGTGAATGCATACATGTTTTTTGTTTTTTTTTAAGTTTTTTTTTCATACTGGCCCCCCGTGGGAAACGAACCCACATCCCTGCCGGCCAAACCCTCCCCTACCTTGGACGACGCTGGACCAATTGTGCGCCGCCCATGGGTCTCCTGGTTGCGGCCAGCTGCGACAGAGCCTGGACTCAAACCAAGATCTCTAGTGGCACAGCTAGCACTGCGATACAGTGCCTTAGACCACTGCGCCACTCCGGAGTCATGATGCGCGAAAAATGCTAAAATCGGTCCCATGACTTGAATTGCTCTCATACCTTGCCCATAGACTGGTTACAGGGTAAGTGCCATTTTGTAGTTTGGATGAACTATGCCTTTACATTTAAGTAATTTATCAGATGCTCTTATCCAGAGCGACTTACAGGAGCAATTAGGGTTAAGTGCCTTGCTCAAGGGCACAGACAATAACTGTAAGTCGCTCTGGATAAGAGCGTCTGCTAAATGACTAAAATGTAAATGTAGTCGGCTCGAGAATTCAAATACTAACCAGAACATCAATACATCCAGTGTGTATCTAATAAAATCTTCAATACGTTTGAAAAAGCAGATAAAATTGATTCATTTCACAAAATATCATATGGTTCATTATGAGTCTAAACTTTAGTGTCAGTATCATTGTTTTTATCTGGCAAAATCCAAAGTGCACAGTCATGCAGTACCATTTACCACCATGTGGCGGCAGCACTAGTATATGTATTTTTACGGAAATTCGCAGCCGCCACCCCGTCTGGCTCTCAGATTGGCGACTGCTGGTTTAGAAAGGACAGTAGCAGAGATTTCCACAGCGAAGAGGTGAAAATAATTTATACATGAGGTTGTTGATGCTGGCAAATATTATTCAAGGAGAGCTGGTACGACAGGCTGGAAAGCTGAGTTACTGACTTGAACTGGCCATATTTACTTTATGCCAAGGTTGGCCAGGCAGCAGAATTTAATCTAGGCAGGATACGAACCAGGTGAGGTTTAAGACGTTTTAAAGTCATAGTCCTGGGACTTTGTCACAGTAATTCTAGTCCAACTAAGCAATGGTACCTTCCAAACAATTAAAAATACACTATGAGAGTTATTATTCATGTTTACTATTATAGAGGATATGCATGTACTCATTTAGCTCTTACCTGACACAACATCCTCTTCTCTCTCAGCACAAGAACAAATGTAATAACCTAAACTCCCCATTCAGTTAGTAATTCAGACACCTAATAGGACATTTTTATTTTAGTATGTGTAAATTAAGTTTTGTTTTGTCCTCTAAATCTGCCATCCAATTAAACAGTACAATTATTGTCAATGTTTGTATTTCGGTCTTATTTATTGGAAAATAATAAACATTAAAAAAAAAATGTAATTCAGACACTAAAAGTGAAAGAAAGTAAACATTGTTTTTATTGAGGCCCTCATGAATTGATCCATCATTGATATAGCACAGTAGCTGCATTCCTTTTGTAAAATACTTAAGACATAAAGCTATGTTCAGAACCTCAGCTTATTGATACCCCTCCCAATCATATATATTTTTCAATTAACAATAATTCATGATTTCATTCTGAGCCAGGAAGCAATCTACAAGAAATACTGTAAAATCTCCCAAGTGTACAGTGGAAGCAATTCATTCCTCATCAGCATTCGATCATCTAACATGAAGCACTTTGGATGATGTTTTATATACTGCACGTTAGTGTGAAATGTGATGGGTCACATTTGATACATTTTGTCTCATTCCTTTTTTTCACGGTAGGATGGAGTAATAAAAAAAAGTTAAAGATCCAAAGTGATGCCCCTTCCCACTGGTCCAGTCCTGCTAGGGGTCAGGGTGAAGAGGTCAAGGGGACCTGAGGGAGTGGCCTAGTCTGCAGAGCTCAGCTGCAGCACACTGGTTACAGCCTGAGGGAGACTTCAGGTAGTGATGGTGTGTGTGTAGAAGTGAAATTGAATGTTTCATTGTCTGTAGTGTCCTTATCTTTAAAAAAAATAAAAAAATAAAAATCAACAAAGTAAATATAATACTCTAAGATGAACTGCTGGTCATAGGTTAATGCGTAGATGCTCGGGCCGCTTGGCCATGACAGGGTAGGCCTGTTGTTTGAACTGGGACAGGTTGGCCCCCGTAGGCTGGCGGATGGGCAGGGGGGCCGAGGCCTCAGAGCTAGCCTGCACCTCCATTTGTTCTGGGGTTGATACCTCCATGACCTGCTCCTGGGGCGATTGGAGACATAGAGAGGATCCGCCGGGCATCAAGGGGCCCCGGGGCCACTCGTCACCAGCAGAGTACTTGAGAGGGCTGAAAAGGAATAGGGGACATACTGTGGTGATGTGGCATATTCAATGTTACTGTACAAGCTATGTAGGAACAGCCGAAGTGGCTGAAACTATGGAATACCTGACTGGTGTTCTTGGGCTCCCCAAAAACCGTCGGGGTGAGCGGATTTTTGGCTCGAATGAGAACTTTTCCTTGACGTTTTCCAGTACTGATGGAGCAACATACGTAAAGCCCTGCAGAAGCAATGACAGAGGGGTTATGGTCACCAGTACTGCCTACAAATGTATTAAGGAGAAATTAAGGTGAACGCTGTCATATTATGATTTTGTATTATGAGCAAAATGAACACTTAACACCAACACATGTACTATGCGATTAGACAGGTTCAGAATTTATGTGAAACATCACAGCACAGTTGAAAAATATATGGCACATGGAAATCATAAGAGGGCGGTTTACGGAGATAGGTGAGATGGACTGAGAGTAGCTGAGGGGTGGGTTTAAAAGCTCATGTTCTATAATAGTTATGACTGAAAACACGTTGTATAATGTATGAGTACATCCAAATATATATTACTTTATTCTTGCTATGTAACTACTGGGCAACACAGACTTTCAACTCCCTCCAAAGATTTTCTATGGGGTTGAGATCTGGAGACTGGCTAGGCCACTCCAGGACCTTGAAATGCTTCTTACGAAGCCACTCCTTCGTTGCCCGGGCGGTGTGTTTGGGATCATTGTCATGCTGAAAGACCCAGCCACGTTTCAACTTCAATGCCCTTGCTGATGGAAGGAGGTTTTCACTCAAAATCTCACGATACATGGCCCCATTCATTATTTCCTTTACACGGATCAGTCGTCCTGGTCCCTTTGCAGAAAAACAGCCCCAAAGCATGATGTTTCCAACCCCATGCTTCACAGTAGGTATGGTGTTCTTTGGATGCAACTCAGCATTCTTTGTCCTCCAAACACGAGTTGAGTTTTTACCAAAAAGTTATATTTTGGTTTCATCTGACCATATGACATTCTCCCAATTCTCTTCTGGATCATCTAAATGCACTCTAGCAAACTTCAGACGGGCCTGGACATGTACTGGCTTAAGCAGGGGGACACGTCTGGCACTGCAGGATTTGAGTCCCTGGCGGCATAGTGTGTTACTGATGGTAGGCTTTGTTACTTTGGTCCCAGCTCTCTGCAGGTCATTCACTAGGTCCCCCCGTGTGGTTCTGGGATTTTTGCTCACCGTTCTTCTGATCATTTTGACCCCACGGGGTGAGATCTTGCGTGGAGCCCCAGATCGAGGGAGATTATCAGTGGTCTTGTATGTCTTCCATTTCCTAATAATTGCTCCCACAGTTGATTTCTTCAAACCAAGCTGCTTACCTATTGCAGATTCAGTCTTCCCAGCCTGGTGCTGGTCTACAATTTTGTTTCTGGTGTCCTTTGACAGCTCTTTGGTCTTGGCCATAGTGGAGTTTGGAGTGTAACTGTTTGAGGTTGATAACAAGTTCAAACAGGTGCCATTAATACAGGTAACGAGTGGAGGACAGAGGAGCCTCTTAAAGAAGAAGTTACAGGTCTGTGAGAGCCAGAAATCTTGCTTGTTTGTAGGTGACCAAATACTTATTTTCCACCATAATTTGCAAATAAATTCATTAAAAAATCCTACAATGTGATTTTCTGGGAAAAAATTTTTCTCAATTTGTCTGTCATAGTTGACGTGTACCTATGATGAAAATTACAGGCCTCTCATCTTTTTAAGTGGGAGAACTTGCACAATTGGTGGCTGACTAAATACTTTTTTCCCCCACTGTATGCCATGTATGAACTAAAATATAAACATGTAAAGTGTTGGTCCCATGTTCCATGAGCCGAAATAAAAGATACCAGAAATTTTCCATACACACAAAAAGCTTATTTTTCTCATTCGGTGCACAAATTTGTTTACATCCCTGTTAGTGAGCATTTCTCCTTTGCCAAGATAATCCATCCACCTGACAGGTGTGGCATATCAAGAAGCTGATTAAACAGCATGATCAATACACAGGTTCACCTTGTGCTGGGGACAACACAATGCCACAGATGTTTCAAGTTTTGAGGGAGTGTGCGATTGGCATGCTGACTGCAGGGATGTCCACCAGAGCTGTTGCCAGAGAATTTAATGTTCATTTCTCTACCATAAGCCGCCTCCAACGTCATTTTAGAGAATTTGGCAGTACATCCAACTGGCCTCACAACCACACACAATGTGTAACCACGCCAGCCCAGGACCTCCACATGCGGGATCGTCTGAGACCAGCCACCCGGACAGCTGATGAAACTGAGGACTATTTCTGTCTGTAATAAAGCCCTTTTGTGGGGAAAAACTTATTCCGATTGGCTGGGCCAGGCTCCCCAGTGAGTGGGCCTGGCTCCCAAGTGGGTTGGCCTATGCCCTCCCATGCCCACCCATGGCTGCACAACTGCCCAGTCATGTGAAATCCATAGATTAGGGCCTAATTAATTTATTTCAATTGACTGATTTCCTTATATGAATTGTAACTCAGTAGAATCACTTAAATTGTTGCCTGTTGCGTTTATATTTTTGTTCAGTATAAAATGTCTTTAGAATGTACATGTAACAACAAAAGAAAAAGCTGTAGAAACAAAGTATGTAGCCGTTTTACCAGAAAGGCTTGGTTGGCGCTTTCACTGAGCGTGGAGTCGTCTGGGCTGTCTACTGGTGTCTGGCTGGTGAACTTGGAGTCAAACTGGCTCACGTCTTCAGCGGATTGCTTTGGATACAAGAGATCAGGTGTGTTACAGTCTAAAGCCTGTGAGAGCTTGAAAGGATGTCTAAAACAGAAGCTCTTCTGCTGCTTACCAGAAAAGGCTTGAATGGAGGCTCCACTTTCCTGGCCAGGAGCTCTTCCCAGTTAATGTGTCGGAAGAAGGGATGAGCCTAAGGAAAGATCATCAGAAAATAATTATAACAATAGCTTTTTAATTTCAATACTTCCCTGTCGCCTCTCACTTGTGAACACTTCTATTTAGGGTCATCTTCTGTTGTATTGTGATCAAAGGATTGAGACAGAAAGTGGCGCTTGCCAGAATGGGGTTGAATCTCGAACTCTCCTGCCCTCAAGGTTGAGGTTACAGTTTCTTCTTGACAGCATCAAGTCACTCCATGCAAAAATGTTCCACTCCTTCTCTTGTTCTCACCTGCACCTCTGTAGCATCTCCGGCCCCTGCTCCAAGTCTTGACGAGGCATTTCTCTTCAGCAGCTGAAAAACAAGAACATGTATAAATACATATGAGATTACAAAAATGAAAATAAAAAGATACAATTTGTTAAACAAAAAGTCACCCTTTTCAGGAGATCTCTGGCTTCTTGTGTGAGGTAGGGTGGGAGGTTCAGCTTGCATTTTAAGATTTTGTCAATGGTCTTCTTCCTGTTTTCACCAGTGAAGGGTGGCTACATTTGAAGAAAAAACAAAACAATAACCTTGGGTCAACACCACTTGATTGTAACAGAAGTTGTTGTATTACCACATCATTATAAGCAGGAGGCTATGAGAGAAGTTTTGCACTCACCGCTCCAGTCAGCATATCGTACATAAGCGCTCCGAGACTCCACCAGTCCACTGCTCTGTTGTGTCCACTTCTCATCAGGATCTCTGGAGCCCTGACACAAAACATTTTGTATACATCTTTTCATGATATACTGAGGCAATCAATAGATAAAAATAGCACAGCTTTCAACTGATTTACATGAAGAACAGTGTGACAAAGTGTGACTTACATGTACTCTATGGTGCCACAGAAAGTATGGGTGACTGTGCCGCCGTGGATGGACTCTTTACACAGACCAAAGTCAGTCAATTTCACATGCCCTGGAAAAACACAACACAGAAACATTTCAGTCAATTTCACTTTGAGGTGGATATGCAGAACATTTAGTAAATTACATTTACTGCGGAATAATGTTATGTCTTATATTGATGGGGAGGGGGAATCAATAGTTACATATCGCAATATTCTTTTGGACGATACTATATCGATATTTGACTCCAAGTATCAATTTATATATATATATATATATTTTTTTTAATGCTACTGTAGGTAGCATTAGCTAGCGCTAGTCAGCTGTACCTGCGCAAAAACTCGTGTTTTTCATCCTATAGCTTGTTTTCTCATGCTCTGCAGCAGACTTATAGCGAGCGATATTTTTGGAACACCAAATTGCAATAAAATCGCCGTATCAAATCACAATACATATAGAATCGTGAAAATCGCAATCCATATCGTATCAGCACCTAAGTATCATGATAATATCATCTCATGAGGTCCATGGCAATTCCCAGCCCTAATGTCTGACATGAAGTGCAAATACAAGCACAAATGTGGATGTATTAACTTCTAATGTTGACACTTAGCATTATGAAGGCCTGGTCGATTAAATCATTCTGTTGAACAGTTACAGTAATTTTACCGTGTTTCGGTCAGTGTATTTAAAGTGAGCATATAGTTACTTACATACATTACTTCTAATGGGGCGGCAGGTAGCTTAGTGGTTAAGAGCGTTGTGCCAGTAACCAAAAGGTCGCTGGTTCTAATCCCTAGCCGACTAGGTGAAAAATCTGGCGATGTGCCCTTGAGCAAGGCACTTAACCCTAATTGCTCTTGTAAGTCGCTCTGGATAAGAGCGTCTGCTAAATGACTAAAATGTAAATGTAATGTAGCATCAAATATTGTCTGACTTGCAGTGAACATGATTGCAACTCAGAACATTTGTTCTGACATCCTTGCCCAGCTCCAGCATTACCTTGGTTGTTAAGCATGATATTTTCAGGCTTCAGGTCTCTATAGATGATGCCTTTCTGGTGCAGATGGCCCAGAGCCATGGAGATTTCTGCCAGGTAAAAGCTGCAGATAAGAAAGAAACCACATTTACATTGTATATACACACTATAATGATTTTTATTAAATTATTTTCTGTGCCAGGCACAGCCAACACCTGGTAACCTAATCTTCAGTTTACTGCTTTTGTAAATTGCATTTTCCCTTTCACCAACTAACATACTGGTGTAGGTTATTCCAAAGACTTGTCTTACTACAGTGGATGTAAGAAAACTGCCACTGGTATGACTACATTGCCTTTCATAATCTCTACTCACCAGGCCGTGTCTTCCATAAAAATCCCCTCTCTTTCCAGTTGCATAAACAGCTCTCCACCTGAAAATTACAACAAAATGAAATAAAACTGAAACAATTGTAGTGTTGCACAAAATAATTGTGGGGAGACTACACCAAATTAACTCTTTCATCCATTTACATTTTGAATCCTGACATTGACTGAATTTCACATACAATAGTGTGCATTATTCTCTGTAACTCTAGAGGTGCACAGACAGGATGGGATGGTAGACAGGATGTAGACACTATTACATACATTATGGTTAGATGCAATGAGCAGAGGCCCATTAAGTGTTGATGTAAAGTATGTAAAGGCCAACGTCCTGTGTGTGACAACCAATTCAGATTATTTGAATCATAATTTTGGTGAAACCATCCTTTGGTTTAAGAAGAGAAACCATCTGCATGACTGGGACTGCTAATGTGGAAGGAGATTCAGACCGACTTCCCAGCAACTCTTGGGCAACAGGAAGAGTGTGGAAAGAATGGATGGTTGTTTATCTTCTGGTGAAACTGCCTGTGTGACCCCTGATTTACTGACCACTGAGGTACTCCAGGATGAGGTACAGCTTGCCCCCCGTCTGGAAGGCGTAGATGAGATCCACGATGAAAGGATGCTTCACTTCCTCCAGGATGTTCCTCTCTGCCTTGGTGTGGGCCGTGTCCTTAGCGTTGCGTACAATCATAGCCTGCGAGGCCCCAAAACATTCATGACCATTAGTCATGCTATTACCGCTAGTCTGCCATTTCAAAAGCCGCATGATAAAATACATTTAATTATTAGTTCAAGACAAGCCGCCACTGTCAAGAATGCACTAACATGTAACTCAGTGTTGCTTAGAACATTTCTGTTTGAAATTAAGCAATTGGCTTTTGGGTGCATTTTTGTAGCATAGCTTGGTGGACAAATCTTGATGAAGTGGTATGTGACTGCATCGGTCATTAAAGTCCCTTTCACCGATCAAGCAAAAGCACTATCTATTGTGCTAAGTCAAATGGTCTGAGACAGCTTATTAACAGCCAAGTCTGCAGCAGCGAAGATGGCAACTACCAACAAGACCTTACCCACCAAAAGACTTCAAGGAAATATTTGCACACTGAAGCAACATAAAACAATTAAACAATTAGTTAATTTGCATATTTACTAAGTTTGAGACAAAATTGAGAGACACTTGAGGGCTATGCATGCTGCCAATGATGTACTAAATGTAAATGTGTTTGAATGTTGTTTTTAGGTACCTTCTTTAAAACCTTCATTGCAAATATCTTCCCCGATGCTGCTCCAGCAACTTTTCGAACTTGAAAAACCTAAAAAAGAAGAAGGTAATAACCAGTTCAACACAATGGGCCAGGCCAAATAATGACAAGTGTGATATGGAATTTCAATAATACTTCATTAAAGTAAGCCTATGAAAAAACATTTGAATAAGAGGATACCTTTCCATAACCGCCCTTTCCCAGCACCCGCAGCAGCTCAAAACACTCTGGCCTGATGTTCTCTGTTCCTTGGTTGACGTTGTCCTCAGATATCTCAATCTTCTCACAGTCGTCCATATTGCTGGGGAAAGAAGTAATGTATGTAAGTAACTATATGCTCACTTTAAATACACTGACCGAAACACGGTAAAATTACTGTACATTTACATTTTAGTCATTTAGCAGACGCTCTTATCCAGAGCGACTTACAGTTAGTGAATACATCATTTTTTTATACTGGCCCCCCGTGGGAATCGAACCCACAACCCTGGCGTTGCAAACGCCATGCTCTATCAACTGAGCTACATCCCTGCCGGCCATTCCCTCCCCTACCCTGGACGACGCTAGGCCAATTGTGCGCCGCCCATGAGTCTCCCGGTCGCGGCCGGCTGCGACAGAGCCTGGATTCGAACCAGGATCTCTAGTGGCACAGTTAGCACTGCGATGCAGTGCCTTAGACCACTGCGCCACTCAGGAACTGTTCAACACTGTAACTGTTCAACAGAATGATTTAATCGACCAGGCCTTCATAATGCTAAGTGTCAACACTTACAATTCAAAGCCGCTGCACTGGTCCATGAAATCGTTGATCTGAGCCTATGACAGAAAATGTAAATTAGCACATTGTAAAAACAAATCTGCGTTGTTACTGAAATCACTGCAGAGCCATAGAACCGCAGTAGCATCTCATTAGATTCAACAGGAATGTTGATTATATTATAAAAGTGTTCAATCTTAGACGCAAGATGGAAGGACATCAACTGAAATCAATGCAATATTAGCTAAAACATTAACTCAACATAGGCCAACATGCGAGAGCATACCATCATTACATTTATTTCAGAACCCTGGATAGCGGATCTTGAGCTGTAACCTGCTTTTCTTTATCTTGACAGCCTTGTAATTGACCCCTAATTTACGTTTATTATGTCATAAAATGTTTACAAATCTTTATGGAGGTAGATATTTTACACCCCAAAAATATGTGACGTGATATTCAGTGTTGCACAAAATCATTGCCGAAGGGCACTGAACATGAAATGTTCAATTGAGTTGTCATTCTTGGTAGCTAACTGTCAGAACATGAATACAGTTCGTTCATATGTAAACACGGCCCTATACAGTCAACTCACTAGCTAGTTATCACAAATTGTTAATAGATAGACCTATCAGAACTGTGCATGTCCACTATAACCCATGATTAAAATATTGTCCAATTTGGGATCTGCCTGTGTGTACACATAAGGACCTCCAGTCCATATTGTTCCAAATTGCAAAATGCCAAAATAAACTGTTGCACGCCAGCAACCAAAGCACGCTTGCCTTTGCTGCACACAGACTCTGTCTAGTAAGTTTGAAAATTTAATATTCAATATTAGTATAAAGCATTACGTATGCAAATGTCGTAATTCAATGTATAACAACTATCTCGCAACAGCTGAGAACAAGTGACAGCTCATGTGTTAACTTAGCTGGCTGATCTGTGTGGCTAGCTAGAATGGTAGCGTTGTCAAAATTTGGCCTAAAGCATTGGCAACAAACCAAGACGACAGGCCTATGGCTACCTAGTAAGCTAGCTAGCATGGCTATTAGCAGTTACATCGAATACTCGTGCAACCACACCCGACAGAATCGAGCACCCGACAGAATTACCTCCTCGAGCTCATCGTCGGAGACATTTTCCTCCGGCTGATCCAAATCGATGTCGAATACACCCGCCATCGCTGCTTTCGTTCAAGTTCAGTCCGTGAGAATAGCTCGCGCTACCCGCCTCATGGACAAACACACATCGCCGCCGCCATAACCGGCTACTACACGGAGCATGCGCACCACACAACAAACCAAGTGAAGCTCGGACATGATCGATTTGTTGCAGGAAACGCGGCGAGCTTCAAACCAGACTGGAATCCAAACATGAAACTGTCATTGACAGTTGGAGGAAACATAGCTAGCAAGCTTATTTTCCACACATAGTCAGTGAATATTTAGGCGAACATACTTGTAAACAACAGCTTTTGCAAGCAGGAATAGTAATGTCCATCGTGACAGTACAACTTGGACAATGTGGCAACCAGGTAGGCCAAGAGTTCTTCGAGGTGATCAGCAATGATGCAAACGATACTCAAAGAAAGGTTTACAGTGAATGCAGCAGTGAGCGGTTCTTCAATGAGACTGCAAATAGAAGTAGGTTAACTATTCCTAATGATAATAAACTGTTGCTCCTCTTCTAACATGTAAACTTAACAGATGTGTATTTAACATGTAATGTTGTCTTTGCACAGACCTGGTGGCAAGGTCAGTACTGATTGACATGGAACCCAAAGTCATCTCACAGAGTATTGCAAAGGCTGCCAAATCTGGGAAGTGGAGATATGGGGACCTTTCACACTTCAGTCAGAAACAGGGTTCTGGAAACAACTGGGCGAATGGGTAAGGATGTTTTCAAGGTGCAACATTTGTTTGGAGGGGCTGGCCACCTTGTAATTATAAAGGCTCTGAGTTTTTCATGACCACACGAAATGACAGGAAAAACTGGTCAGGTGACATCATGTAGTTAGGAAAAACTGTATGCACCACACGCCCCGCACCTGACAGCAGTGTCCATTGCACTGTAATATGACAACGCTGTGTTTTCTTTTCTTTCTGTGTAGATACTGTGTCCATGGACCGCGTCATGAGGAGGTAGTGGTGGACATTGTGAGGAGAGAGGTGGAGCGCTGTGACCGTCTGGCAGGAATCATGGCCATGATGAGTGTGGCAGGTGGCACAGGGTCAGGAGTGGGCACATATGTCACTCAGTGTCTCCGGGATGCCTACCCAAACTCCTTCATCCTCAACCACCTGACATGGCCCTATGGCACTGGAGAGGTAAGAGGCTTGCTTCAGCACCTGGAAAACATCACAGATCTGGCAACAGACATATACATTGCATTCAGAAAGTATTCAGACCCCTTGACTTTTTCAACATTTTGTTACATTACAGCCTTATTCTAAAATTGATAAAATTGTTTTTCCTCATCAATCTACACACAATACCCCATAATGACAAAGCAAAGACAGGTTTTTAGAAATGTTTGCAAATGTAAAAGTGTTTGCAAATGAAATATCACATTTACATAAGTATTCAGACCCTTTACTCAGTACTTTGTTGAAGCACCTTTGGCAGCGATTACAGCCTTGAGTCTTCTTGGGTATAATGCTACAAGCTTGGTACACCTGTGTTTGGGTAGTTTCTCTCATTCTTCTCTGCAGATCCTCTCAAGTTCTGTCAGGTTGGATGGGGAGCGTCGCTGCACAGCTATTTTCAGGTCTCTCCCGAGATGTTTGATAAGGTTCAAGCCTGGGCTCTGGCTGGGCCACTCAAGGACATTCAGAGACTTGTCCAGAAGCCACTCCTGCGTTGTCTTGGCTGTGTGCTTAGGGTTGTTGTCCTGTTGGAAGGTGAACCTTCGCCCCAATGTCCTGAGCGCTCTGGAGCAGGTTTTCATCATGGCTCTCTCTGTACTTTACGCCGTTCATCTTTCCCTCGATCCTGACTAGTCTCCCAGTCCCTGCCGCTGAAAAACATCCCCACAGCATGGTGCTGCCACCACCATGCTTCACCGTAGGGATGGTGCCAGGTTTCCTCCAGATGTGACGCTTGGCATTCAGGCCAAAGAGTTAAATCTTGATTTCATCAGACCAGACCAGAGAATCTTGTTTCTCATGATCTGAGAGTCCTTTAGGTGCCTTTTGGAAAACTCCAAGCGGGCTGTCATGTGCCTTTTACTGAGGAGTGGCTTCTGTCTGGTCACTCTACCATAAAGGCCTGATTGGTAGAGTGCTGCAGAGATAATTGTCCTTCTGGAAGGTTCTCCCATCTCCACAGAGGAACTCTGGAGCTCTGTCAGAGTGACCATCGGGTTCTTGGTCACCTCCCTGACCAAGGCCCTTCTCCCCCGATTGCTCAGTTTGGCTGGGCGACCAGCTCTATGAAGAGTCTTGGTGGTTCCAAACTTTTTCCATTTAAGAAGGATGGAGGCCACTGTGTTCTTGGGGACTTTCAATGCTGCAGCATTTTTTGGTACCCTTCCCCAGATCTGTTCCTCGACACAATCCTGTCTCGGAGCTCTACGGACTCCTTGGACCTCATGGCTTGGTTTTTGCTCTGACATGCACTGTCAACTGTGGGACCTTATATAGACAGGTGTGTGCCTTTCCAAATCATGTCCAATCAATTGAATTTACCACAGGTGGACTCTAATCAAGTAGTAGAAACATCTCAAGGATGATCAATGGAAACAGGATACACCTGAGCTCATTTTTGAGTCTCATAGTAAAGGGTCTGAATACTTATGTAAATAAGGTATTTCTGTTTTTTATTAGTAATAAATTAGCAAACATTTCTAAAAACCTGTTTTCACTTGTCTTTATGGGGTATTGTGTGTAGATTGATGAGGATTATTATTTTAAAAATCCATTTTAGAATAAGGCTGTAACGTAACAAAATGTGTAAAAAGTTAAGTGGTCTGAATACTTTCCAAATGCACTGTATATAAAGGCCTACAATTTATGCATTACAATACAGACATATTTCCTATGGAATAAGAAAGTAATACACTGCTCAAAAAAATAAAGGGAACACTTAAACAACACAATGTAACTCCAAGTCAATCACACTTCTGTGAAATCAAACTGTCCACTTAGGAAGCAACACTGATTGACAATAAATGTCACATGCTGTTGTGCAAATGGAATAGACAACAGGTGGAAATTATAGGCAATTAGCAAGACACCCCCAATAAAGGAGTGGTTCTGCAGGTGGTGACCACAGACCACTTCTCAGTTCCTATGCTTCCTGGCTGATGTTTTGGTCACTTTTGAATGCTGGCGGTACTTTCACTCTAGTGGTAGCATGAGAAGGAGTCTACAACCCACACAAGTGGCTCAGGTAGTGCAGCTCATCCAGGATGGCACATCAATGCGAGCTGTGGCAAGAAGGTTTGCTGTGTCTGTCAGCGTAGTGTCCAGAGCATGGAGGCGCTACCAGGAGACAGGCCAGTACATCAGGAGACGTGGAGGAGGCCGTAGGAGGGCAACAACCCAGCAGCAGGACCGCTACCTCCGCCTTTGTGCAAGGAGGAGCAGGAGGAGCACTGCCAGAGCCCTGCAAAATGACCTCCAGCAGGCCACAAATGTGCATGTGTCTGCTCAAACGGTCAGAAACAGACTCCATGAGGGTGGTATGAGGGCCCGACGTCCACAGGTGGGGGTTGTGCTTACAGCCCAACACCGTGCAGGACGTTTGGCATTTGCCAGAGAACACCAAGATTGGCAAAATCGCCACTGGCGCCCTGTGCTCTTCACAGATGAAAGCAGGTTCACACTGAGCACATGTGACAGACGTGACAGAGTCTGGAGACGCCGTGGAGAACGTTCTGCTGCCTGCAACATCTTCCAGCATGACCGGTTTGGCGGTGGGTCAGTCATGGTGTGGGGTGGCATTTCTTTGGGGGGCCGCACAGCCCTCCATGTGCTCGCCAGAGGTAGCCTGACTGCCATTAGGTACCGAGATGAGATCCTCAGACCCCTTGTGAGACCATATGCTGGTGCGGTTGGCCCTGGGTTCCTCCTAATGCAAGACAATGCTAGACCTCATGTGGCTGGAGTGTGTCAGCAGTTCCTGCAAGAGGAAGGCATTGATGCTATGGACTGGCCCGCCCGTTCCCCAGACCTGAATCCAATTGAGCACATCTGGGACATCATGTCTCGCTCCATCCACCAACGCCACGTTGCACCACAGACTGTCCAGGAGTTGGCGGATGCTTTAGTCCAGGTCTGAGAGGAGATCCCTCAGGAGACCATCCGCCACCTCATCAGGAGCATGCCCAGGTGTTGTAGGGAGGTCATACCGGCACGTGGATTTCCATTGATAATTTTTGTGTGATTTTGTTGTCAGCACATTCAACTATGTAAAGAAAAAAGTATTTAATAAGATTATTTCATTCATTCAGATCTAGGATGTGTTATTTTAGTGTTCCCTTTATTTTTTTGAGCAGTGTATTTCAAAGCATTTAATTTTTACATTTACATTTGTCATGTAGCAGACGCTCTTATCCTGAGCGACTTACAATTAGTGCATTCATCTTAAGATAGCTAGGTGAGACAACCACATTTCCAAAGTAGAAATTAAAAATAAATTACACGGTTACAATAATATAATTTCTGAAGTTAGAAACATCATCATCATCAGTACTCTTTGGATGACCAGTTTTCAATAACTGTTGTATTGTGCTTTCCTTTGAAGGTGATTGTCCAGAACTACAACTCTGTGCTCACACTGTCACACCTCTACCAGCTCTCGGATGCCATCCTGGTTCATGAAAATGACACGGTTCACAAGATCTGTGCCCAGCTCATGAATATCAAACACATATCATTCAGTGACGTCAACAAAGTCATCGCCCACCAGCTAGGGAGTGTTCTGCAGCCTGCACTCACTGGTGACTCCCATGGTCTCTACAATAGAAACCCCATAGGTGAGTACTGAGCAGCATCAACACTGTACTGTAACAACACACATTCTGTACATATACACACATAAACCTATGCCCCCTTCAAATGTAGTAGGGGGACGAAACAAACCAGTGTGTCAGAAAGTCTTGGAAGTAGCATATCACACACTGTGTACTGTGTTTCCAGGTGAACTGATGAGCGGCCTGGTGTGTCACCCAGAGTACAAGCTGCTCAGCGTCTGCAACATTCCCCAGGTGTCCAGCTCCTCCATGGCTTACAGCATGTTCACCTGGCCGGCCCTGCTCAAACACCTACGTCAGATGCTTATTGCCAACGCCAAAATGGAGGAAGGCAAGTGTTGTGTTGTCATAGTGCATTGGTCAGAAATGAGTGCTATACTAATATTGAACACTAGGAGCCAGTATTGACTAACTGTGACATTAATAACAGTGAAATTCCAAAACAATCGATGTCCCCATGCAACTCAATATGGGTCTATTTATATTGATGCTGTTTAGTCATACATAAATTGTATTCTCCGTTTTTTTGTTTAGCCATGATAGTTTGTATAAGCTAGCTTCTCCATCATGTGTTTACTGTTCCATGTCCAGATGTTTATGTTAATGCTCTGAGGACTGTTATTTTTCAGGCATCGACTGGCAGGTGCGAGCCCCCTCTCACCAGCCTGAAGGGATAGAGAGGGCCAGGAGTCACAGAAGACCAGGCTTCAACACCTCCCTGGCCAACCTGCTCATACTGCGGGGGAAGGATGTGAACAGTGCAGAGATAGGTAAGAGACCAGTACATAGGTGTCTAACTACTATGGGACATTGGACTTTAATACAGATACTAGTTGAGTCTATTTTATTCATTCTAGAATCCAACACTCCTTTTGAATGTTTTTAAATCTATAGGTGGATTTCAGGATCCGACCCTATATACCCCCTGGCTTCCAGCAGATGAGGCTTTCAGCATGTGGAAAACCCCAGTCCCCTTTAACAAGTATGAGAAGTCTGCTATACTGGTCAGCAACAGCCAGACTCTGCTGAGGCCTCTGGACAACATGGTGGGGAAAGCCTGGAACATGTTTGCCTCCAGGTACGGTTAGACACATAATGTAAAAAAAGGCTCACTTATATTGAAGGTTTCCAACAGGATGAGTAATTACTTTCAATTATTGCAAAAGTTTGGGATGCCATTTTCAGAAGATGAAATGTTGCATGGTAATGGTAGACTTCTACTGATCTAAACTGCCTCATTCCCAGGTTATTGGGTTTCCACATATTGATGTGGTGTCTTTTCTTCCATAGGGCCTACATTCATCAGTACACTAAGTTTGGGATCTCAGAGGAGGATTTCCTGGATAGCTTCACATCTCTTGAACAGGTCATCTCTAGCTACAGTCAACTTTGATGCTACTGTCTCCTTTGGACCAGTAATATACTGTTTGGATATGACTAAAACCGGGATTCAAACCGACCGCAAATTTGGACAATGCACTTTCAGGGTAATTTTCGATTGAGACATTATATGCAGGGAGCTGATGCTATATTGGCATTTTATTGGACAGGAGATTGGTACCAGAGAACAGTACATGTGTGTAATGTTCAAAGGAGTCAAAGTGTAATGAAAATGAATTAATAAAAATAAAAATAAAATGTTCAAGTACATTTAGAGGGGTATAAAAACAAGTAACATGTTTTATGACAGGGCTTTTTTATTGAAGATTGTTCAGAAAAGACAATTGATGCACACAAAACAGCCATGATGCCCTACAAATGTTGATTTGATCCGTTAGCCACAAAAGGTACTGAAATTAGCACATGCTTGAAAGTTTGACTATGGTACAAAAGATAGCACTCTTCAGATGGTTAATACCCAGAACTTCAGACAGCTTACAGACCGTTGTCGCCATGTGATTCAAACAGTCAACACCAGTCTGATAAGCTATCTGACAGGATGGGAGAGGGAGTAAAATACCTGCAACAACCAGGACCAAGTCTATACAAACCAGCTTCAGAAAACTAATTCCCGCACAGGACAATAAGCATTGCATTCTGTGTGAAACAATAAGCCATGATGATATACAACTTGTTCATATATTTAGTTTCAAATGACAATATATCAATTCCATATTTTCCTTAACATATAGATTGTTTTAAATACATTATTTTCAAATAGAAATGTATCTCCAATTTACAATATAGCGATCCGTATGCTTCTTGAGAATCTTGGCACTTACCTTTTGGATGTTGAAATTCTACCATTCTTTCAATCTTGGTGTTCTGATTGCCTAAGCATCATTACCTCAACAGTAGAAAATGCTCTATACAATAACATGGGGCAAGCTTACAAGAATGGAAGCAATTTTTTACATAGTTAGACCTACAATGAGTAAAATAAACTCAGACATGGAAACAATAAATGATTTAGGCATTTTATATATTCTGTCTAAATGTACTGTCTAAATGTACAGAATAAAAATTACATTAAGTTAGCTGAGTGTAATGTTAAGTTACAAATGATATCACTTTCCTTTTTGTTCCGTTTTGGTTCAAGTTAGTTCATCCAGATCATTCAAAATACATGTACATACATACCGTCCAAAAAATATTTCCAGGATGTGCAAACCATCAATAACACATTGATCCGACTTCATATTGCTATTTCCAACAAATCCAAGAAACACAAATGACAGATGGTCTATTTCTGATCAACAGGACAAAACGCAAGAAAATGTAACCCTGAAAACATCCTTAGCATCATATCAGCATACAGAAAGAGTCCATCCATACAGTGAAAAATTAGGTACAAATCAAGTCTAGTGATTAAGAACTGTGTTCAATGGAAGTAGGACCCTCCACCTTGCATAAGGCATTGCAGCTGGTATAGCTGCCAGCAAAACAGTTGACATCCAGCTTCTGCTTAACTGCTCATCATATTATAACATTATCAATCATCACACACACTAAACACAGATGAGGGGAAACTACAAAACCTTAGGAGAGACAAACAAAAGTATACATCCGTAAGCACACACAGAATAGTGCCAGTTCAGCCTCTTAAGAATGGAAGAGGGCGAGGTTGGTTTGTGAGACAGAGCCGAGGGACTCTCAGCAGTCAGTTGGTGAATCTCTTATCACTTGGTTTTCTCCTCAGTGTACCTCTGCTGCCGACTCTGTTGTCGTCGCTTGACGTAGCTCTGAGCCATAGAGTTGATGATGGAGAAGATAAAGTAACAGACCATGACCAGAACCACCTTCTCAAAGCCCCACGACAGCCAGTTCTCAGTCTGCACAGAGAGACATGCATACAGAGGAATATTACTTGACTAACACAAATGCATTACAATTTGTATTATCTTGGCAATCAAAATCACATGCTTTGTCTCGACTTAGGAAGGATGGATGATGGTAGTAGTGCTCTTACCGCCGGGGTGCCTTCTCCGGTGTGGTGGTGGAGTTTACTCCTCTGGGCCTCTAGGTACTCACTGAAGGGCTTCTGTATGGAGGGACCTACCCTCGGCAGAGACCTGACACAGCGGCAGGGCAAGGACATCCACAGGCAGGGGAGAGGTGAGGAGGGGAAAAGACGGAGACAACATTATATCCCAGAGTACTTACCATACCAGTAGTATCCCTTCACATGGTAAAAGAATGAGGCTCTGTAGAGGGAACCCTTAGTCCCATAGGACCAGGGTTTAAAGAGAGCAGTCCATTGCTCATGATGTCGAGAGTTCCATTTTCTATGTGTTTCTAGTTAGGCATCAAGTCAGGCCTCTAGCTGGGAGAGCACACAGCAGAGTGAAGTGAGGCAGTTCTCATCTCTCTTATTTATCCCTGAGGTTCCTATAAGAAACCAGTCTGAGCCCAATAACCAGGAAGTGACTCGATATGCTGTCATCACAGCCTTATGGGTGGAAACAGATCAAACTAGGCGTGTTCATCAATATGACTGTCCATATATGGGAGGGAGAGCAAAGGATTAGATCACTGTGTGGGCCACAGTTAGTTCATCGGGGTCTTTAGATTATAGTTACAGAGAATGCAGACAATTTGATTGGAAGAGAACCCTCAGACACCATGAGGTACTATAACTTGATGTACCTGAATAACTCCACAATCATTTGTAGTTGACAGTACTATACCAAAATAATTGGTATAGTTTAATCAATGTATCACAACCATCATTAAATATAATATACAAACATTTCTTAGACATAGTTACAGAGTTTCTTTTAATTCAGGTGTTAATATAAAACTTCAACATCTAAAACTTGACTAAACAGATTCAAGACAATTTACTATCAGGGGGTAAAAAAGTGAATTGGGTAATTGTAATTGCTGATCTTAAAGGGATATGGCAAGCCCATTCCCAGGCTAACTTTGACTGACTCACTCAGCCACACACACTCAGCCCGATTCAGCATTCAAGCACCAGTGTAACACATCATAGCGAGTCAGACCAGTCAACCAATTGCAATGGTAGCAAGCAAGTGTTCTTTCTCATGCGACTCATTTTAACTGTGAATAAGATGGCACTATAAACTGATCATTAGTTGTGAGTACGATTTATATTTTATTTGTAGATTTAATTTTTTTATGTGGTAAGAAATAGTCAAGGAAGAGCTGAAGATCTTAGCTAGTTATGTTGGATGTGTAATATGGAAGTGATGATTTATTTTTATTTTATACATCCTGCAGTTATTTTGTTTCCCTGCTGCTGTGGGGTAGATTCTGGTGAAGTCAAAGCTAAACTGCTGTGAGTCAGAACAGAACACATTCCATCTGATAGGACCCCACACGGCTGTCTGACCACCTATGTGGGGAATTGGTTTGCGTGTAAGGGAAATAACCTTAATGGACGAGGTAAACACACACATTGACTTTGATGTTAAGCCCCCCCAGGGCTTGATATTAACTTTATTTTACATGTCCAAAAGCTCAAGTCACTTGTCCAACAATAAACATTGTCTGTAAGAGCATTTTTACATCATTGTATGATGCAAGGAACCACTTTACAAAATAAAATGCATTACTATATTTTTCACCATAGAGAACCAGACAAATGTAGGCTACACTTTGCATATTCAAGCCTGTCTCAAAATACAACACTGCCCCTTTAAAGCTCTCCTGGAGGATGGTTGGCCACTCTTGGTAGCCTATAAAATACAGCAACATTACAATTACAACAAAATACTTGGTCTTTATAAAATAATTCCCTCCATGGCTCGAAATTAAGGGCATCCCGTTGACAAATACTGTATGTCTACGGTTCAAAACAGACTCTTGGACAGTTCTGGGAAGATGGATCCAAAATTCATACAACCACTGCACATAATAAAAAAACTAAACAAAAGCAATGATGCTGATGCAACAGATCAGACAGTTTAGCTTAAAATGTTGATACAGTAATTTTATTTCTTAATATTATAAGCTCAACAATGCGCACATGGCTTTAGGCTATGTGCGAATGTTCCAAAATGCAATTAGCAGGAAAACACCGCTCACTACATGCGCAAGCGGTTTCATGTGACAGAAATGAACATCCGCTGCTGGACAATAAAATAATGTTTGATTTGAAAACCAATAGAACATGAGAAAAATTCTGGTTTCAATAGCATAGGCTATTAGACTTAAGTGTTTATAAAATAATTCCCTCATCATTTCTATGGTCTTATTTTGGCTAGGCTAGGCTACTTTGAAACAAGTTTAAAACTATTAAGTTTATGGTTAAACATTTTCAAAATGCTGACTCGCTCCGCTCAGATTGAAAGGTGGGTGATGTGCGGTGCACAACAGGCACCGTCCTTCACTCTCTGCTCTTGTGACCATTTGATCTGAACGAACTGTGTCTTGAGTATGTTGACAGACTCAAGCCATTAGACGTTAATGTTAATTATCCTTCATTATATTTGTCAAACACCACTGCCGTTTAGCCTATATTTATGTAATTAAGTCTCATTAAAGTTTAGCTACATTTTCTTGTGCCTCCCTCATGTCAGCATCGGTTTGGACAATATGCATATCACCTACACTTTGACATGTAGGCTTTTATTTATGTACATAAAAATAGATTAGAATATTATTCCAATGTTGGCCTCTCTGATCCAATTCTGATCAGAGTAATTGTTTGATATTGTGATTTGTGTGTGATTTTTTTTACTTAACAAGAGGACAAGCATCCATGTTGAGCCCCTGCCTCCAGTAAAGCACAGAGGAAGAATGACTGGGCAAAGCACCTCTCTCTTCATCTATACGCATACATTAAACACAGACACATACTCACCCGATCAGAGACACCATCTGTTCCACTATGTGCTTGCTGAACGTTATGATAACAAACAGTTTCTGTGGGAAGACAAATTAATGAACTGGGTGATTAGTGATCAGTCTCGGACAGAGACACAGACAGTGAGAACCTGAGTCGCCATCTGCACCGGGGTGGGGGACATATCCTATGTCTGCTTTGAACACAGTGACACATGCCATCCCAGCCAACTCTAGACAGTAAAAGACCCTTGAGGTCTGCGGGAGAGGCACAAAGCCTCCCCCGGACCCTGGTCCTCCTCAACCCTGGAGGGCTTTGTCAGAACTGGTGAGATCACTGGCTGGTACCACGGAGATGAATTGGTCTGGTTAGACGGCTCAGCTCTCACCACCACGACTCACAGAGAGACACAGTCAGTCTCTCACCGTCTGGGAGTAGATTAGTCACTGTGGCAGACTCAACAATACAGCCGACAATTAAGAGTTTGATCTGATTTACAAAAAGCAATGGCTCTCATTAAAGTGCTCTCCATACTCCTTTCATCTGGAATGGTCTTCAACAGCAGCACTAGAAGTACTTCAAAACACAGAAACCATGGAATTACAGCCAACTGAACATATTCTGACATTAATGTCTGAATATGTCTAATTGGTTAGTACAACTAAAATATTTACTTGTATGTGCATCTTGACGATGGCTTTTCCAATAAGCGTCGCTCCAAAGAAGGTCCAAAATGGTACCAGGAAGTGGCCACATGTTATACCAGCCAGGTCAAACAGTGGATTAGGTATCTGAAAGACAGGTCGTAAGGTGAAAATATATCCTGTAATAGAGGAGTGCATTCGAATTCTACCTTCATTGCCATAACTTAATTGTAACAAACATCAACATACAATATTCAGCGATGCGCTTTAATAATAAAGACCTCAACTTTAAAACAGTATAAGATAACAGAGTGCATGTCAAGTCATCAAATGTAGTTTTGGACATACCGAGGCACAGGCTAGAATCCCAAAGAATCCCACTTTCTGCACCATGTTCTGAATGCCCAGTTTTGCTCTAGTGACAAAATCCTGGAAACATAAATAAACAGTTTATTATCCTATATTAATTTATGCTTAACACATTATCAAACAATTTCTTCAATAATATATCAATATCATGATATATAACCAAACTGAAAACAAAAGTCTAATGTAATTCTGAAAAGGGTGTTACTTGATAAAGAATTCATGTGGTATAACAAATGCTATCAGATGGGCTATTATATTTTCCTTTGATCTCTTTTAGCAGCTCTGGTAAAAATCCAAGCCAAGAGTTGTTGGCAAATAACTGTTGAACTCTTTTGATCTGATTGATATACACTACAGTGGGAGGGTGAAATATTGTGGTTTCATGGGGGGCAATTATGTTGACACAAAATAAAATGTATCATCTAATCAATGGTGTCTTTAGTGATAATGTGACACATACTACTTCAACCCTTTCCCTAAAACGATTCAGTTGTAAATGTCAGGTCAAAAGCATGACATGATACTGTATATCGAGACCTTGGGACTGACTATAAGGTTCTCTGACATTTGTCAAAAATGAGTTATTCACATAGAGTCGCTCTGTAGGAGGTCCTTCACATGTGACATATGTCAGATGTGAAAAAGTCAATTTACGATGAAAGAAATCTGAATGTTCTATCTGTGCAAACACCTTTGAACTTGGTGCTATAAGGTTATATCTGCAATCTAATCACACAATGCTGGGTTGTAAAAAAAAAAAACATTGTATGTAAGGTGATGTACTTTGAGTCATGAAAGAGGAAGACATCACAAAACAGTCTGGGACTTGAAAAATACTCATCATCACAAAACCATACATTTTGCAGATAGAACCTTTCAGTACCAAGTCCTTTGTTCATATCACAGGTTCTGGTCCTCTTTTGCAATTACTTTTTCAGAAAAATTGCCATCACTTAAGCTCTTTATGGTAAACATAAATACAGGTGCCTTAAGGCATGTTTAAGAACCATTGCTGTTTTAGTCTTGTTCTATATCAATAAGAAAACCTTAATGGAAGGAGTATTTCACAAAAATTACAAAAACATACCACATTTTATTGATAACTAGCAAGTAGTTTACGGACTTTGGGTGTCAGAGACCAGAAAAATATATCAGTTTACTCATCCGGAGCTAAGCTTTAGCAATGTTGCTAGTTCTGCATAGGATATAGTGTATTTGTCATTTTAGTGCACTACCGACCATGTAATGAACATTAATATATTTGATGATGTGATTAGAAAGAAGGAAGGGTATTCTTTTTATTTTATCATTAAATGTCTGTACTTATTGAAATAATTGTAACATTCTGTGCCAGATAGAACCTTATGGCTGAACCCATATTGACATTTCAGAACCTTAAGGTTCTATCTGCAATTTCTTTTTTACACAGATGTTGGATTGGATTTGGATACTCTGTAATTGAGGTACCTTTAAGGTGAGGACCTTAATGGGTTATGAAAGAAGAATTCACTATGCTTTGCGCAGATAGAACCTTATAGTCCCAAGGTCACAATATCTTAATAATAAATGAGTATGCAGCTGTACACACATTTACTGGTAGACATGATACGATGACCTTTATTTCAGATTCCATGGCATGAGACTAGACTGGAGGAAAATCTGAGCTCTTTGCTTAGTTAGCAATCTGATCTAAGGGGTAGGCTGTTCACATTGCCTGTCCTTCAAATGAAAGGATCATGAAAAGAAAGGCCTCGGGGATGATTAAAGAAGAGCTTGTTTCACTGTGACTCACTCCACTAGCAACACTGTTACTGGAAATGGTGGGAGGGGCTTTCAGAAAAGTAATGTGATAACTGGAGGCCAATCACAGGCCAGATAGAGAAGTCAGTGATGGACAGTTAAGTAGAGTTCCATCCCAAAATAAAAGACTGAAGGAGAGTATATAAGACTCCAGAGATTTGGGTGGAATGGGGCACTCAAGAGGCAGGCTACTACACTCTGTGAGAGGGGAAGACAGAGTCCCCACTCACCTGAGCAGTCTCTGCCTGCTCCAGCATCTCCTCAAACTCCTCATAGTCTTCGTCATCTGGGTCTGCTCCAGATAGCCTGGCTGCTCGGGCCATGAAGTAGGGGGGCAACTCCCCAATGGCTGTGCCTGCACCCTGGAGAGAAAGTCACACACTGGGTTAGTTTAGCACTGGTTCATACTCTGGCTCATACCAGAGTCAGGCATAGCTCTATGGTCTCTCACTACTAGATGAGGTTACGTGAGGTCAACCGAAGACTACCAATGTTGAGCCATCAAGATTCCCCGATTGTTCTAAACCCAAAGAAGCAGTTTCCCCAGGCACAGATTAAGTCCTGGACAAAAAAACAAAAACGTTTTAATGGACATTCTTCATTGAGCATGCTTTTTTTTTGTCCAGGACTAGGCTTATTCTGTGTCTGGGAAACCGCCCCATAGAGTTCACTACAATGTTGAAGCTAGATTTTAGGTTAATGATACTTATTTTTGCCATTGAAGACAGATGTTTACTTACCCACATACAGGCCTCCAGGCGGACCTTTGACACGATGGACCAGAGTGAGATGCTGCCCTCCACTCCTCCTCCCTCTGGACAGATGATCTGGTCTGGGTAGGGGGGCTCGGGGAAGTCTGTAGAACCACACTCGTACGCAGCCAGGGTGACTGATGCTATGTGTGGACCCTGAGAGCCAGAGGATGGATGGGTATTCCTTAATTCAACTGAACATGGGTATTCCTTAATTCAACTGAACATGTGCAGTTGACACACTAGAGCTGGGATGATAAACCGAAAATTACCGACACCGTCTTCTTCTTACCGAAGCATTTAGCTTACGTTGGTAATTTTCGTTGATTTTGCTATACAATGTTCCTGTAGATTGTTCTAAAACCATTATTTGGTCAACATTAATAGCCTATGCATTATGTTGGTTCCTGCTATGAAAGAATCTGCCTGTTCCTGTCGGCTGCTGACTCGGAGGAGGGAGAGATGCATTCTGAGAAGCACAAGCATATGACCATTGCGCAAAATGCTATTGCGGGACAAAGACAGTTTTCAAAGCAACTACTGTTGTTCTAGTTACAGAGAGGAGAGTCACAGCTTTCTGTGAGTATGTCAATGTGTTTCTCACCTCTTAATATTGAGTTCATGGCACCAACCGGTGTAGGCTGTAGTTAGTATGGTTCTGATGCGCCCGCAGAGCCAAGCCGAGCACGCCATTTGCCTACATCAAGTAGCCTAGGCCTAGCGCTGGAAAGTGTTTGTAGGACATTAGCCTACATTTACTGATAGCCATGTAGACTAATCGATTAATCTATCTAGCTACAATATCATGTTTAGAGTACGCAATCTAGCTAAGTGTTTTGAGTTCCCACTTCCTCAGCTGGTGAACAATAGGCTATAGCTTATAGGCCAATATACACAAAGATGTCAGCAAATTCTCTACTGAGCCAAAAATAAATCTGATAATTCCGGATCCTATTTTGACAGGTTGCACATCAAAATATCAATCATGCATTTGCTGGATATGTTAGATGAAATAGCTTTTTAAGATCATAGGCTACCACCTCAGGTGTCTTACTTGGCACTGGATTTGTTTTTGTCTAGAGCCGTGCCGCTAATGTAAACTAACTGTCCATAAAAAAAAAGTTTGTTGTATTTGTTGTTATCGAGCAAACAGCTCTAGCACCGCCCCAAAAAATTATGTATTGTAATTTATCGCCGATTTATCGTTATCGAAAAAATTTTTGGTCAATTTATCACGATATGGATTTTTGTCCATATCGCCCAGCTTTAACACACACACACAGCTGAGTCAGCACAGCCCCCCGACAGCCTGGTATGCAGCTCCATTAATCAGAGCCCAGGCTTAGTCACCTGGCTTCATTACCACAGTGACAGGAGATAGACAGAAGACAATTAGTCAGTGCTGATCCCCATAGCTCTCCTAGAGAGAGAGAGCTGACATGCTGGGGAGTCTTTTCACAATACGGGTTCACAAGGTCTCAATCCCTGACTTTCCTTCCGTTACAAATCTATACTAGTTTCACCATGATGGTGACTCAATGATAACAAGACAACACCTTTTCATTATTTGGAAATAAATAATCCTCTAAACATAGCAAATGAAATGCACGGTGGCCATTGCCTTTAGCAAAATAAGACAAACAGCCCCTACATTTCCATCTGAATCCAGCATGACCAGACTCATGAATCATACAATTATTCTTGTAACCCCCAGCAAAATGGGAGCATGGTCTCTGCTCCTTACTATGGGGTATCTAATTCTTTAGGTCCGAGGTAAATCCATAGCAGCTCTTTAGAGGGCAGATGTTTCTGGCACCCTTCAACTAGGGACTTTCCAACATGTTGACCTCACCTCCGAGGATGGTAAAGTGTGCACATAGCCTAACTATTTTAAATCAGGGAGCACAACCTCACCATTATCCAGATAGTAGGAGGATATATTGTTTTTAAGTGGCGAGTCCAAAAAACAGTTAAGCAAGCACTCCATCATATCAGCACATATTTTCACAAGTGGCTGATATTTTAGTGATGCCTTGATTCAAATATAAAGCAAACATACTGGTAATATCCACATGAACATTTGTACAATACAAAATATGCCTACCGCTATACAAATCACGACACTGCATCTTTGAATGAATATAGAATAATTTAAGTGTTTGTAAGTTGCATTAGACAAAGTGGGCCTACCACCATACAAATCATAATACTGACACTGTCTTTATGAAATCATATAGAATAATGTTTGTAAGTTGCATTAGACAGCTACAGTTTCTCATTTTGGAGAAGATGACTGAAAGCTGATGGAAAATACCACCCTCACACTGAGTGGGGAGATGTGGGAAAGGGAATAAGGTCATACACACGTCTAGGGAAGATGACACGTCATGAGGTCAACACCACCAACACTACCAGAGGCTGTGGTTTACAGGCCTGTGTCTACTAGTGGGTTTGGGTAGTGTGTGTAGTGAGGAAAATAATGGGTAGTTAGGCATAGAATTGGAAAGGCTACAAAAGTAAATTGTATTTCCAAATCAGCTATTTCAAAAGTTTAGTAGAAACCTTGCAATTTCCCATTTGTAAATGTGGAGCTGTTGACTCAAGGGTATATACATCATAAGATCTGGTGAACAATGGCCACATCCCTGAAAAAAATGGGGACCTCGACAGAATCACTTCCTTGTGTTCGTCACAGTTGAATGTTTCATTTCACCACAGCCAAGATGGACGTCACAAACATACCACTCAGTGGAGGAAGGAGTGTGACTCAACCGCAGTCACACTTTGATCACTCATGAGGAACTAGGGCTGTGGCGGTCATGAAATTATCGGGCTGTAATTGTCATGCAAATAACTGCCGGTCTCACGGTAATTGACTGTTAATTACCATAAACCCGTTTAACATCTCTGGGCTTCTACGCATAGACAAGCCACTGATGCGGACCTTTGGAACATCTACATTTTAAAAAGTCTAATAAATTCATTTAATATAGCCTACACCATCACAATAAACTATTATGTATTTTAGGCAGGTCTAAAGAAACATTGACACGCAGCCCATTTCAGAAGAACAGAATAGCATATTCTGAGTCAGCCTTATGTTAGGCCCTGACCTGGCTATGCCATATGGTTGTGGGCCTAACTAGATCATTTAGCAGATAAGATTTGCTTATAGCTCCAGTGGCATGATTTTATAGTAAGAATAATACAATTGAACATAGCGGAATAAAATAAAAATGGTATTTTCCCCAAACGATTTCCGAGGGAGTGCGCACATGCTATGTTAAGTGGTTAACAAAGTGATAATTTGAAACAGGTCCTCCTATATGCTTAATTTAGAGTTATTTATGCAACTTTAGTTGTGATACAAACCTTAGGCTACATGTTTTCATTTCTAATACATTCTAATGCCCAGTTTACATCGTGGCACATTTTATTACGCTATCTTCACGGAGTCTTGCCCCGCTACTGAAGGGACAAGTATACTGTTTGTAACGCTAGATGGAGGAGAGCATGTTTATTTGGTCCACCCATCTATTACCGGGTTGGACACCCCTTTGCCTCCAAAACAGCTTGACCTCTTCGGGGGCATTCTACAAGGTGTCGGAAACGTTCTACAGGGATGTTGGTCCATGCTGACGCAATGGCATCATGCAGTTGCTGCATATTGGACAGCCGTACATTCATGCTGCGAACAGGCTGTTCCATCTCATCACAAAGATGCTCTATAGGGTTGAAGTCTGGGGTCTGGGCAGGCCACTGCAGAGCAGCTAGTTAACTAGCCAACTAAATGCTAGGCTAGGTTGAAGATACCAGTGTAGCTAGCGACCTCCACCTAATAATTACGTCATTACCATCACAAATTTAAACGGGAGGCAACTGTCATAATATAATTGGCTTAACAGCCAATGTGTATTATTCAAGTCATCGATGGACTCTAGCTGGACTGAAAGTTATAAAAATGTCAAAGTATGCTTCGTCCGTCTTGCAACGGAGCCTTCAACCGCAAGGGGACATTGCGATTCCACTCAGTTGTGAATGTCTCCATTGAAATGCATGACATCCGGCGTAACAGTGTACTTATGGGTAATGTGAACGAGGCTTAACGCTGCGACTAATGATTTGAAAAAAAGTTGCATGAAAGGCATGAACTCTGCTCTGTTTCTTGCGCAGGCTGCACACACTTCATCAGACTATTCTCAATTGAATCTGGTCTTTACATATAACCTACGAATTTGTACAGTGAGTGTATAAATATTAGGAACACCTTCCTAATAAAAATGTTAAATCCTTCTTTAACCTGTCTCCTTATTTCTTTATTTAAAATGGCCCACAAAAAAATTAAACGTAGCATGTACTCGAATAGCGAATGGTGGAAGCTCTTCCCTCAGTTCAGTTTTTAATATGCCAGGTAGGCTACACCAGTTGTAAAGCAGATTAATGTGATACCTTTTAAGAATTGAGCCATAAATATAGCAGTACAAGAAAGCTGGGATCCTCTTTTAAATAGTGGCCAGTCAAAACTCTGTTTTCACACACGATTGCGCAATGGCTGGGTTTATAAGAACACGTTTCACTAGACTCTGTAGGCTGTAGGCTCTCCAACCCTGTTCCAGGGGTCCTAGGCCTATAGGCTATGCTTAGAGTTATTTGGCCACTTTAGTTGTGATACCAACCTTATCAAAACATATAGGCCTATGGGCTAGGCTACATGATTCATGTGACTATGATTTGAAAAAGTCGCAAAAAAATGTCTTCCCTTAAACTACACATGCTGGGCATCATTCACAAGTAATAATAATAATAATAATAATAATCACCCATTAGACTATTCTCAATTTAATATTGTCTTTACATATACCAAATAATATATGTGTGAAATTAGTTTTGATTTAGAATAGGCCATTATCAAGCACCTGTAGGAACAGGGGCTGGGGGGAAAAAGACATCTACCATATGCACATGAATAGCGAATGGAGGACACTTTTCCCGCGGTTCATTTTCATGCCAGCCAGGTAGGTTACTCCGGTTGTAAAGTGAAGCAATGTTAATATTAACAAAGTTGAGAAATAAATATAAATTTAGTAGGCCTAGCCTATAGAAAGCCGATTGGATCCTCTTTAATAGAAGCCATCAAAACTATTTTCTCACGCAATTGCATAGCCTAGCCCAGTCCAGTCATACTCAAATGGCGGACTGCGGTCGACACAGCAAAGGGTCAATACGGACCAAACAGCAACCAAACGATATCGAAGTCAGTAAATTAATTTCAGACAGCCTTCAAACATGATCGACCGGGCGCCGTTTCCCCAGCGCAGTGCAGCCTCTCTATGTCTATAGCGGTGAAGAAACACCAGCCTGGAGCCACGTCCTATCCAATCGCGTGCATTTATGTAAATCAGTCTCATGAAGAGAGCCGCGTCTCATCCAATCGCATAAATATATGCAAATATCTTTGACAGTGAAATACACTGTTGGGACTGGGAGCAAGCAGCAGGCAGACACATACGGAAATACGTCCATCGATAGACATTGTGAATGTGAGGATGGCTTGTTAAAATAAAAGTTGATAGCGAAAATCACATTTTCAAAGACTGGGTGGACAGACAAATACGCATTAATTCTCCCCGCAACAAGTTCAAAACCAATGTGCCTGATATGCTCAAGAGTCCATAGCGCTTGTGAAAAGTGCCAATATGACACAAAACACAGTCATTTCGAGCAAACTCATTCCCAAAACACAGGTGAGAACGAGAAAAATAAATAAGCTCAAAGCCCAATATTCGAGGTCCACCAAAGTTATTGTACATTCCCTGACAGCCCAAGAACGTGCAATGGAGTGCTCACTGAGAATTACTTGGGTTTTGGGAAAACGCAAAAAGCCATTTACTGACGCAGTGATGGTTAAAAAAAATGCATGAGTGAAGTTGCTGAGACCTTGCTTGATGGTAAACAAAAAGATGAGCTGAAGGAAAATATCAAACAGATCCAACTGTCAGATTCAACAGCAATGAGAAGAACTGAAATATTAGCTGAAGATTTAACTTCACAACTTGATGAGGCCATTCAGAATGCACCATGCATTTCATTAGCTGTGGATGAATCAACAGATAACACTGATAATGCACAGCTTCTGGTGTTTGTCAGATTTTATAACAAAACAAATTAGGAATTCTATGAGGAGCTGTTGGGCTTAACAAATCTAGACGCACACACACGGGGAGAGGATATCTATGAGGCCATCAAAGGGATGCTGACAAAAAGGGGGACAGATCTAAAGTCAGTGGTCTCCATCACCACAGATGGAGCTCCAGCCATGATAGGAAGAGGGAGGGGACTGGTTGCACGTTTGAAAGAGGACATACATTACATACATACATTTTAGTCATTTAGCAGACGCTCTTATCCAGAGCGACTTACAGTTAGTGAATACCTATTTTTTTTTATATATACTGGCCCCCCACCCTGACCTGACATATCACTGCATCCTCCATCAATCTGTCCTGTGTGCCAGTCTGGGAAAATAGTATTCTGAGGTCATGACAATGATGATGAAACTGATAAATGTTTTGAGAGCAACATCATCCCTACAACACCCCCTGCTACGAGGCATTCTGACAAAGGCCAATGCCAGTTTTCATGACTTACTACTGCACAACAATGTCAGATGGCTCAGCAAAGGCAGCGTTTTGGAACGCTTTTGGGCCATTCAGGAGGTAATCAAAGCTTTCTTATGAGAGCAAAAGAGTGACAAGGCAACTCAGTTTTCTGAGTTTTTGAAAGATGAGAAGATGGAAACAGTTGCATTTTTGACACCCATTACATCACATCTTAATCAACTGAATGTTAAGCTGCAGGGACGGGACAACACAGTGTGTGATATGATAACAGCAGTTCAGGCTTTCCAGAACAAATTGGAGCCTTTCAAGAATGATCTCCAGGGAGAGCTTGTCCACCTCCCCAATCTTCTGGTGCAAACGCAGGGAGACAGATTTTCCCAACCATGTTGATTTCATCCAGAAGCTGATGGATAACTTCAAGGCTTGCTTTGATGACTTCACTGTTGGAAGAGAACTGCTGCTGCTCATCCAGAACCCCGTCTTGGCCACAAATGTGACAAAGTTGTCAGAAGAAGCAAAACAGATCTTCAGATGGGTAGATGTTGCATCACTGACAATGGAGTTGATTGAACTGCAAGAAAATGGGGCTTTGAAGGAGCACACTGGTGTTTGTGACCCTGTCCCTTTCTGGGGAAAGATGGTGCCTGCAGCTGATGTCCCTGTTCTCAAGAGACTGGCACTAGACATCCTGACCATGTTTGGCTCCACATACAGCTGTGAAACCAATACCACACCAGGCTCACCAATGAACACCTGCACCAGTGTCTCAGAGTTGCTCTCAAACCATGTGACAAAGTTCAAAGAATTGGCAGGAGAGTGTAATTTTTCTCATTAATGCAGGGCAAGGCCCAGACTGACTTATACATTAATATTGCATGGCCCACAGTGACGTTCTGTGCATTCAGATTATTTTTGTTAAACTCTCCTTTGTTCTCCAGAAAACATGCACTTTATTGATTTTTTTTAAATTCAAGGGCCATGTACAATGGTTCACAGTGCACAGACAATTATGCAACCACTTTTGTTCTTCAGCAATGTTTATGCAATGTTGCACATGTTAATTACATAAGTTGTAATTAATTCAAATTCCTAGTCTCATTTAATGTATTTAATGTTTCCTAAGTCGTAGACGACTATGTTTGTTACTACGCTGTACCACAGCGCCGATAAAGGACATTATCCATCCGGAACTTTGCCACCTAGGAAATTTGTGTCGCTGGATCTTCTCAAATAGTAGTTGAGTACCCCTGGCCTAGCCTATAGAAATGTTGCGCAACATGGGCTTATAAGAACACATTTCATTCTATGCATCAACCAGCTATGAGGAGCTGGCGCTCTCTGCGCAACAGGTGATCCTATTCTGCTCAAACTGAATGTCAGGGCTCTCATGAAGTGTTTGATTTGATTTTCGATTGTATTTACATTGATGTCAGAGTGATTAGAGGGACAGAACGCCGAATACCAGGTGATTAGCGACTGGCCGTTAGCAAGTTTGGTAGGCTACTAATGACCATCAGCGGCATTAGAGCGCAGTTTTGGAGAAGCCTAGTTACCGTGACTCAACAGTCACATGGAATTTGACTGCGGTCATGACTCGTGACTGCCGGTGTAGCGGTAATATGGTCACTGTGACAGCCCTAAATCCAGATAGATAACTTTTGATAAACTGGGCCCAGAGGTGAAAGGCAGATCTATTTAGACCAGATCTGAATACACAAAGAATGAGATAGGAAGTATGAGGCCACCCACTGGACAAACTGTGGATATGTATTTTACGTTTCTGGTAGTGGTCAGTCAAACATCACTCAGATGGAAATACCCTGTGCACAAAATGTGTCCCTCTTGCTCAAAGAGGACAAGGACAAGCCTGTCAACTAATTCACCGTAACTATATATTTTTTTTAATCTATCGTGCCAGTTATGGAACAACAAGCAGAGCTAATAGGCTCACAAAAATATCCAATGACACATACTGTACCAGCATTCTTAGAAAAGTAATTACTACAGATATACAGCAGGCTTTTCCACTGTCTGAGCGTGATAAGTTAGATTACGTTTTTGTTGGCACAGCTGACAGGCAAGGGAAGGGTGGTTCTCTTACTTACCAGGTATAGTAGGAAAGTATGTAGGCCAGTCCCAAGGCCTACTGAGGACAGGATGCCCAAACCTACCCAGTAGGCACACCACAAGAACCTCTTCTCCAGGTACTGCACATACTGCAGAGGAGAACAGAAGGGGCGAGAGAAGTAGAGAGCGCTTTAGGCTTTTGCATGGACATAGATAGCCATAACATACTTCACAAGACATTTATCCTTTGGAGAGAACATTGGAGACCTATGTTATGCCAAGGATAGTGGTGGAAAAAATAGTAAATGTAAAAATTGTACACCATAATATCAACATATGAGCTAAGATTTATCCAATGTATTGGCCTGAGCCTCAAGCAAAAAAAAGTTTATTGCTCAACATATTTCCTCCTCAGATGACCTTTCCTCTAGGAATGCAGTGTATCTGAATGAACAGTTACTTATCTTTAACCATTAAACATCTAAAATAAATCAATGACAGAGGAGGTGATAGGGGTTTCTGTTTCTCTCCTTCCTTACCTTCTGGTGTGCTCCCTCGGTGGAGTAGGCAAGGGAGAAGAGTGAACAAAATACCAGGAACAAGAACACTGTACCCCTTCTTCGCCATAACCTGTAGAGGGGAGAAGTGGAACAGTTTATTAGGTACAACTACCTAATGACTAGACTGGCAAACTGAAAAAAGCTTTAAACTGATCAGTTGCTTTCTAGTTTTACTGTCAAGTAGTGGTGGTTTACTTTAATGTCCACTCCTTTAGTGTGATGAAGGTTTCCAGGAGGAAGTAGTGTAGTGTGAGGATAGGCCTCCTCCACAGCACCAGAGCGAGACGCTCCTCCCGATCTTTCTGCCTCCTCTCACTCACCACAGGGTCTGTAGATACAGGAGCACACTCGTGAGGTCAGATTAACCTATAAAGTGGGCTACTTTCAAAAAAGCTACTGCAATATCCCCTTATTTTGCGGGACATAGGCTATCGTGACTTTGACAAAATCATGTCACTGTCTAGGCCTAAGTAGGAACGTAAAGCTAGCAATTGGTGGTGTTCTCTAGTCTAGACCTTTGAATCAAGTAGAATCTTTTAGTAGTTTCTAAACTATGGAATAAAGAAGTATCCAACAGGTTGGGACCATTCTGGCAATACTGGAATGTTGCAAGAAGAACTGCCAATAGAATACTTTTTGCAGTTGCTGCATACCAATAGCGACACACACCATTATCCTTCCTTGGTAAAATTGTTTATCTATTATCCATAAACACAGCCTAATGCTGGTTCACTTGGATAAGTTTCAAAACCGACCTGCAAAATGTCCATTCTGTTTGTCTTTGGTTCCTCGTTGCTGTGGTTGTTCACAGCTTGCCCCATTCTTTGCCATCTCATTCACTGTTAAATCGACCAGACAACCTGAAGACAAGACCAGCAAACACGTTTTTTAGGGTTTGGGCCTCTGTCAACGGTAGGAAGCGCATTAGCTAGTTATTGCTTGTCACTGAATGACAGCTAGTGGCAACATCTCCCACACGCTAAAGTTAGCTAGCTAACCGGCATGCACACTAACAACCAGCTAATAACAAGTAACCCTTATTCATGACTCGAACTCCATTGGATTACATTGACCGGCTGTGTAAACCACCTTGGGTTTTCGAGAACTAGCTAGCAAGTAAAGTGTGTAATAACGCTCCATTAGCTAGCTGGCTGGAGTGAGTTTATAAAAACATATAGTTAGCTACAATTAAATTTGTCAATGTTTATGACTATGAATAACTGATTATAAACTACAGTAACCTATTGCATGCTGACGTCGCTAGTGAGCCAGGTAGCTCTGTCTAGCTAAGCTTAGTAGCTAGCTAGCGACACTGGGGAATATTATAGGCTACAACAACCATGGAAACATGTTAGGATCTAGTTACTTCAGTTGTTGTGTTGACTGTAATGTCACAACTCAGTTCACAGTCGAAAATTATACATATTCTAGCCAAAGATTAATTTGTTAGTCACACAAATGGAATTAAATGAGCTGTCATACCTCTGAGCGTCTCCTTCCTGGAGGAATCTTCTTCTTCTATGGTATATTGGCGTTCGCACAAGTTAATGTGCATCCCGCCACCTACTGTGCGGGGTAGAAACAGGATTCCCAAAAATGGAACAAAATATCCCACCAAAAAACTACAAAGCTACAAAAAAATTACAAAAAAATAGACTAAACCAAATCAAACAACTTTTCTGAACCTGGTACCCCTTGCAAGTCTTCAGATGTAAAATCCTTGCAAGTCTTCAGATGTAAAATCCTTAAGTCCCAAAACCTTTTCTGCCACAGCCACAGTAATGTCCAGTTTCTTGGACTTCTTTGAGACTTGTGCCGTATAGTTTATACCTGTGGCAATGAACTCCACAAAATTTTACCACACAGGGTATCTTTTGACTGGCAGCAAACATTTACTACAGGCTGTGGTGCGTCCACTACCATATCTTCACTAGCATCACATAGCAAACATAGCCTAATCCTTTACAATTCTAACACAGCAATTGTTTGGGGACAAAAGTTCTTACAGTGTATCTTACATAACCAACCTTCCCATTTGCTCTTTATCAAAAAACAACAGGACCGACAGACTTTCTTCTTTTTCTCTATTCACCCAGCGGGTCAGACGCCAGGCACCAGCCACACCAGTATTTTCTTCAAGTATTCAATCTGAGCATCCGTCGTCACCCCTGAGATGACTCCTTTGACGGGTGCTCTTCTCCTAAGTTCAAAACACAAAACGTATGTTGTTCGTATTCTTTTGAGGCTCACTGCAATCTTCCTCTGTTCTTCAAAAAAACAATTAATCAAAATAAGACCACTCCTGGTCAGTCTGACAGACTCCACTTTTCCCAGCGCATACTTCACAATTTTCGACACCTCAAATGGGTTTCCCACATATGCATCCTTACTCAACAAATGGCTCCCGAGTGGCGCAGCGGTCTAAGGCACTGCATCGCAGTGCTAGAGGCGTCACTTCAGACAAGGGTTTGATCCCGGGCTGTGTCTCAGCCGGCCACAACCGGGAGACCCATGAGGCGGTGCACAATTGGCCCAGCGTCGTCCGGGTTAGGGGAGGGTTTGACCGGTGGGGGTGTCCTTGTCCCATCGCGCTCTAGCGACTCCTTGTGGCGGGCCGGGCGCATGCACGCTGACTTCGGTCGCCAGTTGTACTGTGTTTCCTCTGGGATAAGCGAGCAGTGTGGCTTGGCAGGGTCGTGTTTTGGAGGACGCACGGCTCTCGACCTTCGCCTCTCCCAAGTCCGTACGGGAGTTGCAGCGATGGGACAAGACTGTAACTACCAATTGGATATCACAAAAAAGGGGTACAATGTTTTATTTTTAAACGCATCCCAACAAGAAGTGATTCATTATCATTCATACACGTATCCCAGTGGCGATTTTAGCATCTAAATCTTGGTGGGGCACTTTATGCATGCCAGCAAAGCCACTACACAACACAACACTAAACAATACATGAATTGCACTATAACAGTGACAAACGGTGCCCACAAACTGTTAGGGCCTACATAAAGTCCCAACAGCAGTCCCAACACCTTACCACTGCTACACCTGGCTATCAGCGGAGCCTTGTCTGGCAGCGAAACAGTTCACTCAGCCTCATTTACTGCCTTTAAAAAAAACATAGCTGATATGGCTGACTTACTTAAACAAATGTGGTTTCTACTGACAATTGAGATGTACAAATTATGGCATAAAGGAACGACGAGCAGATAAGAGGCAATCCGTAATATCGTTTAAGACATTCATGAACAAGCTAGGATGGACGTAGTCAATATAACTATTTGTTCAAAACTTTTGAAATGTACAGCGACAGAATTCAGAACATGGGCCGTTCTTACAGTATTCTCCCTGTACAACAAGTCAGAACCATAGGATAAATAAAGGGGGCATATAAGCAGACAATGAAAGCTCTTACAATATTTGATGATGACATTTCTCTACAACAGGCTATAGGCTAAATGTGTACCACCAAGTCAGAACAGTAGGCTACGTTATGAGAGGAAAAGGGACTAAATTATTAGGGTGTGGCACATGGGCTACTAACAGCTTACTACACAACATACACTTAGTATTACTTTCTTAGCTGCAGTATACATATCTCCCTGGCATATTATGTCGTTTATGCAGCAGCATACAATACATTTTTGGACTCACCTTGTTGTGCTGTGCTCACTTGAACAGGAAGGTGGTGCGGCGGTCCTTTGTGGGCAAATTTTGTCATCAAACTTTTTCATCAAAGACGGGCATTCTCTGGATTTATGGTGATTTCAAGACAACTGGGAACTCTGAAAAAGGTTGAATCATGACATCAGTGATCTTCAGGTCGGAGCGCTAGAAAGAGGCCCGATTTCCCAACTTGGAATTCAGAGTTGGATGACCGTTCAAAACGTATTTTCCCAGTCGTAGCTCGTTCAAATCAAAATAAAATGAAATGTTATTTGCCACATGCGCCGAATACAACAGGTGAAATGCTTACTTACAGGCCCTTAACCAACAATGCAGTTTTTAAGAAGAAAAAAAAAGTGTTAAGTAAAAAAAAGATAAGTAAAAAAAAGATAAGTAAAAAATAGAAAAAAGCAAACAATTAAAGAGCAGCAGTCAAATAAAATAACAGGCTATATACAGGGGGTACCTGTACAGAGTCAATGTGCGGGGTTAGCGGTTAGTCAAGGTAATTGAGGTAATATCTACATGTGGGTAGAGTTTCCAGTTGTCTTGAACTCACTGAAGTCTGAGATTTCCCAGTTCAGAGTTTCGAGTTGTTTTGAACTCGGCAGAAATCATGCTGGATTGACAACATGGCCAATGTTGAATGTTTATCATTTTAAGCTTGGAAAAGAGACCCTTAAACCCAGAGTTGGACCACACACCCTCTCCACTGAATAGCAGGCTAGTGATTGCTTTGCAATGCTTGCACTTAGCCACTGATTCCTTCCAAACCACTCATTGTTGAATTTGCGATTTACAAGTTGTTGTGTAATGTTTATGAGCACCAATACGTTTTATCTATAATTTCTCTTACATTTACATTTAAGTCATTTAGCAGACGCTCTTATCCAGAGTGACTTACAAATTGGTGCATTCAACTTAGGATAGCCAGTGGGACAACCACCCTTTTCCCTTTTTCTTAAATGGGGGGGGGGGGGGGGGGGGGGGTAGAAGGATTACTGTTATACTATTCCAGGTATTCCTTAAAGAGGTAGGGTTTCAAGTGTCTCCGGAAGGTGGTCAGTGACTCTGCTGTCCTGGCGTAGTGGGGGAGCTTGTGGCAGAGCAGCGAATAGCTTTGACTGGGCTGAGCAGGAACTGTGCTTCCGTAGAGGTAGGGGGGCTAGCAGGCCAGAGGTGGATGAACGTAGTGCCCTCGTTTGGGTGTAGGGTCTGATCAGAGCCTGAAGGTAAGGAGGTGCCGTTCCCCTCACAGCTCCGTAGGCAAGCACCATGGTTTTGTAGTAGATGCGAGCTTCAACTGGAAGCCAGTGGAGTGTGCGGAGGAGCGGGGTGACATGAGAGAACTTGGGAAGGTTGAACACCAGGGGTTTAATGGCACAGGCAGGGAGCCCAGCCAACAGCGAGTTGCAGTAAAAATATGTAAATCATTACATTAATATGTTGGTAACCCTATGTATTAAAGTGATAATGCCCTCGAAGCGGGTGTTTGGAGGATACATTGGCACAACACCCCTGCCAATAAATCCTACAAACACCAGCTTCTCGGGCATTATCACTTAAAAGGATAAAGCTAAGAACTTCATAGTTTAGAACACTATAAAAATATGGAAGAAAATGAAACGGATTCTACAAGAACCAATATCACTTCCTAAAAACACAACCTTATGGAACAATCATTGGATAGCTTTTCAGAATTCACAGATAAATTGGTCCACATGGAAAACTAAAGGCATAGAAACCGTAAATGATTTGGTAATAGGAAATACAATTATTTCCACGACAGAATTAAAAAGTAATTTTGGATTGACCAATGTAGATATACTGAACAGAAATATAAACACAATATGCAACAATTTCAATGATTTTACTGAGTTACAGTTCATAAGGAAATCAGTCAATTGAAATGAATTAGGCCCTAATCTATGGATTTCATATGACTGGGCAGGTGCGCAGCCATGGGTGGGCCTGGGAGGCCATAGGCCCACCCACTGGGGAGCCAGGCCCAGCCAATCAGAATAGGTTTTTCCCCACAAAAGGGCTTTATAACAGACAGAAACAGTCCTCAGTCCAAGGTATACACACAAGTTACTCTTGCTATATTTTTCAGCAGCCTTTCCCTTACCATTACAGCTAAAATGATTGCCACTGACTGGCTGTGTAGTCCAACTCCAAACACCTGCATTATCAAGTTCAATTGACAGGACTTTGGTTTGCTCTGGATGGAGACTTACTATTTTTCAGGTTTCCATGATGTTGATTGCGCTGCAGAAGTGTCTTTAGTGCTTCAGGGTCAAATATAGTCTGTCCACATTCCTCCAAGACAGAGGGGGCAGCACTGAGCCATGCTGCCGTCTGAGGAGCAGAGGAATATACAGTTAAAATACACTATGCCAGACACCTGATGTTTTACACACATGGAATTACCTAAAATGTCATGTGAAGTATTTTCTATTCAGTTGTACTCTGGCGATCTTTGTAAGACAGCAAACTATTTTTTTGGCATACAACCTACTGTAAACTAAAAGGATCAAACGTATACTGTGATGCTTTAATCTGTACCTGTGTGAAGTCTGGCACAGGTTGCAGCTCCTCCAGTCTGGAGAGGAACTCCCATACCAGTACCTGCACTGCTGTGTCATACTGAGGGCCGTAGTGTACTGGCAACACCTCCTGAAAAATAGATAATTTAACACAAAGTCCAGTGCCAATGCTGATACAAGCAATAAGCACTTTATAGTCACGAACCAGAAAGATCTCTTACCTGAAAGAAGTGCTCCCTCTCAGAAGGGTCTTCCAGCAGGGTTTGGACCAACTCCACAAAGTTAGACTCTGTAGCCTCCAACTCATCATCATTAAGGACCCTGGGACTAAACACCTCCCTCTGCAACTGGATCCTGGACTTCCTGACGGGCTGCCCCCAGGTGGTAAGGGTAGGTAACAACACATCTGCCAAGACATCTGCCAAGCTGATCCTCAACACAGGGGCCCCTCAGGGGTGCGTGCTCAGTCCCCTCCTGTACTCCCTGTTCACCCATGACTGCATGGCCAGGCACGACTCCAACACCATCATTAAGTTTGCTGACGACACAACAGTGGTAGGCCTGATCACCGACAACGATGAAACAGCCTATAGGGAGGAGGTCAGAGACCTGGCCGTGTAGTGCCAGGATAACAACCTCTCCCTCAACGTGATCAAGACAAAGGAGATGATTGTGGACTACGGGGGAAAAAAGAGGAGTGAGCAAGCCCCCATTCTCATCGACGGGGCTGTAGTGGAACAGGATGAGAGCTTCAGGTTCCTTGGTGTCCACATCACCAACAAACTATCATGGTCCAAACACACCAAGACAGTTGTGAAGAGGGCACAACAAAGCCTATTCCCCCTCAGGAGACTGAAAAGATTTGGCATGGGTCCTCAGATCCTCAAAATGTTCTACAGCTGCACCATCGAGAGCATCCTGACTGGTTGCATCACTGCCTGGTATGGCAACTGCTCGGCCTCCGACCGCAAGGGACTACAGAGGGTAGTGCGTATGGCCCAGTACATCACTGGGGCCAAGCTTCCTGCCATCCAGGACCTCTATACCAGGCGGTGTCAGAGGAAGGCCCTAAAAATTGTCAAAGACTCCAGCCACCCTAGTCATAGACGGTTCTCTCTGCTACAGCACGGCAAGCAGTACCGGTGCGCCAAGTCTAGGTCCAAAATGCTTCTTAACAGCTTATACGCCCAAGCCATAAGACTCCTGAACAGCTAATCATGGCTACCCGGACTATTTGCATTGTCCCCCCACCCCACCCCCTATTTCACACTGCTATTACTCTCTGTTTATTATCTATGCATAGTCACTTTAACTCTACCCACATGTACATATTACCTCAATTACCTCGACTAACTTGTGCCCGCGCACATTGACTCTGTAACGGTACACCTTGTATATAGCCTCCCTACTGTTATTTTATTTTACTGCTGCTCTTTCATTTAATTTATTTTTTATTTAATACTTACCTATTCTTTTTACTTAAGACTTATTTTTCTTAAAACTGCATTGTTGGTTAAGGGCTTGTAAGCATTACACTGTAAGGTCCACACCTGTTGTATTCGGCGCATGTGGCAAATAAAATGTGATTTGATTTGATTACTCTGTCAGTAAGCATAAACAAACAAAACAAATGACATCAGACATTAACTTAACCTCAACATATGGGCTGAACACATCTTAAAAACATATTTGCTTCACTTTAAAATGTTGCCAAAATAAGTTAACTTAACTCTTTGTGTACAGCGTATTCTGTCAAATAATGGATTTTGTCCAGGTGAGGCTGAATGGTCACGAGGTCAGCTGTGCTCTCATTGCGACATAACTCCAGAACCAGCTGAAAAAGAGGTAGACATGTGAGAGGCAGCCCCAGGGGAAAACATACTATTTGCAGCTAGTAGCTGCCCATACTTTATCAGAATCCTCTGCATTTCCACCTCTCTCACCCTTGCTCTCAGACCCAGGAGGAGTTGGGTCCTCTGCCTGGAACTCAGCACCTCAGGAACCATCTCTGTCACCAAAGTCACAAACTCCTCCAGTTTCCCATAATGCTTTACAATATGCTGCTGAGCCACTTGCCACAAGAATGCTAACATCAGGCATAATAGTGGAGCAAGGAGACGCAGTGAGGACAGAGTTAAACCGGGACCTACAGTGGGAAACACAAACAAATCCAAGTTTAAACCTAAAATATTGTACAGGTTAGATCTAAAATGTCTTTAGCTAGGGTTTGGGATACTAGCCAGCTTCAGTGAATATCTATAAAGCCAGCCACCGTTTTAAAAGCACTCACACAAAAAACAAGCAAGTTACCATTTTGAAAATGTATAGTACAACTTAATTTACCAGAGTCTTCCGCCTCTGGCAAGGACTTAGGCTGAATCGACTCCAAAAGCATTGAAGTTCTTTTTCGCTGACTGAGGACAGCATCCATGATGGCAAACCATCTTCTTCCACGAATGTTGGAACTATGTTTGCTAGTGTAGGTCTTGATTTTTTTTGTATTCCTGTTTCAGCTTTTTTATTTTCTCTCTGCACTGCTTAGACGTCTTCGTAGATCCGAGGGCAGCGAGCCCTGAACTAAGTTTGGTAAAGACTCTCTTGTTTCTCACTGCGGAGAGAAGCTGCTCCTGAACACTCCCATCTGCCCAGTGTTAACAATGCATGGACCTCCTCAGGTGACCAGCTGTCTCGAGATTAATCTGTGAGTGCTCCAGATCAGTTAAAAGCACTTACAAACTGGCAAACAATGTTAGCTAGCAAGTTTATGCAGTTTTCCAAAAAGGTGTGCTAGATAAGTGTTTCTCAACATCTGACTATTTTACTGTCTGGTCCCTCAGATGGTTAGCAGACATTACTAAATGACTTCCCATAATGTTCTGCTTCTAGAGGGGAATCAGTCGACTCCTACAGCATAGTAGGGGAATTTATCATAGCAGCGGAAGTACCTATTCGGTGACCAAGGAAACCATGGACCTCATCAGGTGTCCAACTGGATGGAGATTTGTCTGGGGAAGCACCAGATCAAATCAAATCAAATTGTATTTGTCACATGCGCCGAATAGAACAGGTGTAGACCTTACCGTGAAATGCTTACTTACAAGCCCTTAACAAACAAGGCAGTTCAAGAATGAGTTAAGGAAATATTTACTAAATAAACTAAGGTAAAAAATAATAAAAAGTAACACAATAAAATAACAATAACGATGCTATATACAGGGGGTACCGGTACTGAGTCACTGTGCGGGGGTACAGGTTAGTCGAGGTCCAGTGCCAATGCTGATACAAGCAATAAGTTGACAAACAGACAAACAATATTAACTTCCGAGCTTGCAGTCGCAGGCCAAGTTAGTGTTTTAAAAATGTGCACTAGTGTAGATGCTGTACTAGACAACTTAACTTACCAGAATCTTCGACTTCTTGTGGGGAATCAGGTTGAGTTGACTCCCAAATCTTTCCATCTGAATCTATTACCAAAGTACTTGGTTGGTGACGGAGGACACTATCCATGATGGCAAACCATCTTTCTCTACAGCGGTTGTAGCTTCTCTTCTTATTGTCGTCCTTGATTTTATGGTACTCTTGTTTCAGCTTTATGATTTTCTCTCTGCACCTCTATGACGACCTGTTAAACCCCAGGGCAGCGAGCTCTGAACTAAGTTTGGTAAAGACTCTCTTGTTTCTCAATCCAGAGAGGAGATGCTCCTGAACACTCCTGTCTGCCCAGAGTGTTAACAATGCATGGACCTTCTCAGGCGTCCAGCGGGATGGAGATTAATCTGTGAATGCACCAGATCAGTTGAAAGACACTAGTAAGCACAGATAAAATGTTTTCCGGTAAGGTCGTAGGTAATTTAGGCTTACTAAAAATGTAATGGATCAGTGTTTCTCAGTTTACCATAATCTTCTGCTTTTTCAGCCTAGAAGCTGAATTTATCCCCTCAGACCCTGAAGTTCCTGAACGCTGACTAAAGAAACCGTGGGCCTCATCAGGCATCCAACTGGATGGAGACTTGTCTGTGGAAGCACCAGATAACATGTGTACTCAACACAAACAGGGTCACAATAACTAGCAAAGCTTGTGTAACACGGTATATGTGAGCTTTGTACTGTACTTCCTCTGCCCAGAGACCTGGTCTTAGCCTATGTGGCACAAGCTGCTTCATTCCCACCACTGCTACCAATGTAGCGGGAAAGAAGAGAGAGCTGCATCGAGGCTTCTACGGTGCAGATGCGAGCGCCTAACGGACTGTACCACAAAAGCCTGGGCCTCTGGGCAAAGCAGTATAACGCTCACATACGCAGTGTTAGCCTACACTTGCAAGTAGCTTTAGCTATGGAAACACCATTCACCATTTCCTAATGTTACTTAGCTTATAACACTGGGAAACCAGTGGAGGCTGGTGGGAGGAGTAATGGCTGGAATAGAATAAATGGAATGGTATCGAATATCATCAAACATATGGAAATCACGTTTGACTCTGTTCCATTTATTCCATTCCAGCCATTCCAATGAGCCTGTCCTCCTATAGCTTCTCCCACCAGCCTCCACTGTGGAAACCGCATGGAAAGTTACAGCAGTGTTGCCATGATGAAAAAAAGGCAAATAGGCCATGGTCCAATACTTTTTTGCCTGGCCTCCAGTGGTGGAAATACAGGCCAAGCACTGGGGTCAACCAAAGACTTATATATACACTAGATCACTAATAGGGGGCACTGGGTTGAAGCCGGCTTGCCTCCATCTTGGCACTCCCCCACGTTGTAAAAAATATTTATAGAAATGCATTTATTAATGTCTACATTTGTTTTTGCTACATTTATTTTATTACAGACACCTTAATGCATACTTTAAAATTATACTGTGAGCTAAACATACAAATAAAAACATTTTCCTTAAAGTATATGGGTCATTCTACAGATTCGGTGCCTTTTGTGATTGAGGAGGATGAAACAATGAACATTAAAATCTTAAGCTTTTTTTTATTTGATGTGACAAAGTAATGTGTGTACTTGATAGAAAATACCTTTTCCCATCTCAATGTAGAGTATTAAGTTATTATTCTGTATTATTTTCTCAAACAAGTCCCAATTTAATTCAACCCCGTCACAGTCATTTTGTTATTCAACTATTCATTTTTCCAATAAGCTTGAGATCAGCTTCTGGCATAATCTCACAGTTTAGATGTCCCTTGTAAATAATGGCATATTGTAATTAAAGAGAAAATCAAGAAAAACTGACCAGCACCATCCTTTCCAGTTTACGATGAAGAAATTTCTAATCTAACTCCACATTTTCGCAAGAAATGTGCAAGAATGCTGCGTAATTCCTGACAAAATTGAAATAGCCTTATTTACCCTGATTTAATACACACAATAAAAACACTATTGATGTTATATTTTGTGTATTTAATACAAAAATGTAAAAAAATAATCTCGTAACAAGGATGAATGCACCGCAACAGGGTTGAAAATCATGTAACAGGGTTGAGTGAAAAGCATCACGTGTCATATGTTTTATCTTTTGAGATCACTAACATGTTGCCATTTTTTAAACATTTTAAACATTTTAAAACCTACTGTCAACATAGCTTTTAAAATCTAAAGAATCTAGATGAAAGCTAGACAGAGTAAAACACATTAATGAACTAATAACAGTAACAACATTTCATTGATTTCATAAAAATATCCATCTGATAATGGCAGGAGTCTGTTTGAACATTGAGCAAACATCTTAACATTGATAACCTATATAGGTCACATGTTGCCATTTTTTAACATTTTAAACTACTGTCAACATAGCTTTTAAAGTTTAAACAATCAAGATGAAATCTAGACAGATTAAAACACATTAATAAACTAACAACAGTTACAACATTTCATTGATTTCATAGAAATATCCAGAGTAATGGCAGGAATGTCTGTGTTGTTTGAATGTTTGAACATTAAGCAAACATCTTAACATTAATAACCTATAGGTAAGCCTACAGTTTGTTCACCATTTTTACTGAGAGAGCCTAGCCCACACTTCCTTCTGTATTTCCATGTGCCTAGAAGTCACCGGTTTAGGGGGATCAATGTGTTCCAAAATGTCCTCAAATGGATACCACAGGATATCATCAAGAAGTGGCCAGAAGTACCTATTTGGTCCAGCACAGCACATGCATTTGACCTGCACATGGGATTCATCTGTGGCTAGAATTATTCCGGGATAGAAATCGTCATCATATTTGGCCACGCACCATTTCCCGCATATGTCTGGATTTGCCCAATCAACCTCCCTCTGTGACACGACTGATGTAACTTTAGGGGTAAATGTGAAATGTTGTGTATTGAAACACTGGCATTCCAGTTTCTTGTTGTGGACTGTGCACATACAGCTTACATCACGGTAGGCAATTTGCCTTGCAGCCACACAAACAACTTGGTGGATCCGCATTGTGGATGGAACTACTGGCAAATCTTTGCCTTTCTGCTGCTGTTTTTGCCATTGTTGAATCTGAAATTGTAGGTCAAGGTCAAGTCAATGACCAGTTTACTCTCCAAAACTAATTACTGTATCCTTTTAATCACTATGTAGTAAAATGAACGTGAACTTGCAGATAATACTCCTAAATATGTCAGTACAAACCAGTCGGCTAGTGAACATGAACCCCTCACGCACCAGTTGCCAAGGCAGTATACTGTATGTCTTTTTAGACTAGTCTTCATTTACATTCTCTAGTCTTTTTATGCATTACCAAATTATGCTTTAAAGCAACAAAACTTTATTTTCTGTTGATTGTGTGTCCATGACCACCACCACCTCGTGTCTTAAAGATCTTACATTTCCAGGAGAATTACCTGACCACCGGCGCGCGGATGTCCCTCACCTTCCTCTCTATGTGTGTTTCCTTTCTGCTGCTGTTTTTTCCATTGTTGAATCTGAAATTGTAGGTCAAGGTCAAGTCAATGACCTGCTTACTCTTCAAGACTAAATATTGTATCCTTTTAATCACTATGTACTAAAATGAACATGAACTTGCAGATAATACTCCTAAATATGTCAATGTATATAGGAGAGAGAACAAATTAATTGTCACTTTTTTAAAGTTATTATTTTCAAAAATTCCTCGTACTTTTAGTTGATACTGTAAAACCGTAAACAACAAACATTCAACAAGAAAATATGATTGTATTAAGCAATATACATTAAATATTGCTAAGATTTAACAGCCATTCAACCCTGTAACATTGAAAAATGTGATGGGGTTGAAGATTTTGTGCTAATCTGTTGCTAATTCGGGATACTAGCAGCTAGCAGTGTGCCACATGGCCTTATTCAACAAAAGACATTGTTATACTTCATAGCTATAAAAACAATTCTTGGTAAAATCTTAACTATGAATTCCCCCCCCCCCCCCAACAGAGTTGAATACCTGAGATTGACAAAGCCCATACAGTGGGGAAAAAAAGTATTTAGTCAGCCACCAATTGTGCAAGTTCTCCCACTTAAAAAGATGAGAGAGGCCTGTAATTTTCATCATAGGTACACGTCAACTATGACAGACAAATTCAGAAAAGAAAATCCAGAAAATCACATTGTAGGATTTTTTATGAATTTATTAGCAAATTATGGTGGAAAATAAGTATTTGGTCACCTACAAACAAGCAAGATTTCTGGCTCTCACAGACCTGTAACTTCTTCTTTAAGAGGCTCCTCTGTCCTCCACTCGTTACCTGTATTAATGGCACCTGTTTGAACTTGTTATCAGTATAAAAGACACCTGTCCACAACCTCAAACAGTCACACTCCAAACTCCACTATGGCCAAGACCAAAGAGCTGTCAAAGGACACCATAAACAAAATTGTAGACCTGCACCAGGCTGGGAAGACTGAATCTGCAATAGGTAAGCAGCTTGGTTTGAAGAAATCAACTGTGGGAGCAATTATTAGGAAATGGAAGACATACAAGACCACTGATAATCTCCCTCGATCTGGGGCTCCACGCAAGATCTCACCCCGTGGGGTCAAAATGATCACAAGAACGGTGAGCAAAAATCCCAGAACCACACGGGGGGACCTAGTGAATGACCTGCAGAGAACTGGGACCAAAGTAACAAAGCCTACCATCAGTAACACACTACGCCGCCAGGTACTCAAATCCTGCACTGCCAGACGTGTCCCCCTGCTTGTCCAGGCCCATCTGAAGTTTTCTAGAGTGCATTTGGATGATCCAGAAGAGGATTGGGAGAATGTCATATGGTCAGATGAAACCAAAATATAACTTTTTGGTAAAAACTCAACTCGTCGTGTTTGGAGGACAAAGAATGCTGAGTTGCATCCAAAGAACACCATACCTACTGTGAAGCATGGGGGTGGAAACATCATGCTTTGGGGCTGTTTTTCTGCAAAGGGACCAGGACGACTGATCCGTGTAAAGGAAAGAATGAATGGGGCCATGTATCGTGAGATTTTGAGTGAAAACCTCCTTCCATCAGCAAGGGCATTGAAGATGAAACGTGGCTGGGTCTTTCAGCATGACAATGATCCCAAACACACCGCCCGGGCAACGAAGGAGTGGCTTCGTAAGAAGCATTTCAAGGTCCTGGAGTGGCCTAGCCAGTCTCCAGATCTCAACCCCATAGAAAATCTTTGGAGGGAGTTGAAAGTCTGTGTTGCCCAGCGACAGCCCCAAAACATCACTGCTCTAGAGGAGATCTGCATGGAGGAATGGGCCAAAATACCAGCAACAGTGTGTGAAAACCTTGTGAAGACTTACAGAAAACGTTTGACCTGTGTCATTGTCAACAAAGGGTATATAACAAAGTATTGAGAAACTTTTGTTATTGACCAAATACTTATTTTCCACCATAATTTGCAAATAAATTCATTACAAATCCTACAATGTGATTTTCTGGAATTTTTTTTCTCATTTTGTCTGTCATAGTTGACGTGTACCTATGATGAAAATTACAGGCCTCTCTCATCTTTTTAAGTGGGAGAACTTGCACAATTGGTGGTTGACTAAATACTTTTTTTCCCCACTGTATGTGCTTAAAAAACATGAAATATTTATAAAAAGTGAGAGAGCAGCTTACCACTTGTCACACCAGGCTTCTCTGAAGACTTGTATGATGTCACTTCCTCATAAATGATGTCCACAGGATCAAACCATTATTTAATTGTGAGTGGGGGTATTGTTGCGTTACGGGGTTGAAAGAAATACAAGGACAGGGGTAAAAGCCTGAATTTCTCAGAAAATAAAATGTATTATGCTGAGAAAATGGATTATGCATAATAAGGGGGCATATACAATTAATTTAACAAAAAAAAAGCATTATTATTTAACACTGTGTACTCAAAATGAGTCACGCCATTTGCATGATGGTCAATAGGGACAGGCGAAATTCTTAATACTCCTAAGAAAAGCAAACTTCATCTCTGTTTAAAATCATATTCTCTACTCCATATTAAAAACATGTAAAACTTTGAAATGTTGTAATTTAAGTGTAGTTTGATAAATGTTCTGACAAGTTATAACACTAGTACATCTTGGGACACTGACAATACTGAAATGTCACCGAATCTGTAGAATGACCCAAATATTGTTTTAATTACTAATGTTGCTGTCCACTACAACAATAAAAATACTTAAATACTTGTAATTTTGTCATTTAATTCCTATGGAGGACTGCTCTACTGGGGAGTGCCAATATGGCTGAACGGTGGCTTCAAAGCCTCTCAATGGCCAATACCCATCAGTAATCCAGGGTTTATATACATCATTGTGTAAAACCCTGAAAAGTGACATTAGTCCAAGTTACCGGGATCTTGCGCCTCTGGTGGGAAATCAGGCATGGACCACCTGCACTGTTGTGTTGATGTTTTGATAAAGCCTTGGGCAGCAAGCGCTGAATTAAATTAGGTAAAGACTCTCTCGTTTCTCACTGCAGAGAGAAGCTGCTCTTGAACACTTCCGTCTGCCCAGCGTGTTAACAACACCTCTACCTCCTCAGGTGTCCATTGGCATGCACCGGACAGAGATTTTGTGTTTTCCATGGTAATTTATTTGCCATTTCTAGAAGTTTATAGAAAACCCTTTTCACAATATTCTGCCTAGCACGAACTTATCCTCTGCAGCAGAGGGAACTCTCGGTCTTCCTTTCCTGTGTTGGTCCTCATGAGAGCCAGTTTCATCATAGCGCTTTATGGTTTTTGCGACTGCACTTGAAGAAACGTTCAAAGTTCTTGAAATTTTCCGGACTGACTGACCTTCATGTCTTAAAGTAATGATGGACTGTCGTTTCTCTTTGCTTATTTGAGCTGTTCTTGCCATAATATGGACATGGTATTTTACCAAATAGAGCTATCTTCTGTATACCACCCCTACCTTGTCACAACACAACTGATTGGCTCAAACGCATTAAAAAGGAAATAAATTCCACAAATGAACTTTTAAGAAGGCACACCTGTTAATTGAAATGCATTCCAGGTGACTACCTCATGAAGCTGGTTGAGAGAATGCCAAGCGTGTGCAAAGCTGTCATCAAGGCAAAGGGTGGCTACTTTGAAGAATCTCAAATATATTTTGATTTGTTTAACACTTTTTGGGTTACTACATGATTCCATATGTGTTATTTCATAGTTTTGATGTCTTCACTATTACTATACAATGTAGAAAATAGTAAAAAGAAAGAAAAACCCTGAGATGAGTAGGTGTGTCCAAACTTGTCTGAGAGTCCTTTAGGTGCCTTTTGGCAAACTCCAAGCGGGTTGTCATGTGCCTTTTACTGAGGAGTGGCTTCCGTCTTGCCACTCTACCATAAAGGCCTGATTGGTGGAGTGCTGCAGAGATGGTTGTCCTTCTGGAAGGTTCTCCCATCTCCACAGAGGAACTCTGGAGCTCTGTCAGAGTGACCATCGGGTTCTTGGTCACCTCCCTGACCAAGGCCCTTTTCCCCCTGATTGCTCAGTTTGGCCTGGCAGCCAGCACTAGGAAGAGTCTTGGTGGTTCCAAACTTTTTCCATTTAAGAATGATGGAGGCCACTGTGTTCTTGGGGACCTTCAAAGCTAGAGAAATGTTTTGGTACCCTTCCCCAGATCTGTGCCTCGACACAATCCTGTCTCGGAGCTCTACGGACAATTCCTTCGACCTCATGGCTTGGTTTTTGCTCTGACATGCACTGTCAACTGTGGGACCTTATATAGACAGGTGTGTGCCTTTCCAAATCATGTCCAATCAATTGAATTTACCACAGGTGGACTCCAATCAAGTTGTAGAAACATCTCAAGGATGATCAATGGAAACAGGATGCACCTGAGCTCAATTTCGAGTCTCATAGCAAAGGGCCTGAATACTTATGTAAATAAGGTACTTCTGTTTTTTAGTTTTAATAAATGTGCAAACATTTTAAAAACCCTGTTTTCACTTTGTCATTATGGGGTATTGTGTGTAGATTGATGAGGAACAAAATTAATTTAATCAATTTTAGAATAAAGCTGTAATGTACCGATGCCAGGAGAACGCTACCTGCCCGAATGCATAGTGCCAACTATAAAGTTTGGTGGAGGAGGAATAATGGTCTGGGGCTGTTTTTCATGGTTCGGGCTAGGACCCTTAGTTCCAGTGTAGGGGAATCTTAACGCTACAGCATAGAATGACATCCTAGACGATTCTGTGCTTACAACTTTGTGGCAACAGTTTGGGAAAGGCCCTTTCAGGTTTCAGCATGACAATGCCCCTGTGCACAAAGTGAGGTCCATACAGAAATGGTTTGTCGAGATCGGTGTGAAAGAACTTGACTGGCCTTCACGGAGCCCTGTCCTCAACCCCATCGAACACCTTTGGGATTAATTGGAACGCAGACTGCGAGCTAGGCCTAATCGCCCAACATCAGTGCCCAACTTCGCTAATGCTCTTGTGGCTGAATGGAAGCAAGTCCCCGCAGCAATGTTCCAACATCTAGTGGAAAGCCTTCCCAGAAGAGTGGCGGCTGTTATAGCAGCAAAGGGGGGAACAACTCCATATTAATGGCCATGATTTTGGAATGAGATGTTTGACGAGCAGGTATCCACATACTTTTGGTCATGTAGTGTATATAAAACACAGGAAAATCACATTTGTGACTGCACTGGTCCTTTAATGTGATTACAGTCGGTGGTTGTGTGTCTGCTAACCAACCCCCTGCAGGAAAACAATAGTGTCACCAATTAATTCACGTGATCCGAGTCTGACACACATCAATTCTGTTCTGCAGCATGTTGTGTGTGTGTGCATAGAGATAGAGGATTCTAGCGCCCAAAATCCCATTTTAACATGGTCAGCGCCATTGAGGACTTTTACCATTTTTAAGTAGTCAAGTAGGTGGGACTTCATATGGGTTAAAGAAGGATCATATAATTCCATCCAGGTCACCAGGAGGGATCAGCCAATTAATTATATTCGTAACCAAAAATTAGATAAATGCAGATAGCAGTAAATTGCCAACCTTGGCTTTATATCTGTTCAAACAACACATTCCTGGTGGCAGTATGCACCCTTTCAGTTTGTTTGCCAACTCATAGAAGTAGTAGTAGAAGAAAATGGACTACTTAAAAATGGAGATGGCCTCAATGGCACTGCCCGTGCTCTCAAAAGCGCCATTTCAAGGAAACAGTAAACATGTTGTTCCCCACGAATGATGCAGCACCCTTGACTGATTTATATGCATTTATGTGCCAGACCACACCCACATTAATGTTTATTGGTCAATAGCGGCCATTTTGTTTTAGGTACTAGTCTAGAAAATATTGCATTGAGAGACCTTTATCCATAGATGCCACATATCAAGTTTCGTGCAGATCAGTTATTTGGTGCAAGAAGAGTAGCGTGAAGTCTTTTCACAAAATTCTAAATGGCGGAAAATCTATCTTGGCTTACTTTATGGGTCCCTGAGGCAAATTTGTTCCTTGTGAGGAGAGGGGACCTAAGTACCGAATTTTTTAAGTTTGTATTTTCAATCTCTTGTTATAGCACAGCATAGTTTTGTCAAATTCGGGCCAGTGTTTCATCACTTTGCTGTAGTCCCCTGTAGCTCAGTTGGTAGAGCATGGCGCTTGCAACGTCAGGGTTGTGGGTTCGTTTCCCACAGGGGGCCAGTATGAAAATGTATGCACTCACTAACTGTAAGTCACTCTGGATAAGAGCGTCTGCTAAATGACTAAAATGTTAAAGTTTTGTTTAAGAAGTGAATGAGCTTTTCTTTAATTTAGGCCTTCACCTGCAGAATCTATGACTTTTAAGATGTGTATTCAGAATTGTACTTTAAGACTATCTCCTCCCACACTTAAAGCACTGGTGAGGTTTCTCACCAGTGTGAACAAACATGTGGCTCATTGAGAGTGCCAAAACGTTTTATGCACAAGGTGCAGGGGTATGGACGCTCTCCTGTGCAAGATCGCATATGAACCGTAAGATCGCATTAAGCTTTGAAACCCTTCCCACAATGTTCACAGGTGTAGGGACATTCTCCTGTGTGAAATCGTGTATGCATCGTCAGTTCTCCTGAACTAAGGAATGCCTTACCACAGATGCTACATAAATCGTTTTTCTCCCCTGCATGCATTAGCGTGGATCTTGCTAGGTTGGCCAAACTTCTTCCCACAAATACAGTGGGGAAAAAAAGTATTTAGTCAGCCACCAATTGTGCAAGTTCTCCCACTTAAAAAGATGAGAGAGGCCTGTAATTTTCATCATAGGTACACGTCAAATATGACAGACAAAATCAGGAAAGAAAATCCAGAAAATCACATTGTAGGATTTTTTAAGAATTTATTTGCATATTATGGTGGAAAATAAGTATTTGGTCAATAACAAAAGTTTCTCAATACTTTGTTATATACCCTTTGTTGGCAATGACACAGGTCAAACGTTTTCTGTAAGTCTTCACAAGGTTTTCACACACTGTTGCTGGTATTTTGGCCCATTCCTCCATGCAGATCTCCTCTAGAGCAGTGATGTTTTGGGGCTGTCGCTGGGCAACACGGACTTTCAACTCCCTCCAAAGATTTTCTATGGGGTTGAGATCTGGAGACTGGCTAGGCCACTCCAGGACCTTGAAATGCTTCTTACGAAGCCACTCCTTCGTTGCCCGGGCGGTGTGTTTGGGATCATTGTCATGCTGAAAGACCCAGCCACGTTTCATCTTCAATGCCCTTGCTGATGGAAGGAGGTTTTCACTCAAAATCTCACGATACATGGCCCCATTCATTCTTTCCTTTACACGGATCAGTCGTCCTGGTCCCTTTGCAGAAAAACAGCCCCAAAGCATGATGTTTCCACCCCCATGCTTCACAGTAGGTATGGTGTTCTTTGGATGCAACTCAGCATTCTATGTCCTCCAAACACGACGAGTTGAGTTTTTACCAAAAAGTTATATTTTGGTTTCATCTGACCATATGACATTCTCCCAATCCTCTTCTGGATGTACTCTAGCAAACTTCAGACGGGCCTGGACATGTACTGGCTTAAGCAGGGGGACACGTCTGGCATTGCAGGATTTGAGTCCCTGGCGGCGTAGTGTGTTACTGATGGTAGGCTTTGTTACTTTGGTCCCAGCTCTCTGCAGGTCATTCACTAGGTCCCCCCGTGTGGTTCTGGGATTTTTGCTCACCGTTCTTGTGATCATTTTGACCCCACGGGGTGAGATTTTGCGTGGAGCCCCAGATCGAGGGAGATTATCAGTGGTCTTGTATGTCTTCCATTTCCTAATATTTGCTCCCACAGTTGATTTCTTCAAACCAAGCTGCTTACCTATTGCAGATTATGTCTTCCCAGCCTGGTGCAGGTCTACAATTGTGTTCCTGGTGTCCTTTGACAGCTCTTTGGTCTTGGCCATAGTGGAGTTTGGAGTGTGACTGTTTGAGGTTGTGGACAGGTGTCTTTTATACTGATAACAAGTTCAAACAGGTGCCATTAATACAGGTAACGACTGGAGGACAGAGGAGCCTCTTAAAGAAGAAGTTACAGGTCTGTGAGAGCCAGAAATCTTGCTTGTTTGTAGGTGACCAAATACTTATTTTCCACCATAATTTGCAAATCAATTCATTAAAAATCCTACAATGTGATCTTCTGGATTTTTTTTTCTCATTTTGTCTGTCATAGTTGACGTGTACCTATGATGAAAATTACAGGCCTCTCTCATCTTTTTAAGTGGGAGAACTTGCACAATTGGTGGCTGACTAAATACTTTTTTTCCCCCACTGTAGTACAACTGTAGGAACGCTCCCCAGTGTGTGTGCGTATATGACATGTGAGTATCTGAGAATTATTGAATCTCCTGTCACAGTGAGAGTATTTGTATGGTCTTTCTCCTGTGTGCTTTTGCTGGTGTATTTTCGAAGTACTTTTAGAAGCATATCTTTTGTCACACTGGTTACAATGGAATGGAAATGTGAAAACCTTCCCACAATGAGTGCACTTGTAGGCCTTGATTTTGGATGCCCAGGGGATCCTTTTTGGGCTGCGTGTGGGAAGGGGGTGATCAGTCCCAGATTTTTCAGAGCGCAGACACTTCCATTCCTCCCCTTGGTGCGTAGTCCTGATGTGCTGGCGGATTATTGTGCTGTGTGAGGGGATGGGGTCATCAGTCCCAGGTGGCAGCTCACCATTCAATCCTGCAATGACAGAATTAGGAGGGCATGTTGTATAAGAGGTGTTGTTCTACACAGATACTTGAATGAACATTTGAGAAATAATTGTGTATTTCCTCACTATACCCATTTTTACATTTTACATTTTCGTCATTTAGCAGACGCTCTTATCCAGAGCGACTTACAAATTGGTGCATTCACCTTATGATAGCCAGTGGGACAACCACTTTACAATATTCTTTTTTTCTTTTATTTTTTTCTTTGGGGTGGGGTAAGGGGGGGTAGAAGGATTACTTTATCCTATCCCAGGTATTCCTTAAAGAGGTGGGGTTTCAAGTGTCTCCAGAAGGTGGTGAGTGACTCCGCTGTCCTGGTGTCGTGAGGAAGCTTGTTCCACCATTGGGGTGCCAGATCAGCGAACAGTTTTGACTGGGCTGAGCGGGAACTGTGCTTCCGCAGAGGTAGGGGGGCCAGCAGGCCAGAGGTGGATGAACGCAATGCCCTCGTTTGGGTGTAGGGACTGATCAGAGCCTGAAGGTACGGAGGTGCCGTTCCCCTCACAGCTCCGTAGGCAAGCACCATGGTCTTGTAGCAGATGCGAGCTTCAACTGGAAGCCAGTGAAGTGTGCGGAGGAGCGGGGTGACGTGAGAGAACTTGGGAAGGTTGAACACCAGACGGGCTGCGGCGTTCTGGATGAGTTGTAGGGGTTTAATGGCACAGGCAGGGAGCCCAGCCAACAGCGAGTTGCAGTAATCCAGACGGGAGGTGACAAGTGCCTGGATTAGGACCTGTGCCGCTTCCTGTGTAAGGCAGGGTCGCACTCTGCGAATGTTGTAGAGCATGAACCTACAGGATCGGGTCACCGCCTTGATGTTAGCGGAGAACGACAGGGTGTTGTCCAGGGTCACGCCAAGGCTCTTTGCACTCTGGGAGGAGGACACAACAGAGTTGTCAACCGTGATGGCGAGATCATGGAACGGGCAGTCCTTCCCCGGGAGGAAGAGCAGCTCCGTCTTGCCGAGGTTCAGCTTGAGGTGGTGATCCGTCATCCACACTGATATGTCTGCCAGACATGCAGAGATGCGATTCGCCACCTGGTTATCAGAAGGGGGAAAGGAGAAGATGAATTGTGTGTCGTCTGCGTAGCAATGATAGGAGAGGCCTGCAATCCCTTATGTCAAATACAGACCAAATAACTGAGATTCTTTATTGAAAGGGCATTTTAATCCAAGAATATGCTTGGAGGGGTACCGACCCATAGTGAACCAAAACATAGGTTAATTATTTTATTTTTTATCTCTGGCTTGGGCTTCAGCAACTAACTATGTAGCCAGCAACCATTGTGAGAGCATACATTTAGATTTTAGTGATTTAGCCGACGCTATTATCCACAGCGACTTACAATTAGTGCATTCATTATAAGATAGCTAGGTGAGACAACCACATATCATCACAGTCGTAGCAAGTACATTTCCCCTCAATAAAGTAGTTATCAGCAAAGTCAGTGCTAGTAGGTTTGGGATTCATTTAAGATCACTGACACAAACGGGAAAACAATGTTAGCTAGCTAACTTACCATAATGTTCCTCTTCTACAGGGGGATCAGGTTATGTCAACTCCAACAGCATAGTAGCTTAATTTATCACCTCAGACCCTGAAGTTCCTGGTGGGAAATCACTTGAATGATCGGCTAGTGATGGCTATAAAACAGTCTGATGGCCTTGAGTTTTTCAGTCTCTCGGTCCCAGCTTTGATGCACCTGTACTGACCTCGCCTTCTGGATGATAGCAGGGTGAACAGGCAGTGGCTCGGGTGGTTGTTGTCCTTGATTATCTTTTTGGCCTTCCTGTGACATCGGGTGCTGTAGGTGTCCTGGTGGGCTGGTAGTTTGCCCCCGGTGATTCATTGGGCAGACCGCACCACCCTCTGGAGAGCCCTGCGGTAGCGGGCGGTGCAGTTGCCGTACCAGGAGGTGATACAGCCCGACAGGATGCTCTTATTTGTGCATCTGTAAAAGTTTGTGAGGGTTTTAGGTGCCAAGCCAAATTTATTCAGCCTCCTGAGGTTGAAGAGGCGCTGTTGTGCCTTCTTCACAACACTGTCTGTGTGGGTGGACCATTTCAGTTTGTCAGTGATGTGTGCACTAGGTTTGACCAGGGTCCATAGAGAAAAATAAATAACCTTAACCAGCTGCTTTTTGCTGGTGTCCCTTTCTCTCATATCAGTGCTACCCATACGGAAAAATAATATATTGATATTTGAACAACATGCCGTGCTGAAGACTGCAGGGAGACCATCCCTGGTTATCCAAGATCACTACAAACCAGAAAAAAGAGCAGTCTCTAACCCAGGTCCAAATCTTGGTATGTTCACAGGTTGGATAATGTGTCCCATTTACATCTCAATACAGTAGCTTTAACCTGGGATGCCGAACTAGTTCAAGTTCAGTTGGCTACTGTTTCTGAAAACTCACCATGAGCCTCTGACGTGCAAAAAAGTAGACACTTCCTCCTTGTGTGGTTTAGAATGTTCGGAATAAGGCGGATTGTCTAATATTCCAGAGCAGGACTCGTCACCATCATCACGGACCATCTCCTCGGACTCACTAGACGCTTGGCTGCTGCTGGTGGCAATTTTATTAGAGGACAGACTGCTTCCCCAGATAGCGTCACACAGTGACAAATATGGCCAGTCGTCACAGTCGCCATAACTTTGGCTATTGTTGTCCTTTATTTTCTTATATTGACTCTTCAAATTATTCAGTTAGCTGTGGACCTTGTCTTTTCTCCGCTTTATGCCCCTGCTGTGGAGTATGACTGCGATCTTACTATACACCTTGCTGTCCCGTCTGGTACCAGACATCTGTGCACAAATCTCCTCCTTCGCACGGATCTGGAGGTCTGCTATTTCCACATTGGACCAGTGTATTGTCTCTTGAATTTTCTGTGCATCCTGAATCTGAGAACACGCTACAATTTGTTCCAGACCCTCAATCTCCCTGCCTTCCTCCTCCTGGGAATTATTCTTGTCCATGGACTGAAGTCGGTCTGTTAGCGCAATGCAGACAGAAGGCGTCTTCTGTAGGGGGTTGTTTTGTTAAGAGCCGCGACGCTTGGTCTGAACATTAACAGCTATACGGCTTTGGAAGTATAAGGACCTTATCTTTCTTATCGGCGAGAAGTAATAATACTTTTTTACAAAGATTCAAATGATACACCTTTATATGGTTAGGGTTCCCACACAACCCTATTTCGATGTTACAGTGCTTGTTTACTGAAAACAGATGGAAGATAGTGGACTACCTGTGCTAATTCGTTTTCTACCTCTGATCACCTGTGTATAAACCGGAAGACAGACACCACAAACGTGTTTTCACTGAAAAATACTGTTGGCTGCAACTGTTAAACCCAGTTAAAACAGTGAACAGTATAGTAAGGGGTTTTGCCGAGAGTTTCCGTTTGCGAGGGAGGAGACTTTGCTTCCTTCCCACTTGGTTATATTAGAGATGTATTATTCTCCTAAATTGATGGGATGACTAACTTAGAAAGAATGCATTCTTGACTGGGCTAATGTAGGTTGTGACACCTGGCAAGCTGTGATTGATGTGAAGAGCTGTTATAGGGGGTAAAATGAGATAAGGATTTGTGTCTCCAAATGCTAGACTATACTGGTCCTTTGTGATCTGTGAACCATCCTTGGACGTAGGAATGGTGTCTAGGGGAGCTGGCTCTTCTCACTATGACAGGTTGTTATGATGAACGTATGCCTGGAAACAGGGATGCGCTAAGAGGCGGGGGACTAGCCTGTGCGCCAACGGATAGGCTGAGTAAGTCTAAACCACGCTCAAGTCTCTACTTTGATTGGCCAGCAGAGAGGTGGGAAACTCTCTCTGTAAGAGTATTTGAAGAACAATCTGAAACAATGGATTTAGTTCTCTGGAGTGCCCTGCAAGGTATTTCAAAGAGCCCGTATATACGAAACATCATATTTACCAAATTGAAGGTTTTTGCATTAATTAAAATAACTAGTATATCTTAGAAGTCGTGTTGACCTCTTTTGTTCCTAATGCCAGATTTGAATTGACGCAACTTTGACAGTTACGACGCATTCACAGTTGCCCCTCCCTTGCATGTCTGCCTCACTTGGCACAACTTCAGAGATGGTTGTGTGACTACTAGATGGAATACAGACAATGATTTATATATATGCTTTCCTCTACCCAGGCGTTGCTGACGCATGCCAGATCTTACAACGCCTGGATAGGTATTTTAAGTATCAGCTAACCACATATAGTAATCTGTCAGTCGATGACACAGTTGATGACGTGGAGCGCAACCATTGGTTGAGGCAACGCAGGGTTTTAAAGCGTTAACAACAAAACAAAATGCAAAGGGAACAGTTAATCACAATGCTTTTATTAATACTTGGTTTCAATATGTAGTAAAAATTAAAACACTTTTTCTCTCTCAAATTAAGCCTACCGTCAAAAAGAAAGAGGGGAAACAGGGCCGGCGCCAGAACGAATCAGTTGGATGGGCCTTTGATTTCCTTAGGTGGGCAAGTTTTTTCACGGGGCCCATGTTTTAAATGGGTGTTATAGTAAAGACCATAGGCAGTTTGGAGAAAATGACAATTTATCCTCCCATTTCTACCGATCTGCATGCCAGTTATGATTATTTTTATACAAGCATTTTTGTGGAACAGTTTCATTTCAATAATAACGTTTTATTTTCTCAAAAACGTGTGGTGAATCATACAAATCTGAATTAAAAGGATACAAATGTAAAAGTTGGTTGAATTCTAAGGCAAGAGCACCAGCCTCTGCCAAATGGACACATTAATACACTGTGATCCATATGGGCGGCTAAAGAAAATGAGCACATAGAACTCAGAGATAGCCTATAGGCCAATGCAGCAGTAAACTTAACTTCATCAACTAAGTAAAAACACATAGGCCTAAAGCCGACAAATAAAAACAGGAGAAAAGATACTGATGAAAATTAATCTCTCTACTCCGCCTGTCTTCCTCCCTTTCTATCTGTCTTGACTTGAGCTGTCACTAGCGAATTTGCAACACAACTAGCCTATTCCGGGCATTCAAGTTTCCCGCACCAGTGAGCTCGAGACGGACATGTTTTATTTTATTTTTTATGTCGTTTCACTTGATATATGGAATCATCATGATATTGAGCTTTTTTCACACTGAGGCTTGGTGATTGAGGCCGGGAGTGTTGGAAATATTTTTTTAAAATACTGAGGAACTATCATTCGCAATGGATGTAATAAAAAATAAATAAAAAAACACTTTGTTGACTTACCATGGAAGGTGAAAAAATTAAAAGATGGCTGAGAAGATCAGCATATTAGTGATGGAGGTGGTGAGTTATGACAAATCAGACATTGCCAAATGGGCACTTTCCTACTTTTGCACGCAGCAGGCCAGGTAGGCCTACTTCTGTGCTTGCTCAGGCGTGCTCCCTCAAAACCAGACACATTCTCATTGCTCACATGGAGCACTCCAAACAAAAGACAATGAAAACATTTACAAAACTCGTAATGGTTATGACATAAACCAAAACTTGTTCTCACAAGTGTAGCAGGTTGTGATCTCTGCTAAAAACGTTTCCAGTCCGAGAAGAACTGTAAATGACTAATTAGTACATATAACAAATTAATGTAACCAAATTATGGGGGATTAACTGTACATTTCCTAGGCCTACTAATGACATATGTAATGGGGAATTGATTAAAAAGAAAAGTACAATCAAAGGGCAAACAATTCACACGAAACACTGAATACAATGAATGCGGAAGAATTGCCGGGAGACAGCAAGAGCGCATTCTGGAGTGCTTAGTACATGCATTCTGGAGAGAGGTGCCATGTCTTCGCCATACACGCCCCCCCCCCCTTCTTGTTGCAACATTTTACATTATACTCAAGCATCTAAAATATGTGTAAATATAATGTGTCTTATCACTGACAGCCACAACCCAAATCAGCTAGACCTATTGTCAAGCACACTACCCAAATGGAGGTCTTCCCAAATAGGCATAGGCCTACACACTTGTGATTTGAAACAATCCACAGCTATAATTTTAATAAAGCGAATGATCCTCTGTGGCTAAGTCATGCTCCTTGGTGAAGTATTTTGAATGATTTTATTTTGACAGGAGTAATTACATAATTTTGGCAAAACAAATTTACTTTAGGGGAATCCAGCATCCTAAAAGCCAATTTATGCTTGATCCGAAAATGTGGTTGGAGGCTCCGTATGGAGGGTGTGACGCAATTGCAGCGCCTCTGGAGGCATGCATAGCCCAACTGGAGCTGTGCGCCTCCCAAATGTAGTAACAATGTGGAGGGCTCCTTATAGCTCCACATTGACATGATTGGTTGGCGGTATGTGGGGGCGGGAGATCCTGTATAAACACAAACTCACTTCCTTCACAACAGCTCTGCACTGCTCCGCTAAGCACCTAAAGTATGAATGCCCTGACTTCTGCAGAGGCCCTATCACCATAAATGCTGCAAGGCCAATGTAGACGTCGGATTGACCTTTAACAATGCACCCGCCAATTTACCTTTCCAATTCGCAATTGGCTGAAACCAAAGATTTGTATATAATGACGAGTTTGTCATGTCTCCGCCCCAAACAATGGGAGTCTTTGTCGCAAAGGCAGGTGACAAGCTTAGGTCTGCTTATTACGCCCATAGAAACGCATTGGGCTAAAAGGAGCAGCATGGTCAATCCGACATCTGCATTGGCCATGCAGCAATGCAGATATCCCGTAGCAGAGCAGAGCTGTTGTCAAGGAAGTGAGTTTGTTTATATAGGACCTCCCGCCCTCACCTGTCAACCAATCATGTCACTGCGGAGCTATACGAAGCCCTCCGCGTCACACCATCCATACAGCGCCGCCGACCACATTTTCGGATGAAGCATAAATTGTCTCTTATTCTGGACACATTTTGGCGAGAGTGAGCCCTCTCGCTTCGCCTTTTCCTCTCTGCTGAAACTATGTCACAGAGATAGCATACGAGTGAGCAAAACAGCACCCCTCTATATATAGCCCATGTATCTGATGCTGTCTTGCCAGAAATAGTATGACATGCCATACTCTTTTGGTCCAGACAGCATCAGATACATGGTCTACACATACTGAGACAGAGGGGCACTGTTTCGCTCGCTCGGGTGCTTTAACTTAGATTGATGAGTCTTTCTGTCGGCGCGCATCTTGGTCAAATAAATGATAAATATTTCAATATTGTATTTGGACGGGAAAGGAGGTACGGTAGGGCGGGCCAGGCCCCCTAAGGCCCGCCCATAACGCCGGACCTGGGGGGAAAGAAGTAATACGGTCTACAATACTTTATGCATAACTAATATGATCTGTCTAGAACTCTTAAAATCCATGACTTTTAAGATGTGTTTTCAGAGTTTCCTTTAAAGAAAAACTCTTTCCACACTTGGAGCACTGGTGAGCTTTCTCACCTGTGTGAATTAACATGTGTCTTTTAAGTTCCCTGAGAATGACAAAACGTTTTGTGCACAGGGTGCAGGGGTATGGACGCTCCCCTGTGTGAAATCTTCGTATATGAATCTGAAGATGGCATGCTGCTTTGAAACCCCTTCCGCAATGTTCACAGGTGTAGGGGCATTCTCCTGTGTGTGATCGTGTGTGCAGCCTCAGTTCTCCTGAGCTAAGGAATGCCTTACCACAGATGCTACATAAATAGTTTTTCTCCCCTGCATGCATCCGCATGTGTCTTGCTAGATGTTGGACAGATGTCTTCCCACAAATGGTGCAAGAGTAGGGACGCTCCCCAGTGTGTGTGCGTACATGCATTTTGAGTGAATATGCACACATGAATCTCCGGTCACAGTGAGAGCATTTGAATGGTCTTTCCCCTGTGTGAGCTCGCTGATGTCTTTTCAGACCTAATCTGGTAGAAAATCTTCTCTCACACTGGTTACAACAGAATGGAAATGTGTGAATTCTTATATGTTTTTTCAGGGAGTTGAGGTTTTGGTAAACATTCCCACAATGAGGGCAGCTTAGAGTCATGTTATTGGGTCTATAGGGGATCTTGTTTGTGCTTGAGGGAAGGTTTTCAGTCCCAGATTCTTCAGAGTGTTGACGCTTCCGTTCATCTCCTTGGTGCTTAGTCCTGATGTGCTGGTGAAGTAGTTTTGTGCTGCGTGTAGGATGGGAATTATCAGTCCCAGATTCTTTAGAGCGTAGAAGCTTCCGGTCCTCTCCTCGATGCCTAATCCTGATGTGCTGGTGGAGTTTTGCCATATCACTGTGAGAGAATGGGCAGAGGGAGCAGGCGAGGACCTGGGATGACATGTCACTATTCAATCCTGCAATGACAAGATCAGGAGGACAGATTGCTTAAGAAGTGATGTTCTGCCCGGATGAATGAATTACCATTTGACAAAGCAATTTTAGTAACACTACATTGAACAGCTTGCTGATTACCAGGTATTTACTTACAAAGTACATAAAATAAGATAAGCATTATGATGTTAGTCATTAGGCAAAGAACACAAGGACATACCAATTGTTATCAATAATTTACAGATTCTGTTAATCATTTCCAAGTTGCTAATTACCATGAACAAGACATACCAATTGTTATCAATAATGTCAGATTCTGTTAATCATTCCAAGTTGATAATTAAATGATGGTACCATTGTTTACAAAGTAATGTCATGTTAATACCAGATAAAATAAACAAGTGATAATTAGGGCTGTACAATACAAAGTCAAATATTTTAGTAATAACTTGAATGTCGTTACCGTTGCTGGGTACTGGGATACACGGATCAGAGGTCTCTGCAGGTAAAACATTAATCTGTTCTTGTTGCTCTAAATACATTTTTTCTTCATTTCTTTCATTGTAGTCTTTATTTTCCCAGTTCTCTTCAGTCTGCCTATCTTCTTCCTCCTCCTCTCTGCCCCCATTAGATGGTCCTTCTCTCTCTTCTCCATCTCCTACTCGCTCTGTCCCATTCTTGAAGCATTCATCTCCATCTGAGCATGACCTTGTTTTGTCAGAGACTACCTGCTCAGAGCTAATGACAACTCTTATTGTTGGAGGGAGGGACAGTGTGGACAGGATGGTATCTGCAGTGTAGTAAGAGAAATAACCTAGGAAAGAGAACATATTGATCAAATAAGTTACACTCTTGCCATACATCGTCTTCCACTACTTACCAGACAAACAATTTAACATACTCAGTAACAAATACATCATTCTGGTTGGAGACTTACTCTTTTTCAGGTTTCCTTGATGCTGATGGTGCTGCAGAAGGGTCTTCAGCTCTTCAGCATCAAAGATGGTGTTTCCACATTCCTCCAAGACAGAGGCGGCAGCACCGAGCCATGCTGCTGTCTGAGGAGCAGGGAAAATAGCACATTTTCTATTTCAGTCTGGGGGAGGGTTATGTAATTTGTAATCGATTGTATTTCAATATTTTTCAGCACTTTAGATGACATTGAATTCAACGCTGTGTATCATTGGTATGCATCCTTTGCTCCCTTCTCTGCATGCCAGAGCCTAGTGCATTGGGTAGGTGTTTTCCTTTAGCTCACATTCCATAGTTCTCAGGCCCACATTTTTTAAAACAGTGATCAGCGGTTAATACTTAAACTTAAATGGGCAGAACTGCAATGTTTTAATCTGTACCTGTGTGAAGTCTGGTACAGGTAGCAGCTCCTCCAGTCTGGAGAGGAACTCCCATACCAGTACCTGCAGTGCTGTGTCATACCGAGGGCCGTAGTGTACTGGCAACACCTCCTGAAAAATAGATAATTTAACACACAATAAGTCCGGTGGCAATGGCTTTCGGGGGTCATTTGTTGTGTGGAATAGTCTGCAATCATCTCCTGGTAATGCGGGCAATTAACAATGTCAATAATAGCAACACTTGGCTTGGACGTGACTGCTGTGCCAAAAAAAGACACTTACAGATGCATTAAATACGCACCTGAAGGTTGTGAGTATTACCAGTTGTGAGACAAAGATCTCTTACCTGAAAGAAGTGCTCCCTCTCAGAAGGGTCTTCCAGCAGGGTTTGGACCAACTCCACAAAGTTAGACTCTGTAGCCTCCAACTCATCATCATTACTCTGTCAGTAAGCATAAACAAACAAAACAAATGACATCGGACATGAACTCAACCTCAACATATGGGCTGAAAACATCTTAAAAACATATTTGCTTCACTTTAAAATGTTGCCAAAATAAGTTAACGTACCTCTTTGTGTACAGCGTATTCTGTCAAATAATGGATTTTGTCCAGGTGAGGCTGAATGGTCACGAGGTCAGCTGTGCTCTCATTGCGACATAACTCCAGAACCAGCTGAAAAAGAGGTAGAAGTGAGAGGCAGCCCCAGGGGAAAACGTACTATTTGCAGCTAGTAGCTGCCCATACTTTATCAGAATCCTCTGCATTTCCACCTCTCTCACCCTTGCTCTCAGACCCAGGAGGAGTTGGGTCCTCTGCCTAGAACTCAGCAGCTCTGGAACCATCTCTGTCACCAAAGTCACAAACTCCTCCAGCTTCCCATAATGCTTTACAATATGCTGCTGAGCCACTTGCCACATGAATGCTGACATCAAGCGTAATGGTGGAGCAAGGAGACGCAGCGAGGACAGAGTTAAACTGGGACCTACATTGGGAAACACAAACAAGAAAATATTATAGAGTAAAAGCCAATGGCATATTGGAAATACTGTAGGTGTGTTATAACATATATTTTTTTATCTAGCAAGAGATTCGGAAACTATCCAGCATCAGCAACTAGCTATTTAGCCAGCCAGTCACCATTGAGAAAGCCCTCACACAAACTACAAGAATGTACACAGTAAAAGTTAACTTACCAGAGTCTTCTGCACCTGGCAAAGAATAAGCCTGTGTTTTTGTTTGGTGAGTGAGGACACTATCGATGATGGCAAAACAGCTTTCTTCAAGATAGATGGAACCACTCATGTTGTTGTCATCCTTGAGTTTTCTGTATTCCTGTTTCAGCTTTTTTAACTTTTCTCTGCATTGCTTCGACGTCCTGTTAAATCCGAGGGCAGCGAACTCTGAACTAAATTTGGCATAGACGTGCTCATTTTTATAAGAGAGAAGCTGCTTCTGAACTCTCTCATCTGCCCAGAGTGTTAACAATGTGTGAACCTCCTGCAAAGTCCAGCGGTATCCAGATTCCTCTGTGAAAGAACCGCATCAGTTGAAAGCAGTCAGAAACTGGAAAACAATATTAGCTAGCAAGCTTCCGGTACGGTTTATGAAAAACGTATAGCTACTAGATCAGTATTTCTCATCTTCTGGCTGTTGCTGACTGGTCCCTCAGATGATGCTGTACTAGACAACTTACCATAATCTTCCACTTCTTGCGGGGAATCGGATTGAGTCGACTCCAGCAGCATAGTAGCTGAATGTATCACCTCAGCCCCTGAAGTTCCTGGTTGGTGACCAAAGAGACTATGGACCTCATCAGGTGTCCAACTGGATGAAGATTGTTCTGTGGAAGCAACAGCTCAGTTGACAGTACTCCCACTATCAATATTTACTACCAAACTTGCGGTAACGTGCAAAGTAACTGTGTTAAAATTGTGTATTAGATTCTGTACTAGACAACTTACCAGAATCTTCAATTTCTTGTTGGGAATCAGGCGCCAAAAGCTTTGCCTCTGAATTTATCACCCCAGACACCAAAGTACTTGGTTGGTGACAGAGGACTCTATCCATGATGGCAAACCATCTTTCCCTATGATGGTTGGAACCACTCTTGTTATGGTCAAACTTGATTATTCTATATTCCTGTCTCAGCTTCTTTAGTTTGTCTCTGCACTGCCTTGAAGTCTTCTTAAATCCGAGGACGGCGAGCTCTGAACTAAATGTGGCATAGACATGCTCGTTTTTATAGGCGAGAAGCTGCTCTTGAACACTCTCATCAGCCCAGAGTGTTAACAATGCATGGACCTCCTGAGACGTCCAGCTGTATCCCGATTTTTCTGTGAAAGAATCACATCAGTTGAAAGCGAGTAAACAATATTAGCTAGCAAGTTTACAGTACGGTTTATGAAAAACGTGTACTAGATAAGTGTTTTTCAACTTCTGGCTAATACTGGCCGGTCCCTCAGATGGTTAGCAGACATTGACTTAGTTAGCTAGTAGTAGTAAGCTAGTTTCAACCCAAGCAGTTTCCCAAGGAAGAGAAACAAATCTTTCTAATCCCTGTTACAAAAAAGGTTGAGAAAGACTGTCCTAGATAATTTACCATAAGGTTCCTCTTTTACAGGGGAATCCGGTTGAGTCGACTCCAGCAGCATAGTAGCTGAATGTATCACCTCAGCCCCTGAAGTTCCTGGTTGGTGACCAAGGAGACCATGGACCTCATCAGGTGTCCAACTGGATGCAGATTGGTCTGTGGAAGCAACAGCTCAGTTGACAGTTCTCACATAATCAATATTAACTACCGAGCTTGTGGTAACAGGCCAAGTTACTGTACGAGACGACCTACCAGAATCCTCAATTTCTTGAGGGGAATCAGGTTGAGTCGACTCCAAAAGCTTTGCATCTGAATATATCACCCCAGACTCCAAAGTACTTGGTTGGTGACAGAGGACACTATCAATGATGGCAAACCATCTTTCTCCACGGTGGTTGGAACCACTCTTGTTATCCTTGATTTTTTTGTATTCCTGTTTCAGCTTTTTTAGTTTGTCTCTGCATTGCTTCGATGTCCTGTTACATCCGATGGCAGCGAGCGCTGAACTCAATTTGGCATAGACGTGCTCATTTTTATAGGAGAGAAGCTGCTTCTGAACACTACCGTCTGCCCAGTGTGTTAACAATGCCTGAACCTCCTTAGACGACCAGTGGTATCCAGATTCCTCTATGAAAGAACGACATCAGTTGAAATCAGCCAGAAACTGGTAAACAATATTACCTTGCAAGCTTACAGTGCGGTTTATGAAGAATGTGTACTAGATAATTGTTTCTCAACTTCTGGTTATTACTGGCCAGTCCCTCAGACGGTTAGCAGACATTGAGTCGGTAGGCTAGTAGTGGTAAAATAGTTTCAATCCAAGCAGTCCCCCAAGGAAGAGTAACAAATGTGGCTAATCTGGTACAAAAAGGGTTGAGAAAGACTGTACTAACTAGATAACTTACCAGAATGTTCCTCTACTACAGGGGAATCAGGTTGAGTCGACTCCAGCAGCATAGTAGCTGAATGTATCACCTCAGCCCCTGAAGTTCCTGGTTGGTGACCAAGGAGACCATGGACCTCATCAGGTGTCCAAATGGATGAAGATTTGTCTGTGGAAGCAACGGCTCAGTTGGCAGTACTAACACAAACAGACAAACATAGCTAATTACCAAGTTTGCAGTATTTGTATTTTTGTATTATATATTTTTTATTAGGGATCCCCATTACTCTTGCTGGGGTCCAAACACCTTAAGGCACTTACATTACACATAAAACAAAAGATGAAACAGTACATCATATAACACTGTCACACCACCACAACACAAAATGTATGATACCTCCATACAACAATATTACAATGTACGTGTGTAGAGTGGGTGTGCTAGCGCCTGTGTGCGTATGCGTGTATCTGTACTGGTGTGTGTCTCTTCACAATCCCCCTATTCCATAAGGTGTATTTTTATCTGTTTAAAAAAAAAAATCTGATTCTACTGCTTGCATCAGTTACCTGATGTGGAATAGAGTTCCATGTAGTCATGGCTCTACGTAGTACTATGCGCCTTCCATAGTCTGTTCTGGACTTGGGGATTGTGAAGAGACGTCTGGTGGCATGTCTTGTGGGGTATGCATGGGTGTAATTTAAAAACAGACAGCTCGGTGCATTCAGCTTGTCAACACTAATTACAAAGACAAGTAGTGATGAAGTCAATCTCTCCTCCACTTTGAGCCATGAGAGATTGACATGCATATCATTAATGTTGCTACCATGTTGTTGTGTTGCTACCATGTTGTGTTGCTACCTTGCTGTGTTGTCGTGTGTTGCTGCCATGCTATGTTGTTGTCTTAGGTCTCTCTTTATGTAGTGTTGTCTCTCTTGTTGCGATGTGTGTTTGGTCCTATATTTATATATATTTATTTTTTTAATCCCAGCCCCCGTCCCCGCAGGAGGCCTTTTGGTAGGCCGTCATTGTAAATAAGAATTTGTTCTTAACTGACTTGCCTAGTTACATAAAGGTTAAATAAATAAAATAAAACATTTAAGGGCCAGCCGTGCTGCCCTGTTCCGAACCAATTGTAATGTTCCCAAGTCCCTTTTTGTGGCACCTGACCACACGACTGAACAGTAGTCCAGGTGCGACAAAACTAGGGCCTGTAGGACCTGCGTTGTTAAGAAGGCAGAGCAGCGCTTTATTATGGACAGACTTCTCCCAATCTTAGCTGCTGTTGTATCAACATGTTTTGACCATGACAGTTTACAATCCAGCGTTACTCCAAGCAGTTTAGTCACCTCAACTTGCTCAATTTCCACATTATTCATTACATGATTTAGTTGAGATTTTGGGTTTAGTGAATGATTTGTCCCAAATACAATGCTTTTAGTTTCAAATATTTAGGACTAACTTATTCCTTGCCACCCATTCTGAAACTAACTGCAGCTCTTTGTTAAGGGTTGCAGTCATTTCAGTCGCTGTAGTAGCTGACATGTATAGTGTTGAGTCATCCGCATACATAGAAACACTGGCTTTACTCAAAGCCAGTGGCATGTCATTAGTAAAGATTGAAAAAAGTAAGGGGCCTAGACAGCTGCCCTGGGGAATTCCTGATTCTACCTGGATTTTGTTGGAGAGGCTTCCATTAAAGACCACCCTCTATGTTCTGTTAGACAGGTAACTCTTTATCCACAATATAGCAGGGGGTGTAAAGCCATAACACATGCGTTTTTCCAGCAGTAGACTATGATCGATAATGTCAGAAGCCGCACTGAAGTCTAACAAAACAGCCCCCACAATCTTTTTATTATCAATTTCTCTCAGCCAATCATCATTTGTATAAGTGTTGTGCTTGTTGAATGTCCTTCTCTATAAGTGTGCTGAAAGTCTGTTGTCAATTAGTTTACTGTAAAATAGCATTGTATCTGGTCATTTTCCAAAAGTTTACTAAGGGTCGGTAACAGGCTGATTGGTCGACTATCTGAGCCAGTAAAGGGAGCTTTACTATTCTTAGGTAGCGGAATTACTTTTGCTTCCCTCCATGCCTGAGGGCACACACTTTCTAGTAGGCTTAAATTGAAGAAGACATGGCAAATAGGAGTGGCAATATCGTCCACTATTATCAGTAACTTTCCATCCAAGTTGTCAGACCCTGGTGGCTTGTTATTGTTGATAGACAACTATTCTTTCACCTCTTCCACACTCACTATACGGAATTCAAAATTACAATGCTTGTCTTTCATAATTTGATCAGTTATACTTGGATGTGTAGTGTCAGCATGTTGCTGTCATGCCTAAGTTTGCTAATCTTGCAAATTAAAAAAATCATTAAAGTAATTGTCAATATCAGTGGGTTTTGTGATGAATGAGCCATCTGATTCAATGTATGATGGAGCTGAGTTTGTTACTGTGTTAAAAATGTGATTGAGAAGCTGCACGAGACAATCTACCAGAATCCTCCACTTCTTGCGGGGAATCGGGTTGAGTCGATTCCAAAAGCTTTGCATCTGAATTTATCACCCCAGACTCCAAAGTACTTGGTTGGTGACAGAGGACACTATCGATGATGGCAAACCATCTTTCTCCACGATGATTGGAACCACTCTTGTTATTGTCATCCTTGACTCTTCTATATTCCTGTTTCAGCTTTTTTAGTTTGTCTCTGCACTGTTTAGATGTCCTGTTAAATCCGAGGGCGGCGAGCTCTGAACTAAATTTGGCATAGACGTGCTCGTTTTTATAGGAGAGAAGCTGCTTCTGAACACTATCATTTGCCCAGAGTGTTAACAATGCCTGAACCTCCTTAGGCGACCAGTGGTATCCAGATTCCTCTGTGAAAGAACCACATCAGTTGAAAGCAGTCAGAAACTGGTAAACAATATTAGCTAGCAAGCTTACAGTACGGTTCATCAAAATGTGTACTAGATAAGTGTTTCTCAACTTCTGGCTATTACTGGCCAGTCCCTCAGATGGTTAGTAGACATCCATGCAAGTCCGCTAGCTGGCTCACAGTCCAAGCTTGCAGCGATTTCAAGACCCTGGTGCTTGCCTATTGGGCAGCAAGGGGAACCGCCCCTCCCTACCTTCAGGCTATGCTCAAACCCTACACCCCAACCGAGCACTGCCACCTCTGGTCTCTTGGCCCTCCCACCCCTGGCTAGCCCCTGGTACAAAAAAAGTTGAAAAACACTCTACTAGATAACTTACCAGTATGTTCCTCGTCTACAGCGGAATCAGGAGTCGATTCAAACAGTAGAGTAGTTGCATTTATCTCCCCAAACCCTGAGGCTTCTGATTGTTGACCATGGTCCTCATCAGGTGTACAACTGGATGGAGATGTGTCTGTGAATACAACAGCACAGTTGACAGTACTCACACAAAGACAAACATAGTTAATTACCAAGCTTGTGGTAACAAAGTTAGTGTTAAACATGAGAACTAGATGCTGTACAACTTAACTTACTAAAATCTCCCATTTCTTGTTGGGAATCAGGCGACTCCAAAAGCTTGGCATCTGAATTTAACACCCCAGACTCCAAAGTACTTGGTTGGTGACAGAGGACACTATCAATGATGGCAAACCAACTCTCTTCACGATAGATGGAACCACTCATGTTATTGTTATCCTTGATTTTTTTGTATTCCTTTTTCAGTACTTGTATCTTTTGTCTGCACTGCTTTGTCGTCCTTTTAAAACCCAGGACGGCAAGCTCTGAACTAAATTTGGCATAGACGTGCTCGTTTTTATAGGAGAGGAGGTGCTTCTGAACTCTCTTATCTGCCCAGAGTGTTAACAATGCCTGAACCTCCTTAGACGACCAGTGGTATCCAGATTCCTCTGTGAAACAACAGCATCAGTTGAAAGCAGTCAGAAACTGGTAAACAATATTAGCTAGCAAGTTTACAGTACGGTTTATGAAAAATGTGTACTAGATAAGTGTTCCCTCAACTTCTGGCCATTACAGGCCAGTCCCTCAGATGGTTAGAGCTTACAAAGTCAGTTCTAATCCATTCCACAAACTTGTACTAGATGACGTACCATAATCTTCAGAGGAATCAGTCAACTCCAACAGCCTAGAAGCTGAAGTTCTCACCCCAGACCCTGAAGTTTGTGGAGGTTCATCAGGTGTCCAACTGGATGGTGATTTGTCTGTGAAAGCATCAGATCAGATAAACGCACACACAAACAACCAACCACTGGCTATTTCTGACCAGTGTGCTGTTAAGGTGCATTGCCAACAACCTTGTCGTATTAAAGTTCTCTATGTCATGTAGGCAATCTTCTGTACTTCATGTTTAACATTTACAATTTGGCCTATTTATGTGTATTCATGGTTAACAGTTCCCTTTGTCATTTAATGTGCCTGTATGCGCCTGGGTGGGGTATTTTTTTGGAGCAACGTGCAAATTGAAGGAGTTCCACAGGCCACAATCAACAGCCTGATCAACTCTATGCAAAGGAGATGTGTTGCGCTGCATGAGGCAAATGGTGGTCACACCAGATACTGACTGGTTCTGATCCACGCCCCTACAACAGATGCATAGCTCTATTCCCAGTCATGTGAAATCCATAGATTAGGGCCTAATTAACTTTTCAATTGACTGATTTCCTTATATGAACTGTAACTCAGTAAAATCTTTGAAATTGTTGCATGTTGCATTTATATTTGTGTTCAGTGTAAATGAGATCTGTTTTTAATTTAATACATTTACAAACATTTCTAAAACAATGTTTTCACTTAGTCATTATGGGGTATTGTGTGTAGATGGGTGAATTCAAGCTGTAACACAAAACAATTTGGAATTAGTCATGGGGTATGAATACTTTCTGAAGGCACTGTATACAGCGCATTCGGAAAGTATTCAGACCCCTTCTCCCACATTTTGTTGTGTTACAGCTTGAATTCACCCATCTACACACAATACCCCATAATGACAAAGCGAATAGAGTTTAGACATTTTTGCACATTTATTACAAATAAAAAACAGAAATGCCTTATTTACATAAATATTTAGACACTTTGCTATGAGATTCGAAATTGAGCTCAGGTGCATCCTGTTTCTATTGAACATCCTTGAGATGTTTCTACAACTTGGAGTCCACCTGTGGTAAATTCAATTGATTGGACATGATTTGGAAAGGCACACACCTGTCTATATAAGGTCCAACAGTTGACAGTACGTCAGAGCAAAAACCAAGCCATGAGGTCGAAGGAATTGTCCGTAGAGCTCTGAGACAGGATTATGTTGAGGCACAGATCTGGGGAAGGGTACCAAAAAATTTCTGCAGCATTGAAGGTCCCAAAGAACACAGTGGCCTCCATCATTCTTAAATGGAAGAAGTTTGGAACCACCAAGACTCTTCCTAGAGCTCGCCAGCCGGCCAAACTGCGCAATCGGGGGAGAAGGGCCTTGGTCAGGGAGGTGACCCAAAACCCGATGGTCACTCTGACAGAGCTCCAGACTTTCTCTGTGGAGGTGGGAGAACCTTCCAGAAGGACAACCATCTCTGCAGCACTCCAATCAGGCCTTTATGGTAGAGTGGCCAGACGGAAGCCACTCCTCAGTAAAAGGCACGACAGCCCGCTTGGAGTTCGCCAAAAGGCACTTAAAGGACTCTCAGACCATGAGAAACAAGATTATCTGGTCTGATGAAACCAAGATTGAACTCTTTGACCTGAATGCCAAGCGTCACGTCTGGAGGAAACCTGGCACCATCCCTACGGTGAAGCATGGTGGTGGCAGCATCATGCTGTGGGGATGTTTTTCAGCAGCAGGGACTGGGAGACTAGTCAGGATTGAGGAAAAGATTAACAGAGCGATCCTTGATGAAAACCTGCTCCAGAGCACTCAGGACCTCAGACTGGGGCGAAGGTTCACCTTCCAACAGGACAACAACCCTAAGCACACAGCCAAGACAACGCAGGAGTGACTTCGGGACAAGTCTCTGAATGTCCTTGAGTGGCCCAGCCAGAGTCCGGACTTGAACCTGATCGAACATCTCTGGAGAGACCTGAAAATAGCTGTGCAGCGACGCTCATTGACTCAGTACTGGTACCCTGTGTATATAGCCAAGTTATCGTTACGCATTGTGTATTTATTCCTTGTTATTATTTTTCAAAAAATGTAATTCTCTGCATCGATGGGAATGTCATATTTCAGTAATGTGATGGACATTTTTATGTTTGTGCTTTTCTATTTACCAATTTCTATGATCTATGTTTGTGCTTTTCTATAAACCAATTTCTGTGTTCATGCAAGTGACTGATTGAACGAATCCTCACTATCAGTGTCTGCAATTTGGCAGTACGCCCAGAACCTTGTTTAGAGAAAGGGATATCTCAGTTTCAAGGTCTCAACTTAGAGAGAAGAAGCCTTGTGAGGTATTGGTCTGTCACATGCATGAAGCAAACGTTAATGATGAATTAATTATGAATAAGCTAAATCATACAAATATGACTTGTCTGCAGTATATAAGAGAACTAACGGGACTGCCCCGTTAGAGCTTCTGACAGAAGTTCACTATGGTGCATTAAGTTTGTTGGAACCTCTCCAGCCTGCTGACAATAAACAAGGATTCATTTAAGATTGACTTTGTGTGTCCCTGTGTAAGAATTTCCACGACATGTAAGCATTTCACTGTTAGTCTACACTGGTTGTTTACGAAGCATGTGACAAATAAAATGTGATTTGAACACATTCCAAAAAATTACACTGGAGCTTTCATTAACATAATGACTGGATAAACTCTTGCTGCCCTTCCACCTAAGACTTACCCCACACCAGTGTGTTGCCAGTTTTTTATGTTAATGTGAGCTCTAGTGTAATTGTGTTTCCATCAGGAGAGTGACACTAAAGACTTGGGGCTTGCAGAATCAACAATCTCGGTCTGCATCATCAAGACAGTTGCTTTGTGAGGTGTTAAAACTCACAGTTCGCCATTGTTATGTAAATACCAGCTGAAACGTGTATGGAAAAAAGGGCCACTGGGCCAATACAGGAGCCTGGCCAATTTATTTTGACTGTGGACACCTCAGCCATGGAAACTTTTCCAAAGGAGCTTTGGGGAAGCATTAACATAGTAACAATAGCCTAAACTTGCGGCTGCTTGAGGCCAGACTGGTGATTTTGGAGTGAGGATTTATCTAGAAATGTAATAACAATTGAGCCCATCTATTCATCTCCACAAGCAACTGTTTGAATATTCAAACTTTGTTGTCGTCTCTGCACTTTTCAAGGCTAGTGTTCTCAAGTATAACCAGGGGTAACTAGCCATAACTAGCCACCTCGGCAGCAGGGCTAAAGCTTGTGTCCGAGGTTGTGTACAGGCTGCTATTTAGCCTTAAGAAGCAGATTTTCAACCAACCTTTACTTGCCGATGCTTTCGTCATTCTCGAAGTCACCGGTGTCTTAACTACGATGGCTAGTGCAGGGGGAATCCTTGAATTTAGAAAATGCTCTGTTATTAAATTAAATAAGTTTTTGCTCCATGAATCAATCCTACAATGTATACATTGCCATCTAATCTGTCTGATCCTCTCTCATTGATCGAGCCAGGGGTGTATTCATTTGTCAGATTCTGTTGCAAAAAACAAACATTTTGCAACGGAAACCTTTTACTCTAGGAAGCAACAGAGCAAACGTTTTGCAACGGAAATCATTCACGCCAAATGGAAAACTTTTTGGAACGAAAACGAGAGTTTCTATTGAAAAAAATCAGGTAGGTCCCTCCTTGTTATATTCTATTTGCTTCCTAGAGTAAACGGTTTCCGTTGCAAAATGTGTTTTTTTTGCAACAGAATCCAACTAATGAATACACCCCAGGTGAGTGTCATTCAAGGTGATGCTTGATTTCTGAGTCTCGCTCATGATGTGCAGCACTTTGGGTTGGACACCCACTTTGGGCTGGATCAATGAGAGAATATCACAAATATACAAGATGGCGGCGAATACATTGTTAGATTAATTCATGGAGTAAAAATGTAATTAATTTAATAACGGAGCATTTTCTAAATTCAAACGTTCCCCCTGCAACTGGCCATGGGAGTTGTGGTCTTCTGTAGCTCAATTGGTAGAGCATGGCGCTTGAAACGCCAGGGTAGTGGGTTCGATCCCCGGGACCACCCATACGTAAAAATGTGTGCACACATGACTGTAAGTCGCTTTGGATAAAAGCGTCTGCTAAATGGCATGTTATTTTTTTTGTTATTTTTAGAAGACAACGGTAACTTCCGATTTGAGAATGAAGAAAGTATCGGCAAGTAAAGGTTGGTCGAAAATCTGCTGCTTTTGGCTAATGCCACGTTCACGTTATGTCGGAAACTCAGAACCTCAGAGATTCTGATACTTCCCAAGTGGGAAACTTGGAGCTCAACGAGTTTCCAAGTCTGAAATGTCTGATTTTCCTAGTTCCGGAAATGTCTGAGTTTCCAACTTGACGTTCAAGTCATGTCGGGAACTCGGAAATACGACCTTCCTACTGGGAAAAACGCACATGAACGGCCTTCCAACTCTGAATTACAACTAGGAAACTTGGGTATGACCCCGATCTTTCCCACATGTTGAACTCTGACGTCACGCACCACTGGCAACAAACATTGCCGCAATTTCAGCTGTCAATAGAGTACCACAGTATGAGTCATAATACCCATAAAACCTAGCTGTCAAATTGTTCCAATCATTTTTCCTATAGGGGATTTTAGAAACACTTAAAATAAGGTATGCGTTTCGTGTAGGCTTACCCTGGCATGACGTTTTGATAACTGTGTAAATCTCTCTAGGACAAGGTGACTTTTATCAATATATTCGCCTTTATTTACCCCCAAAAAATGAAACGCTAATTAGCTGCTAATGTGGCTATCATAAGAACTACAAATGCCTTGATGATCTGGACGAGACTGCCGAATCGGGGCAAAGGTAAGAATCTCTGGATTAACTATCTAATGTTGGCTAAATGTAATAATGAATAAATTGGCTACATTTCTTTAAATGGACAATTCTGTGAACAGTCTTGTGCAAGTTTTAAATTGACAATAGCTGTTAGCAAAGGCCCTGTGTAGCTCAGTTGGTAGAGCAACGCCAGAGTTGCCGTCTGCTAAATGTATCTACTAGAGATGACGTGCAGGGATTTTTTGTTTTGCATGATGTCTACTTTGATGCTAATTTGCATTTTCGAATCAGAGTAAATAGAGACTAATACTTGCTCGAAAGAGACTTACAAGGTTATCAAAACGTCACACCAGGGTATGCCTAAACGAAACAAAGCCCTTATTTGAAGTGTTTCTAAAATCCCCTATGGGAAAAATGAATGGTGGGAAAATGATTGGAACCATTTTCCTGTTTGATCGCTAGGTTTTATGGGTATTATGACACCGTCACTGTGGGGCTCTATGGTGAGAATGGTTCTTGCGTTCCTTCTGAGCTCGTGAACGCTCCAAGTCGTTCTTCCGAAGTAGACAAAGTCGTTCCTCCAATCACTCTGACAAGACTACTGAGGAACCACCAAGTTAAAATGAACGTAAGTTATTTGCGTACGCTTCCTATGGGTTGATTCTGGTACTTTCAAGTGGGAATATCAGAGCTCATGTTTCGCCAACTAGTTTCCAAGTCGGACATTTCCGAGTTTCCTAGTTCCGACTAGTACGTGAACGCAGCAGCTAGCATCTGTACACGACCGCTGTTATCGGACCCTAAAGCAAATGAAGAAGAAAAATTACCGTTTTTTTGTGATCCGGTGGCTTTTCCACTTCTCAGTACTGGCTTTCTGTGTCGCTGTCCCAGCACAGCGTCCATGGCATCGAACCATGACGGTGGAAAATAACTCCAGCGGTCGGAACTGTTTGCCTTAATTTCTTTGTACTGACCCTTGAGTTTCTTTAGTTTGTCACGACATTGCTGGACGGTTCCCTTATAACCTAATTTGCGAAGGCGCACAAAGATCTCATGGTACACCTTGGCGGCACCTCGGTACTCAGAGTCAGACGAACGTAATGCACGCTGTATTGCCTCGTCTGACCATATTGAGACGATGGCATTCACCTCTTCCCCTGACCAGTGATAGCGGGACTCCGGCATTTTTTCTTTAGCTAGCTATCAACCTCACCAACATACTGAGTACGGCAGGCTCTGGAGAGTGACAGAGGATGGAACGATGTGGTGGGTTGTTTATTTCTGGTTCCACCGTCAACATCCGGCGTTATCCTATTAGCACGTCTACCCGTAACCCCGCCCAGTCCCTGATCACTAGGGGGGTCAAGCTGGCGGGTGTGTTTGAACTCCATCACTGCAAATCGAGGAGTTTGTGAAATTGTCCTTTTCTTTTGTAACTGAACCCGTTTTCATTTATTGCAACAAAATATGATTACAATGCGACGTTCTGACGATTTTCATGGCAACTTTGTCACATTAGCAATGGCGCGAAATCTATCTGAACATATCTGATAGCCATTTAGCTGGATTGCAACGTCTGGGCAAAGATGTTTTATAACTAACCCATTGTTCTATCTGTGGTCTGGGATAGGCCTATTTCAGCCAACTATTTTGTAGTACATTTGATATTCAGTTGGCTAGCTACTTATCTGTATATAAATGCACATGTCAAGATGTTAGTATAAAGCAACCATGGCAAATCAAAGTTTATTGGTCGGGTACACAGTTTTGCAGATAATAATATAATAATAATATAATATATAATATGCCATTTAGCAGACGCTTTTATCCAAAGCGACTTACAGTCATGCGTGCATACATTTTTTTTTTTGTGTATGGGTGGTCCCGGGGATCGAACCCACTACCTTGGCGTTACAAGCGCCGTGCTCTACCAGCTGAGCTACAGAGGACCACAGGTGCAGCGAAATGCTTGTTTCTAGCTCCAGCAATGTAACAATACAAACGTAATCAGAACGAACAATGTCAGAATATAAATAAATATATATGTGAATGGTGTGTATAGACCGTATATTAATAGAAAATGTGTTTACAGCAGTAGCTATAGGATGAGCCATGACTAGAATACAGTGTAAACATTATTAAAGTGACCAGTAGCATGGTGGTGGAAAATGGTGTTTAATAAAGTACGCATATTTTCCCCGCCATAAAATCAAGTTAAGGAGGAAATCGAAGCCTTTGCAGCTTGAATTGAGAATGTTTTATGTACGAACCGGTCGCCCCACCCCAGTGGCGGCTCCTGAAAAAATTCTCAGGGGGGGGAATTTTTCTGTTGATTTAGGTGACGTACACACATTAAAAAAATATATGTCCAGCAACAACATGAAGACAGGGGCAGCATATAAGTCAATGCCAGAAGCATTTATTGACTGATCTCAAAAGTGTTGGCTTACAAAAGCAAAATAAGTTATCACAGTAAAAATAATCAAGGATGTTCTTTCACATTCCTCAACACTGCATAAACAATATGCATTTCCATAAACAAATGAAATATCAGCTGAAAATACAGCATCTTGGTATTTGTTCAGATTGCAGGATCAACAAGAGCTTTTACCACATTTTTTGCCTCATGGTTGAATTGGAAATATGTGCACCTGAGCATAATTCACAACAAGCAAGCAGGAGCTTTTGATAGAGGCTACTGAAAACATTGATGCAAGTTATTGGTAATAAGAAATTTGTATAGACTTCCATATTCTGCCCTCTTGTATAGATTTGTGAAAATGAACAGTGATAGACATTTTGCCTGAAAACAGAATTTGAAAATAATTTCTAGAAAAGGTAAACACAGCTATCTGTATGGCTTTGTAAAAATGAACAACCATATTCTGGCCAATTGTATAGATTTGTAAATATGAACAACCATATTCTGGCCAATTGTATAGATTTGTAAAAATGAACATGAACAGATTATTTTATTTTTTTTACTTTTTTTTTTAAAATGAAAAATAACTATTTTAAACAACATCAACTGTGAACTGATTTGGGCGTGTGTGTGTTAAAGAGACAGACAGGGAGGGACAAAGAGAGAGAGAGGCTACATTACTTGTACTGAAACTGTTCTCTTCTCTCTTTCAATGCAACAAAGCGGTCAATGACTTTCTCATTGAAATCAGGCATGCTGAGGACTAGTTCCCTCTCCATGGAAAGCATGGCCAGTGCATTCAGACGTTCCTGGCCCATTGAATTTCGCAGGAATGTCTTAACTCGTGTCAAAGTTGAGAAACATCTCTCAGCTTCAGCTGTTGTCATGGGAGTAGTTATGAGGATGTTCAACAGAGTCACAGTCTCAGAGAACGTCTCCTGGAGGTTGTAGCTCATGAGAACCTGGTACAGTGCCAGTGCACCACAATTTGACTTTCTCGTCGTTGGCAAAAAGACCGTTCAGTCTCTCCAAAAGCACACTGGCGATTGAGACGGAGGTTGATTCCGAGATGGGAAGGAACTCAAAAAAGCGCTCCTGCACTTTGTGGTTGCTATCTATGTACCTCAGCACAAGCACCAGCTGTGTCTGTGTAGAAACGTCCGTTGTCTCGTCAGCTTGGATAGCTACGAAGTTCGCCGACTTCACCTCCTCCACAATATGTTCCCTCATGACCGCTAGCATACACTCCAGTAGCTCGTTTTGAATGGTCTTTGATGTGAACTTCTTTCAAAGAGACAATCGAGTTGCACTGAACGCTAGCCATCTTGATAGTAGTACGTGAATTGATTGACGCTGCTACCCGCTCTTTTCTTAGTTACGTTCATGGTTATGTTACGTATGACGAAAGCGCGTAAGTGCAAGCCCTCAGAAACCCATAGAGATTGTATTGAAAGCTCTGATATTTGAAAAAAAATGATTTTACATGAGAGGCTATGAGAGACTTCTGGGGCGATTTTCAACCTGACTGAAATCGCCCCAAAAGGGGCGGGGCCATTTGAAGCACGACTTTAGCCTGATTGGACATTTAGTGGCAGATCAGACGTCTAGATTAGAACACTGATAACTACTGTTGCCGTGATATAATTGATTAGAAAAAAAATCCCTTCCTTTTCCCGTTTGGCAGTGCATCGCCCATATCGCCCTAATGAACACACCGCCCCTGCCCCACCCTCTGACTGCACCACCCTCTGGAGAGACCTGCAGTATCGGGCAGTGATGTACCAGGCGGTGATACAGTCCGACAGAATGCTCTCAATGGTGCATCTGTAGAAGTTCGTGAGGATCTTAGGGGCCAAGACGAATTTCTTCAGCCTCCTGAGGTTGAAGAGGCACTGTTGCATCTTCACCACGCTGTCGGTGTGAAGGGACCATTTCAGGTCCTCAGTGATGTGCCCGCCCAGGAACGTGAAGCTTTTGACCCTCTCCACTACGGCCCCGTCGACGTGGATGGGGGTGTGCTCGCTCTGCGGTCTCCTGTAGTCCACGATCAGCTCCTGGGACCACTCAGCCAGGGCTCTCAACTCCCTGTTGCCTGTCTCTGTTGGTAATCAAGCCTACCACTGTTATCAGCAAACATGATTGAGTTGAAGACGTGCATGGGGTCCCCATGTTGAGGATCAGCACGGCTTTGGTGTTATTGCCTACCTTCACCACCTGCGGTCTGCCCGTCAGCAATTCTAAGACCCAGTTGCACAGGGAGGGGTTCAGACCTAAAGCCCTGAGCTTAGTGATGAGCTTGGATGGCACTATGGTGTTGAAGGCTGAGCTGTGGTCAATGAACAGCATTCTTAAATAGGTATTTCTCTTGTCCAGGTGGGATAGGGCAGTATGCAGTGCAATGGCGATTGTTTCATCCGTGGATCTGTTGGGGCAGGATGCAAATTGTCGTTGGTCTAGGGTGTCAGGTAAGGTGGAGGTGATAGGATCCTTAACTAGCCTCTCAAAGCACTTCATGATGACAGAAGTGGGTGGTACAGGGTGATAGTCATTTAGGTTAGTTACCCTCGCTTTCTTGGGTACAGGAACAAGGGTGGACACCTTTAAGCAAGTGGGGACAACAGACTGGGATAGGGAGAGATTGAATATGTCTAAACACTCCAGCCAGCTGGCCTGCACATGCTCGGAGGACGTTGTTTAGGATTGTCAAGACTTCAGCCACCCAAGTCATAGACTGTTCACTCTGCTACTGCACGGCAAGCGGTACCGGTGCACCAAGTCTGGAACTAACAGGACCCTGAACAGCTTCTACCCCCAAACCATAAGACTGCTAAATAGTTAAATAGTCTGGGTAGCTATTTGGATAACTAACTCTTGACTCTTCACATACACCGCTGCTACTGTTTATCATCTAGCCTGTTGCCTAGTCACTCTATCCCTACCTATATGTTCAGAAAGTATTCACACCCGTTTACTTTTTACAGCCTGAATTTAAAATTGAGATTTTGTGTCACTGGCCTACACACATAATACCCCATAATGTCAAAGTGGAATTATATTTTTAGAACATTTTACAAATGAAAAGCTGAAATGTCTTGAGTCAATAAGTATTCAACCCCTTCGTTATGGCAAGCCTAAATAAGTTCAGGAGTAAAAATTGGCTTAACAAGTCACATAATAAATTGCATGGACTCACTCTGTGTGCAATAAGTGTTTAACATGACTTTTGTACCCCACACATACAATTATCTATAAGGTACCTCAGTCAACCAGGAATCCTGATGTGGTCCTCTGTAGCTCAACTGCTCAACTGGTAGAGCACGGCGCTTGAAACGCCAAGGTAGTGGCTTCGAGCCCCGGGACCACCCATACACAAAAATGTATGCACGCATGACTGTAAGTCGCTTTGGATAAAAGCGTCTGCTAAATGGCATATTATATTATATTAAGCAGTGAATTTCAAAAACAGATTCAACCACAAAGACCAGGGATGTTTTCCAATGCTTCGCAAAGGGCACATATTGGTAGATGGGTAAAAAAATAAAAGCAGACATTGAATATCCCTTTTAGCATGGTGAAGTTATTAATTACACTTTGGATGGGGTATCAATACACCCAGTCACTACAAAGATACAGGTGTCCTTCCTAACTCAGTTGCCAGAGAGGGAGGAAACCGCTCAGGGATTTCACCATGAGGCCAATGGTGACTTTAAAACTGTTAGAGTTTAATGGCTGTGATAGGAGAAAACTGAGGATGGATCAACAAAATTGTAGTTACTCCACAACACTAACCTAAATGACAGAGTGAAAAGGAAGCCTGTACAAAATGAAAATATTCCAAAACATGCATCCTGTTTTCAATAAGGCACTAAAGTATAACTACAAAAAAAAAGAGGCCAAATAACTTAACGCTTTGTATTCAGGACATAAAGTTATGTTTGGGGCAAATTCAACATAGCGTCACTGAGTACCACTCTTCATATTTTCAAGCATGGTGGTGGCTGCATCATGTTATGGGTATGCTTTTCATCTGCAAGGACAAAAAGAAACGGAATAAAGCTAAGCACAGGCAGAATCCTAGAGGAAAAGATGGTTCAGTCTGCTTTCCAACAGACACTGAGACAAATTCACCTTTCAGTAGGACAATAACCTAAAACACAAGGCCAAATAAACACTGGAGTTGCTTACCAAGACACAGCATCATATGACGCAAAATGCATAATACAGGCAAGATTTCTGTATTTTGAAAGTTACATATCTTGAAAACTTGATTGCTGACATGCAAAACATTTTGGGACTATTTCAATAATGGACTAATTAAACAAATACCAAAATATTGTTTTTGGGTAGAGTTGTCCTTAACATGCTTGATTGTCTTACCTCTGCTAGGTGTGGCATTGTTATGAAATAGGATTAGTGGCAGTGGAGATTCTTCCATCACTGTGAGATGATATAGGCCTACTATATAGTAGTCATTGACTCGAGTGAATAAAATGGTGCAATATTAACTTGGTTTTAGTACATTTCCCAGATTGGGTTATCAGACTGTGTTCTGATCGTGATAGTCTACACATGCAGCCCATTTCTGATTTTTTTTCTCACTAATTGGTCTTTTGACCAATCAGATCAGCTCTGAAAAAGATCTGATGTGATTGGTCAAAAGACCAATTAGTGTTTACACAGGCAGCCCAATTCTGATATTATTTCCACTAATTGGTCTTGACCAATCACATCAGATCTTTTCACATCAGATCTTTTTCACAGCTGATCTGATTGGTCAAAATACCAATTAGTGAAATAAAGATCAGAATTGTGCTGCCTGTCTAAACGCAGCCATGGTGTGTAGTGTGGATCATTTGAAGTTTAGACACAGTCAAACATTGACCAACGAAAGGGTTGAATTCTTGAAATTATTAATACAACAAGATTGGGAAACCATTCTTAACATTACAGTCCTTGCATGGAACCAAAGTGTTCTCAATCTAGCATTTCTGCAATCATTTCTATACAGTACATACATCACATGTATAATTAGTTGTTAAGATGTAGGACACGCCCTACAAGCATAGACAGTACATATAAAAAATAAGATCTGAGGTCATGCTCCACTAGTCCACAGGTGCCTAACTCCTAAAAGGCATGATGGGTTAACCATAGTCACTCTGACAGTAAATGATGGCTTGTTCTATTCCTGGAGAGTAGGTAGATAGTGTTTGGGAGATTCCCATCTCATTGTCCAACTGCTATAACTCAACCCATCACTCATCATAATGCAGTGAAGACAGGAACTTATCCACATCCAAGTCATCAGGGAAGGAATCCATTAGTTTCTGCTGATTCTGAGGGGTAACAAATAATAAAGAGATGCAGTGGTTTTAATGTGCTTTCTCATTATACAAGCAAAAAGGAAACTGAGTGCACATTTAATGCAGGACATTATGCCAAATATCTACGATTGGGTTGATGTGATCACATTCAATTATGAACCTCAGGAGAGATTAGGATACACAGATTGAATAGAAAATGCTGTATGATATGCTCACCTTTGCTTTCTTCTTACTGCCAGATGAACCTGATAAATCTTTCTTTGCTGGCGGGCTGGCCAGGGGCTCAGGCTGCTTGCGCTTCTTGCTCTTGAAGGCTACAGGGGTCACTGCTCCAGCCCCCTCCTGGCGCAAGCTGTCTTTCAGTGGGGTGCCCGACCTGGCGATGGCAGCTCGGGATAGGATAATCAGTGTGTGGGCCGCCATGTTGATGCTGTTTTCACTCCCTGCCTCGCTGGCTGGGCTGCAGGAGGGAAGGTCCGGGGTGGCGGGAGGGACCAGGTGCCTGGGGGTTCCGTCTCTGCGCAGCCTCTGGCGTGCAGGGATCCTGGGGCAGTCTAGAGACTCCTGGAGACGGCCAGGGGTCAGAGGAAGAGGCAGCTCCGGACAGCCCATGCCTGGCCTCTTAGGAGAGGCGGCGGGAGGGTTTAAACCCTGGATGTCGTGGAGCATTTCGGCCGCCTGCTTGGTCAGTGGGCTGGTCTTGCAGGGGGTTTTGCTGGAGCTAGCCTGGGGGACAGGGGTTTGTGAGCCCACTGTGGCTGGGCTGAATGCTCTTGGTGCTGGTGGGGGCTGCTGCTCTCGCCTTCCCCCCTCCAGCTCATTCTCCTTATTGGCAGTGACATGAGGGGGGTCCTGAAAAGATGTCCTTTTCTCAGTCCATCCCTCCCGCTCCTTGGCAGGAGATTTCTCAGTAGGCTCTTGTCTACATGCGTCCTCCTTCTCTTTCTCTTTCCTGCTCCCTGATCTCAGTCTGTGATCAGAGGAAGAGGACCTGAAGCTCTGGGCATCCTTAGGTCCTGTTCCACCATCGTCCTTCTTGTCTGCTGATTGAGATCTCTTCCTGGACTCTGACTGTGAGGCATCAGTCCTACTGTTACCAGCACTCTGAGATCTACTGGTACTTGCACTTTGACCTCTAGCATTTTGATCTGCGTCCCTCTTTGAAGGGGTCTTTTTCGCAGCTTCTTTCTGCTTTTGGACAGTGGAGGATTTCTCGGTCTCTGTTCCGGTCCATGATGTTTGAGTGTTGTCCGTACATCTTACAGTCTCTATTCTCCTTTTTGGCCTGCTGCTCCCCAAGATAGCAAAGGCCGATTTAGGTATCTCTTTCTCCACCTGTTGGACAGAAGGTGATACAGGAGTAGCTGTTGCTGGAGCTTTGGAGGAGGAGGAGGCAGTTTTTCTGGTCTGAGTGGAAGTTTCACCAGCAGACCCATCAAAGCAAAGCATCCTCCTATGGCTGGGGCTCGAGCCAACTGCTACCTTCTGCTGCCCTGTGCTTTCAAAGGATTGTTGGTGGACCTGCTTTGTAACCATATTCGATCCAGAAGCTTCCGTTTTTCCTGAAATGCACAAGCAAGCAACAACATTTGTGAACAAAATAACAGGATAACCGTAAACAGACAATGACATTATGGAGGACTGAATACTAATCCTTACCTGAGACTGTGGTGTCCTTGGGAGCCAGTTTAGCCTTGGTTTTCACTGCTGCTGGCTGCTTTGCTGAAGCAGGGCTAGGCATGGCTATCAACTGAAACAAACAAATTATCACTAGATGCACATGTTATTGTAGCTAAATTAGCCTATCGGTTCAAAAAAAGGGATTAAATGCAAATATGTAAAACATATTACCTGATTGGGAACTATTGAAAACTGTCCTGCATTGTTCTGCCCAACAACAGATACAGGAACCACCATGCTTTGCAGCATGGGCTGAACTGGTGAAGATATGACGAGTCTAGATCCTGGAAGGATATAACTGATTAGACATTTCCCCTCAGCAAAACAGTATGGCAAATTAAGTGAGTGATGACTATTGGGTAATTCCACTGTAAATGTATGCCAAACAAAAAACATTGATTTCAAAGTTTAACATACCATACAGGTTTATCCACAAGGACTACTTTTAACAATTTACACAGACAATTGGAATAAAATAAATGTACTGGAAGAACCGTGCAGATGCAAAGTTTGGTAACAGAATTTTGGTAAAATCTCCCTCAGTTTTTTATGTGTCCTCGTTTTCCCAAAACATTTAAATATATGCTCTGAATTAAGATTCAACAATGTCTGCATAAAGAATGAAGTGTCAGTTATGTCATAACACATTGACTTTAAAAAAATATATTTGGGTTATTGAACTACAGTAAGTGAAGTGAATTTATACACGGCAACAGAATGTCATAATGGATCCCTGATCTGTACTACACAGAAATGCATAATTATGGATATGAATATCATTGTCTTCGTGGTGATGTATCCTAAATAGGTACACTTTGCATATTTGGCCATTATCCTTTGCATATTTGGGTATTATTCTACACACTGGCTATAATTGGAAGCTCTGCCCCCAAACAAGACCAAATTTGAACCAATCATAGACGTCTATGTTTCACAAGTTTGGACATCAAAGTACTGCACAGTAGAGCTCAGTAGAGTACAGTACAGCACAGTAGAGTTCAGTACAGTACATAATAGTGTACTCAACTCTAGTGTGCTATACTGTGCACTGTACTGAACTCTACTCTTCCTAATTGTACTGAACTCTACTGTACAGTACTGAACTATATACTATTCTCTACTGTACTATGCTGTTCAAACTTGTGAAGCAAACTGTGGTTTGTGACTGCTATGATTTTCCATTGTAGCCAATTCAATAGCAGAAATTCCGTTACTGATTTTACAGAAATTGATGTTTTGATCACTTAATAATTAATAAACAAAATTATTATCAGTAAAAGCACTATAACTAATTCATAGGTTTACCTTTACTTGTTACTTCTGTGAACTTTCATTAACCTTCCTCCTCATGAGGGAGAGAAATTAGAAAATATCTTAAAGATGATGGTTTTTGGTAACGGAATTTCAAGGCACAAGGCAATGTTTCTTAAACTTACAGGAGGCAGAACAATTTCTCCAAAACTACATATAAAAGTGTTGATATAAGTTGGCAGGGGTAATTTCTTTAACATTGTGTTTTGATGTATTTCTAATACCTTTTAAGACTTATTCTGGTTGATGTTTTCTAAGACTCCTTTTCTATCTGTTTGACCAGAAATCAAAGCCTTTGCTTATTCCAAATAGCTTGAATGGTAAATGGTCAGAAAATGTATATATGTCTTAATAAAACATTTGACTCTTAGCTTTCATTTGACATTTTCCTATTAACTTAATATGGTTGGTGCTTATTGGTTCATTTACATGGAAATGACCTATAGCTTTATGATTCAAGTACAAAATATTAAAGCTGCAATATGTAACTTTTTGAGCGACCTGACCAAATTCACATAGAAATGTGTGTTATAGATCTGTCACTTATTGAAAGTTTTATGTGCACTATTTCTATGCTTCCCGTTCTTAAGTTTAATTTTTGCGTCAGTTATTTTCGGTTTTGTACACCAGCTTCAAAAAGATGAAAATACAATATTTTTGGTTAAGGAAAATATATTTTCACAGTGGTTTAGATGGTACAATGATTCTCTACACTATACTTGCTTGTTTTGTCATATAAACTGAAATTATGTGAACTATTAGAATTTTAGCGATTTTTGCATAGTGCATCTAAGTATTTAAACGCCGTCTTACCAGGGGAATAGCGGGGTGGAGTGGCCAGAGCATATGAGGTGGGGGGTACAGTCTGTACCTGTTGGGCGCCACTGGGTAACATCACCATGTTGGACTGGGGGTCTGTGGCTGTTGTGTCTGTCACTAAGATGTAGCTGTTGGTGGATGTGGCTGAATCAAAGGGCAGCTGAATGTAGTAGCCAGGCTGTGTCAACGCAGATGACGTCCCTGCCAATGCTGCCACATCCCCTGCTTTCCCACTAAGAGGATTGGTCTCTGCTGGCTGGAGGACTTCTGTCCTCTGTAAGCTGCTAACCGCCTGCACCGTCTCCTCCTGAGCCATGGGTGCGCCACTGAGGGCTGGGGCCTTGGCAGGTGACTTGGCGGGGGAGGAGAGGAAGATGGTGGGGATCCTATCCCCAGTGATGCTGGACACAGCCTGGTTCAGGGCTGAGTCACTGGAGGGCTCCTCATGCTCATCGCTGATTATGATCTTCAGGGCCACAATCTTACTGGAGTCCACTTCCTTGCCTGTAGGATTGGGGTTTGGGATGAAGGTTGTTGTTGTTGTAACTGTTGAGGGGACAGCCATAGAGTGTATGGTCTGTGGTAGAGGTTGTGAAATTCCTACAGTGCTGGGAGGGGTCAAATTCATATGAGGCAGGTTAGAGGCCTGTATGGGAGCATTGTTTGACTGATCAAGCACTGGCATGGAATTGGACAGGGCAGGTGAAGAGTTAAGAAGTGAAGCTTGGTTATCCATCACTTGTCCACCATCAGCCCCCACTGTGTTCTCACTGCCTAATACATTTTTTTTCACAGCAGAGACCGTCCTGGTTTCAGATGAAGCTGTGTTGCATGCTGATGCCGGACGATTTGTTCCACTCTCCTGTCTGACTGGCTCAAAGACATCTGGGGGAGCTATATTGTCAAGAGGAGGAGGTTCATCTATATCCACACCTGATACATCCTGATCAAAGATGGAGCCGGAGTCAACCATATCAGAGTCCTTTGCGGCAGAAGAAGAAGCGCCAGTAAGTTTATCAATACGTGCTGAGGGTCGAGTTGCACTAGCTCCCTTTCTCAACCCTCTGGTACTGGGTCCAGGAGTTGCCTTTGAAGTGCTTGAAACAGGAGGTGCAGATTTCCTTGTTTTCTTACTATTGGGCTCTTGACTGGACTTTGTTGCTCTAGTTGTTGTTTCTTGTCCAAGTGTTGAATTTTCAGGCCCAGTGCCTGAGAAATTAAAGAGAAATCCCATTGTCAGAAAGATATTTCTGATGAAGCATCAATATTGTTTAGTATATGATTCTAACAGGCATTATTTAAAAGGTTATGAGGACTTTGTCCATACCTGGGTCTCCAGTCTCAGGAGAGACGTCAATACATCTAGTCTCAGTCTCACCATTCTCTGTTGTGGTATTGCTCATGATCCCAGCTCCTTGTTCAGTATCCTCACTGGTTTTGCTTTTGCCTTAATGCAAATAATCAAGAGATTTAGAGGAATAATGTGATTTTATAAAATCTTAGTCAAACAATCACCAAGCCCACTTCACGCATTTACATTACATTTACGTCATTTAGCAGACGCTCTTATCCAGAGCGACTTCATGTATTGTCAGGAGCAACAAAATCCTGCACATGATCTAGATTAAATCATCAGCAAAGTTGAAAATGTTTACCGTAATCAAAGAGGTCAAAGAGAGCCTGGAAGGCTGGGTCGGACTCTGTCTGCTCCAAGATGTCTTGTATAACATCATTAGACATATGAATCTCCCCCTGCACAGAGTAAAACATCAGTAGAAAGCACAAATCCACACTCTATGCACTAAAGACTGACAATGTTCCCTGAGTTCGAGTGGAGAAATGAGGTATAGCAAGTCTGTCAGAACATGACATTACCTGCAGGCCCAGAATTTCATCTATGGACTGGTCAGGCTCCATGGTGCTGCATGATGCCTGGGGACTGACATCACTACAAGTTGAGAGTAAGAAACACATGCACAGGTAAGAAATAATATCTACTCTACCCAACAGCCAAATTGTAATAAGTAATGAAGTCAGTACTGTTCAAATTTTACACAAGATCTACTTTTATTATTACCTTGCTAGGATTTTGTTTATGTTTTCAGCAAGCTTCTCTTGTAAGGACTTGTCATTTAGAATCCTCTCTCTTGCATTTTGTATCACCATTTGCTGCAAAGATACACACAATTCAATGATAAATTCACATCAGTCAACAGGGGTTAGCAGTGTTTTCAAATGCAACATATTTATAAAACAGAGTATTAACTTTGTTTTGTACTCACAGGGAAATTCTCTGTGACTGCCTCTTCACTCTGGGGCTCTGCTCTCAGGCTACTGGCTGCCATGTTGGCTCTTCCAGTCCCACCAGATCCCCCACCTCTCCTCCTGGGGGAGTCACTGGGAAGATTACTCTTTTATCATAACTCAATCTACTAGGGATATGCATCTTTCCCTTTCAAGACAATTCGATACGCATCTAGATACATGCGCTCCAATATGTTACATGAACGATACGTTTTAGTTTGAAATGATTCGGTGCGATTCGGTTTGAACCTAGCAAATTAGCTATGACATAGCCAATGACTATATAGCACAACTTTGGATTTCACTCCCATCTCAAAATAACATCTATTGTAAGCAGATTGGGTCTCTGGAAGCTTACTTTTATTCCGGTAAACAGCATTTAACAGTGCATAGATAACAATAACCTAGCAAATTACCGCCTACCTCGCGTTGGTCAGCACGCGAAGCTGGGCACAGTGCGCAGTTTGACTAGGCTACTGATAGTGCCTGGGGTTGTTCAGCATGCAAAATAACTTGTAGATCAATGACTGTCAACACAGTTACAGTGCCTTCAGAAAGTAGTCATACCCCTTGACTTATTCCACATTGTTGTGTTAGTTGAATTCAAAATAGATTAAATATATTCTCTCTCTCTCTCACCAATCTACACATAATACCCCATAATGACAAAGTGAAAACATGTTTTTAAAAATACAGAAATATAATTTACATACAGTGAGGGAAAAAAGTATTTGATCCCCTGCTGACTTTGTACGTTTGCCCACTGACAAAGACATGATCAGTCTATAATTTTAATGGTAGGTTTATTTGAACAGTGAGAGACAGAATAACAACAAAAAAATCCAGAAAAACGCATGTGAAAAATGTTATAAATTGATTTGCATTTTAATGAGGGAAATAAGTATTTGACCCCTCTGCAAAACATGACTTAGTACTTGGTGGCAAAACCCTTGTTGGCAATCACAGAGGTCAGACGTTTCTTGTAGTTGGCCACCAGGTTTGCACACATCTCAGGAGGGATTTTGTTCCACTCCTCTTTGCAGATCTTCTCCAAGTCATTAAGGTTTCGAGGCTGACGTTTGGCAACTCGAACCTTCAGCTCCCTCCACAGATTTTCTATGGGATTAAGGTCTGGAGACTGGCTAGGCCACTCCAGGACCTTAATGTGCTTCTTCTTGAGCCACTCCTTTGTTGCCTTGGCCGTGTGTTTTGGGTCATTGTCATGCTGGAATACCCATCCACGACCCATTTTCAATGCCCTGGCTGAGGGAAGGAGGTTCTCACCCAAGATTTGACGGTACATGGCCCCGTCCATTGTCCCTTTGATGCGGTGAAGTTGTCCTGTCCCCTTAGCAGAAAAACACCCCCAAAGCATAATGTTTCCACCTTCATGTTTGACCGTGGGGATGGTGTTCTTGGGGTCATAGGCAGCATTTCTCCTCCTCCAAACACGGCGAGTTGAGTTGATGCCAAAGAGCTCGATTTTGGTCTCATCTGACCACAACACTTTCACCCAGTTCTCCTCTGAATCATTCAGATGTTCATTGGCAAACTTCAGACGGCCCTGTATATGTGCTTTCTTGAGCAGGGGGACCTTGCGGGTGTTGCAGGATTTCAGTCCTTCATGGCGTAGTGTGTTACCAATTGTTTTCTTGGTGACTATGGTCCCAGCTGCCTTGAGATCATTGACAAGATCCTCCCGTGTAGTTCTGGGCTGATTCCTCACCGTTCTCATGATCATTGCAACTCCACAAGGTGAGATCTTGCATGGAGCCCCAGGCCGAGGGAGATTGACAGTTCTTTTGTGTTTCTTCCATTTGCGAATAATCGCACCAACTGTTGTTACCTTCTCACCAAGCTGCTTGGCGATGGTCTTGTAGCCCATTCCAGCCTTGTGTAGGTCTACAATCTTGTCCCTGACATCCTTGGAGAGCTCTTTGGTCTTGGCCATGGTGGAGAGTTTGGAATCTGATTGATTGATTGCGTCTGTGGACAGGTGTCTTTTATACAGGTAACAAGCTGAGATTAGGAGCACTCCCTTTAAGAGTGTGCTCCTAATCTTAGCTCGTTACCTGTATAAAAAGACACCTGGGGGCCAGAAATCTTTCTGATTGAGAGGGGGTCAAATACTTATTTCCCTCATTAAAATGCAAATCAATTTATAACATTTTTGACATGCGTTTTTCTGGATTTTGTTGTTGTTATTCTGTCTCTCACTGTTCAAATAAACCTACCATTAAAATTATAGACTGATCATTTCCTTGTCAGTGGGCAAACGTACAAAATCAGCAGGGGATCAAATACTTTTTTCCCCTCACTGTACATGCAGTTCGACACTGAAGGAGAGGATGCATCAGTGGTCACCAAAGATGAGAGGTAGAAAAGGAATGTAATATGAGCAAAACATTTGAGTGAACCGCCGATTCATAAAGTTTTAATCGTTTTTTTGACCGATGCATTCTAAATTTGGTTCAGTTTGGGGTCCGCCGTCCGATGCACTTGTATCTTTAAACATTTTCATTGGGGGCCAATGCGTATAGTTGAATCAATCGTTAAATCCCTACAATCTACACACGGGTAAGAAGAACTTCTAAGAACTTACAAAGAAGTAAACAAAGAGATGACAATGACTATCTTACCATTTCCTACGCCCTGGGGATAATGGTCCTGGGGTTAACCGGTTGTCTGGAACCGTTATTTGCAAAGGTGACTCTCCTGTAATAAAAAACAAGTGTCCATTATTCAATGAAGCTTTATTGACAACCTTTCCTATAAGTTGGTATTAATGTTCATAAATGATGACGGCAATTGCCGGTTAAAATGAGATGTGATAGACACCTACTGTAACAACCTTCCCCAGTACACTGCTGCTCATGGATGTGTTTGTGTTTACTTACGGTTCACATTGATGAGCAGACGTCCTCCATCTTGGATCTGGGGCTGTGTGCTGCAGATGGGGGAGGATCTGGTCTGCTGGGAGCTGTAGCAGACTGGGGTGGAGTGTCCCAGGATGCTCTGAGGGGTGTCGAGGGGGGTGGCGATGCCCTGGGCCAACGGCGGGGCTGACGATGACAGAAACCCAGAGCTGGGGGACAGCGTTGATGACAAGGCTCTCTGTCGCCCCCTCATGTTCACAATTCCATTACGTGTGCGTACTGCAAAGGAAATAGGTTTATGAATCACGTCATACAGCAGCGTTCCCCAATAGGCTGCCCGTGGGAGAATTTATTTGGCCCTCCATGTTTTCGGAGCAAAAAAATTATAAATCACTTGGACATAAAAGATTGTAAAATCACCTGGAAACTAGAAATGTGTATTCCCACGCATAAACAGAGAGGAATATGTGATTGTATACCAATGTAATGAAGGTTTTAAATTATTCTGTTTTTCTCAAATACTCTGTTTGGGATTCTTGCGGTCAATTTGCAGTGTACAAAACAATTAGTGTTTTGTGTGATGTAATCTTTATAGTTATGCTGCCATTTAGCCAGCAGTCTGACTCCTGTTTAGCCAATGACGATGAAAAAATAACATTAAAATCGCTATTGACTGCTGTTTTGTGAACAAGTGGCAGCGTTACGAGTGACTGAGCAGCAACTGAAAGGAGGTAGGCTAGTGGATCCTGCATGAGCAGAAGTCTCCGTATTTTTTTGTAACAGCAAGTCTGATTCCAGAAAATCCAGAACCACAACCACTCCAAATGATTTATTACTATGTTCCAGGTCAGCCCATCGCTCAAGGAGAAAAAACAGCCCATGGCTGAACGTAAATAGGGACCCCTGTCATACAGCCACATGGAGTTCAGCACTCTGCCTGATGGCTTGAGCCACACAACATTACAAAGAGGCAATGAAATCAAAGTTCAGAAGTAGTACTAAGATCATAACCATTTAACTTGCAAGAATATTTTATAAAGCACTTACATCTTTGATTCTGGCTAACAGATGGGGAGTTCTGCATAGACCTAAGGAAATAAATAAGTTGAATTGAAGATGTCAGAAAGTGCACAGCAATCTGTTGGTGAGTTTTTCTTTGCCGTTTTAAAGGTAAAAATAGGTCCTTACTTTATTTGATTGAGTGTGAAATCAAGCTTTTTCCACAATGATGTCATCATGATGGGTATCTGAGTCTCTTCACTGGTCTCTAAGCAGAAATAGCAGGGAAGTGTGACAACCAAGAATACAATACAAACACGTGAAAGTCCTGTACTCATTTAATGAAAGTGGTTGAGGTCAGAGGTTACACTTACCTTTAGCTTTGACAGCAACATACTCATTCAAAATGGTTGTCAGGTTTTTTCCAAAGAGGGACTGCAATGGGAGTACACATGAATTAGCTACCTAGCTAAGTAATCCACTAAATAACTCACTGTAACTAGATATTGTCATTAGAATGACAGAGTTGAACACAGCTATATGAAGTCTGAACTGACAACATACTTACAAACACACAAGCAGGAATAGTTCCATCATCTGAGCTGTGTTCTGCGTACTCCTTCAAATTGGGGCTTTCGCGAATTAAAGCCTGGCTTGTAGAACACAGTCCCTCTTGTTGCAGGTATCCTGTAAAAACAGTGTACAAGGGAGTAGCTGAATTTGAGGCTCAGCATGTCACACGAAGAGTAAGTCAAAACCATCTAGATTTTGGCTTGCTACAGTGCAGCCCTCCTTGCAATATCACCAGCATGATCTTACAGATAGCAATCTAACGTTAGTTAGCTTACTGCTACTGCCATAGCCAGCTATCTTTTAGTTGCCAGGTTAGCTAGCAACACAAACAGGACCCAGTTCAGACTTACCTAAAACGAGCCGCGCTATGTCAGACGGAAGCAACATGGCTGCAATGTCAAATTATTGCAACAATTACAATTTACATTCACTGTCAAATGAAGTAAGAATACATTTAATCGCGAATAAAGCAAGTATATTTGGTAGAAACATCCAGTGTGTTGTGTACGCAACGTCCTACGAGTCGTGAAAAGGCGGGGAAGTCGAGCACATGTAACCCGGAATTTCCATAATATTTGGAAAATGTGCATTATGGGAAATGGTGTTTAAATTGTGAGTGTCCACTTTCTGTTTTTAGCACATTTCAAGTTACTTCCACGACATTGCAGATATAAGATGATATCTGTTTTGTCATTGGAGTTTGTTTTGATGATTATTATTACAGTAAATGCAGTCACTTTTGCCACCACCAGAAAAACTCTAGACACTCGTGCGATTTCTCTGTGACCCGGTTGTGATGTATCCTTTTCAACAGTGGGAGGCGCGGTTTTGCTGCGTACGCACGTCAACATGTCAAACTCACTTCTACAGTGGTCATAATCTTTGGGGGAAGTTTCACTTTATAGGAGGAGAATAAACATCAAGGTTTGAAATAACTGAGCATCAAGATCAAATGTGAATGGTTTGATATGTGACTCTTTTGAAATAGATTATGTTGGTGTTATGTGTGATTTCAATACCGTGCTATTATTGCAAGCTAACTGCTGCAGCTTTAGCTTGCTAGTTAGCTAGCTAGCTATTTTTCAGCAAACAGGAGTATTCATTGTGAACTAGTATGATTTGTTATGAATCTAGGCTTGCTACACTCTTTCCAAAGTGATGAAATTGTTGACACTTTTGTTTGATCAATGCGTCATGTCTGTTTAATTTGTCATACTTGTCATCAACCTCATGCTTCATATATGTCATTATCATGTTTTTTTTTTAGAGATGCATGCCCCCCAAATCTGTTGATGGAACCTGACACACGACCCTAAAGCATCATGAGCTTGGTCCTTCACGAGCTGCTGGTCTGCTGCAGAGGTTTAGAGAATGAAAAAGCAACGGAGAGAAAGGTAATTTCAGTCACTCATAAATCAGTGCATTGAATCAATAAACCTATTTCAACATCTGTGCACAAAACATTCTGTTCTTGTATCCAGAAAGAGGCTGATCGCTTCAGACGGCTCATCCGGTGTCCTGACACAGTGGAGGAGCTGGATCGCATTTCTGGAACCAGAGCTGCTAAAGGCTCCAAGCAGCTCACCTGGGATGCAGTCTTCAGGTACTATCTCTTCCTACATAGTTTATTACCTAAATCCCACTATTAGGGGACAGGTGTAGCCAGGCTACTATTTTATTGACAATATTGATTAAGTCCATCATCGCTTTGCATTCTCACTGCCTTTCTTTCAGGTTTCTGCAGAGGTATCTGCAGAAAGAGACTGAGCTGCTCCAGGCAGGGAAAGCCAACGTGTCAGCCACCACGCAGGCTAACCGTCAGAAGAAGATGCAGGAGATCAGCAGCCTGGTCAAATACTTCATCCGCTGTGCCAACAAGAGTACGGGTTTGGAGGATCACAGACCAGATCAGATCATAGGCCTATAGAGCCTAACACCCACACCCTGTGTTGTCTATCCCTGTGTGTCCCAAATGGCTCCCTATTCCTTAAATAGTGCACTACTTTTGACCAGGGCCTATAGGGCTTTGATGAAAAGTACTTCAATTTTGGACGCACTGACTGATTTGTAGCGCCTCTGGGTACTTTAACCCCCCACTTCTCACCTTACAGGAGGGCCTCGTCTGAAGTGTGGCGAGCTCCTGAAACATGTGATGGAGGTGCTGCGGAGCTCATTCAGCTGCTCAGCCTATGGGGAGGACTACAGCACCATCCTGCTTAAGAACATCCTGTCTGTCCGCAAGTACTGGTGTGAGATCACCCAGCAGCAGTGGCACAGTCAGTGGTTCTTATTGCTCCTCTCTCAATACAGCAGAGACTTAGATTTGTATGTGCTGTTGAATGTAATCTATGAATGTAACGGGGAAGTAATTGGTGGTGTTTTGGGGTAATTGCAGCTAGTAATAGGAAATACAAACAAACGCAATGTAAATGCTTGATTGAAGTCATGGGTCCGCAATGGAATTTCATATGTATTGTCCAGATTTTGATTTCACTCTTGTTAGATTCTGAACAATTTGTTCTCTCATATGTATCTAGATTTGCTGGATCTGTATTGTGGCCTTTTCACTGGTTCCTCCAAGGCCATAAATCGTGTGCTAGTGAGCAGGATCATCCACACTGCAGTCCAGGGCTGCTGTCTGCAGACTGAGGGCTTCAGCCATACACTCTTCATCTTCTTCTCCAGAGCACTGCTCAATGCCAGGTACGATGTCAATAACAACAACCACTGCGAGAGGTGAACTGTATCATGCAAGGGAGTTGCTACTTTCCACAGTCATTTTCCAGTAGTTATGCGCCTGTAGGTGTAAGTTGTCTATTGTGTAAACCTACTGAACTGAACGCTTAGAAATTGAGTCTACAGCAGTGGGGGCTGGTGGGAGGAGCTATAGGAGGATGGGCTCATTGTAATGGCTGGAATGGAATAAATGGAACAGCGTCAAAAATGTGCTTTCCATGTATGATACTGTTCCATTGATTCCATTCCAGCCATTACAATGAGCCCATCCTCCTATAGCTCCTCCCACCAGCCTCCTCTGGTCTACAGGGGGCGGCAGGTAGCTTAGTGGTTAAGAGCGTTGTGCCAGTAACCGAAAGGTCGCTGGTTCTAATCCCCGAGCCGACTAGGTGAAAAATCTGTCGATGTGCCCTTGAGCAAGGCACTTAACCCTAATTGCTCCTGTAAGTCGCTCTGGATAAGAGCGTCTGCTAAATGACTAAAATGTAAAAAAATAAAGTGAGACCTACAATCAAGAGACTTAAACCATTACACTGCATGTGATATGTTCTCTCTGCAGGCAGGAGAGACACTTGGCGGTGGTAGAGCACTTGGTCTCTGCTCTGAACGTCTTCCTGAGGTCTGCTGCCATGAACTGCCGTATCAGGGTGTGTCGGCTGGGTGAGGAGCTCCTGCCCTCTGTGCTCTACGTATGGAGCCAGATGAGGCCCAGCACCACTCTCAAAGAGGAGATAGTAGAGTTCTTCAACCTGCAGCTCTGTGTACATCATCCCAAAGGGTCAAAGACACAAGACACGGGTATGGCTGGTATTTTTTGGACAGACTGAAAACTGAAAAAACACCATTGTCTTTATGAATCTGTTTCGATGTTGAACGATGAAAACGGTGTAGAAGAACAGACAGGTGTGAATTGTTTTCATCACTGAAACCCTTGATGAAGTAGAATGCCATTTTAGATCATGATTGATACAGCCCATCTGACACCTTTTCTTGCCCATGCCACCCCTCACTGTTCCAGGAGCCTATGCTGAGGACTGGGCCAAATGGCAGAGTCTACTCTATAACCTTTATGATGCCCTGGTGAATGAGATCAGCCAGATTGGGAGCCGGGGGAAATATGCCACAGGGTCGCGCCACATCGCTGTGAAGGAGAACCTTATCGAGCTAACTGCGGAAATCTGCCATCAGGTGATAAAGCTAAGATCCTTCATTTTCACATCTTGACTTCATTTATTAGTTCAAGACTAAGACCTGAGATGGGCTGACATAATCTGACATAGTTCACCTGTCTTTAAGAATGAAAATAGATTATGTTAGTATTGTTGGTCTCATCTTCATGTTTTGGGTGTTTAGCTCTTTAGCGAGGATAGTAAACTCCAGATTCTCGAGGTGACTCAGGCCCACCTCAGAGCCACCCAGAGAGGCAGTCCACAGGGCACGCCCAGCAAGCGCAGACGCAACGAGCTGGGCTGGGAGGTTCTCCGAGACCACCTGCAGCCACACCATAGCGACTTTGACATCATACCATGGTGAGAAAAGACAATCACACCAAGGTTCAGTGCTCCTTAACTTGCCAAATATCCTTATATTTAGTGCAATCAAACTCTTCACATCTCCATATCCTCTGTGTTCACCTACTCAACAATACTATGCTCCTATTTAGGTTACAGATCACATCAGTGTTGACCTCTAAGTACCCCTCCATGGTGCCTGGCCAGGAGCTGGTTCGTCTGCTGTCCGTCCTGTGCCAGCTTCTGGGGGAGCAGCGGCGGGGTGACAGGGGGCCCTACGTGCTGCGCTGCCTGAGGGAGGTGGCTCGCTGCCAGGCCACACACCCAGAGAGGGCCCAAGCCTACAGGGCTGAACTGGGCAGGCTGTGGGGCCGTGTCTGGGCCCTGGCTCTACGGGGGGTCAGCTCCCCCCAGACTGAGGCCCTCAGTCTGGCCCTGCTGTCCACCGTCCTCCAGGGAGCCCTCATTCCCATCGACAGAGAGTTCTGGAAGCTCTTCTCTGGCTCGGACTGCAAGCCCTCTGAGTGAGTCCTTGGCTTTGATTAATGATTTTGTCATGTAATATAAAGTCACTTCCTCAACATTAGATTGACTAATTTACTCTTTGCAAACTACAGTGCATTATGCTTTTATCTCTGAAGGAACATTTCAACCTCTCTCTCTGTGTGCAGTGCTGCTGCTCTGTGTTTGGCCCAGGCCCTTCTCAAGTGTCCTGTTCCTAAGAGCCTGGGCACTGGGTGGGACCAAGCAGGGGCCGTGGAGGGGGTCGGGCCACCCAGCCTCAAGGAGAACATCATGAGCTGGCTGCTGATGAATGAACAGAGTGAAGAGGCAGAGGAGAGCTCAAGACCACACCCCATCATCTGCAGGTGGGCAGTTTATCACTGGGCTCATATCTCATTTTTATTCACCCTTAACCTCTGCTAGTGTTGTCTACTTGGGATAATTTTGTCTCGGTACAATGTTTTACGTCTGTAATTGTTTTAACACATTCCTAATAAGAGTCTGTGTCTTATTCCTCTTTGCCCAGGGATTTTCCTCATAACCTAATCCCCAGAATCCTTGTGCCTTTGACCCTCAAAGACACCCGAGCTGGCATTATGTTTCTCCTTGGAGCAAAGGGACTTGAGAGGTGAGGGAAATATTTATCTAAAACCGATAAATTCAACCATATTGTCATCAGTGTCAACATAACTCCATAGATTTCATACCACCTTCAATCTTTCCCTCTGCCTAAAGTGCTGTGATGCAAGATCAAGCACAAGTGGAAGCTAAAGATGCCCTGAGTGAGATTGAGAGCATGTACCTGCAGTTCAGCTTTGACGAGATGCCCTCTGACCCCATGGTGAAAGTGACGGTGTCCTCAGCCGACACCCAGCTCACTGTTGTCCCCAGCCTTAAACACAAGCTGGAGCAGGGCCTCTTGTCTGTGGCTGACCACCTACTCAACTGCTACTCCCCTGATGTGAGTGAATGTCTATGTTAGAATCATGGTTTTGTGAGTTAGTGTGTATGTTCAAACTAAGCACTGTGTGTGTGTGTTTTCTCCTCAGTCTCAGACCACACCACCAGAATGCCTGGTTCGTTGTTCAAGTCTCCTTACTGGTGTTTTAGCAGGATATGTCTCTACAGGTCTCCTGACTGAGGAAGAAGCCTGCCATTCCCAACCCTTCTAAAGGCCAAGGTAGTCTGAACGGGTTGATAACATTTATTATATGCCTGCTGAAATCCACATATATGCAATTCATTGTATATTCTGTTGGCTTTTCGCAGGCACTGGCCCAGGATTTTAGTGAGTACATATCTAATGTGAAGGTGAAGATGGCAGAGGATGGGACAATGACTACACTCAGGTCTGTCATGCGGCTGTGCACCCAGTGTGTCAACAGAGGGGTTAAGGTAAGACAAGCTTTCTTCCTCTCCTTGTTCCTTATCGTTATCATCGCCATCAACATCTGTGTTTAAAATCTGGCTCTCTATTTGTACTTTCATTGACTTCCACATATCCTCTCCCACAGGACAGTATGAGCTCCGTCTCTTGCAACTTGTTCTTGAAGATATTCCCTGCAAGACTTTTGACTGAACTGGCAGAAATATGCAAACTGTTGGTGAGTCATGGAGAGTTTGCTTTCTGTCCCATCAACCATCATTTTGATAATTTGAATAACCATCATTTGGACCTGTATAACCACTCTGTAATGATCTGAGTTGTGTAAGCTCACTCTGTGTCTGTCTCTAACTCACAGCTGAATAGCTCCTGTAAGAGAGGCAGTGTGGGGTTTGAGGAGGACACCACAGATGAGGACTGGGACATGACGAGGACACAGGCTGACCAGCAGGAGGACATTGACCTGTTTGATGAAGGAGACGGCCCACAGACCAGCACATCTAATGGGACTCACAGAGAGAATGTGGACCCCAGTGATACCCAGTGTGGTCCTGGTAAGTGGATGATATCCCTCGTAAGCCCCATGTAAAATCATCCCATCAGCGTCAGCCGCTATGTCTGGATACTATAGGGCGAGGTGGAGCTATTGACATATGTGCACACCCCATCTGATTCTTTCAGATCAATGAGATATTTCCAGGGTTAGGGGCTTGGGGGTTGATAATCAGACCAGGCATTGGCCTCCAAGCATTTCTATAAATCCACCAATCAGATTGTCATTTAAATGCTCTATCTTCTCCTAGATGCTAAAAGCCTACTGGCTGAGGAGCATTTGGCCCAGCAGGATTTAGCCGTCTTGGCCAGTCTGGAGTTCCTGTCCCTGTGTGTCTCGGCTGAGTTTATCCACGGGCTCTCCTTCAACCAAGCGGAGGTCCGGCGCAAGCTGCTACTGCTGCTGGACAAGATAGACTGCACCAAGCCACTACACCTCAACATGGTGAGGGACCAGGACTGTGTAGTGTGGTCATTGTTGCACAGCTAATCGTAGTTCCCTACCGATCATGTTGCAAATGATGACTGATGATGTTCTTGTATCACTAACATTAAATACTAATAGTTTATTATTTTCTTGTCCCCTCTCAGTACCTGGTCCTTCTGAAGAAACTACCTGCTGAGGACACATCGCTGGCAGCTGAAGAGTTTGACTCACTCCTCAGACCTCTGGCGTAAGAATGGCCTCTGTTTCTAGATTTCTATGTCAAATATACTATGCTATACATGAGGTGCTGAAGACCGATTACTTTTCTTTGTGCTTGCAGGGATCTTTGCTCATTGTACCGCCAGGACCAGGAGATCTGTGCTGCAGTGCTGCTGGGTCTGCTACCGTCTATACGTAGTCTGGGCCGTACTCAGGACCAGCATAATGACATGAGACACGTCCAGGGAGCTCTGCTCCAAGTGGTCTCTGGATTCTGGTCAGCATCAAAGTCTAGATTTTTGTATTTTGACTTGACAATAATTCTTGTTCTTCGTTCTAGAATTTAACTTCCAACTTTTAATGGTCTCTTCTAGCATTTTGGGCAGAACGGGGAAATGCACAGCAATTGTAAAGGTGGCATTAGTTCACTGTCTGCTGGCTCTACTGGAGGTGAGTTCACAATGTTTTATAGTCACAGCATAGTAACTGCCCATGATAACCACCCTGTCTTTAGGTAGATGGAGAGTAATAACACCATTTACTTCCCTGTCTCTCTCCCCTATGTCAGGCTGACCCTTGCTGTAAGTGGGCGGTCCTTACCCTGAGGGAGGAGGAGCTTCCAGTGTCCGTCATCCTCCCGTCCCACCTGTCTGACTCTCACCATCACGTACGAATGCTTGCAGCCATGACAGTGGAAAGGTTGGTTTCACCGACGGAACACTCTCTCACCAGCCTTAATGCCATCACAGAGGCTAATGTCTCTCAAGTTAAAAAGTTAATATTTACATGTTTGACATATCTACCATGCATGCTCTCTTCCATCCATAGGCTGTTCTTGGAGATGACACCGGACAGCTTGGAGAAGAGAAAGATGCTTCCTCTGAAATGCCAGCAGACCGCCTTTGAGAACGTCTACCTGAAAGCCCAAGAAGGGATGAGGATCCAGGTAAGCCTGTCTTTCACATGTTACTCTGACAGATGTTTTTATGTCCATCTCACTATCCCTCTGCTCTCCCTGGTGTGTGTCACAGAAGAGCAGCTCTCCTGAAGACCTGAGTGACGAGATGTTTAACCGCAAGGCCACGCTGCTGAAGAGTGTGTCGGTGGTGCTGTGCTGCAGCCCCGTCTGTGAGAAACAGTCCCTTTTCGCCCTTTTCCAGTCCTACAAGGAGAACAACATAGAGGAGCCACTCATCAAAAAGGTAAGGGAAATTAATTTGGCTACACATATTTATGGTCTCATAAATTATTATGTTTTGTATTCATGTTTCTTAAACTGAAAGCACTTTAGTGTAGGTGGGTAACTTGCCCTTTCCACCGTCACGTCAGACAGAGATACTGTATCAGTATGCTATGATGTTGACAGACTGAATGTTAACCTGGTTTGTCCCTCACCCCCTGTTAGGTCCTGGGCAGTGTGTCCAGAGTTCTGGGCTACAGGAGTGTGGAGGGGTTTGTCAGCTCTCACCTGGATTACCTGGTGGCAGAGTGGCTGGGCCAGCCAGGCTACACCCTGGAGTCCTTCCCCTACACTCTGCTCAACCACGCCACTCTCAAGGACTTCTACAGGTAGTTTACATTCTACTTTAGCCCATAAGTTTTATGTCCATAAAATGACTCTTAGGGAATTTACTGATCTGACAGAATTGGGGTGAAAGCAGAGTTTCCACCATATTGCTTTCACCTATTCAATCATGTCAGATCACCTTAAGGAAGGAAGGAAAGAAGGAATGATGCATCTAAGTAAGATCAATTTATTCATTGTTTCTTTGTTTTATCCCAGTTCCTCCTATCAGGTCCTTATCCCACACCTGGTCTTCCTGGATGACTTTGAGCAGGTGAAGTCCATCGGCACCCACCTGGGTAAGGACTGGAAGAAGCTGCTGGCCAACTGCTTCCCTAAGATCATGGTGAACATCCTGCCCTACTTTGCCCTGTCGGGCCAGGATGCCCAAGTGGCCCAGCAGAGAGAGAAGGCCCACAGGGTCTATGACCTACTCAAGGACAGCAACTGCCTGGGCAAACTGGTGAGGAAGAGACGCTGGGAGTCTCTGTGCCTGCAGCTGAATGTGCTTAAAACTCTGTAGGATGTTATCATGTATAAACCAGGATTGGGATCCATTCCTTTTCACTTCATCCCCTGAATTGGCTGAATTGAAATGGAATTGACTCCAACCCTAGTGCCAAGTTTGCCAATTCAGGTTGAGCTAGCTACAATCAGCAGCAGCAGTCAAGTGAACCTGCAGTAGAAGCTGTAAAAGCAGTCTTAATGTCTGTCTCACAGACCTAACTTTCTGTATCACTGTTGGACTTTCCACAGCAAATCGACAGCCTTATTCACAGTAACCTGTCGGACATTGTGGTGGAGCTCTTGATGACCCTGTATGAAGGGGCTGCTACTGAGAAGGGGGGCAGAGGGGACCTGATAAAGTTCATAGGGTAATGTTCACTGCACGTCACTCCTTACCACTCCACAACCACCCTTACTTGCATTCACAAACTTTCATTGTCTGTGATGATAATATGTTCTCTCTAGGGAACTGGACCCAGCACCGAACCCGCCCTATTTCAGCTCCTATGTCATCAAAGCCACATTGGACTATCTCAGCAAGTGTCACAGTGCCAATCACAAGTCCCTGGTGGCCATTTTATCCAAGACTCCGGTAAAATGCTCTCCTGCTCTCATCATTGTGTTGAAATGGTTGTAGAATGTTCTTATTACACAATGGAACAGAATAGGGTTTTACAAAGTTGAGTGGTTTCCTGGAACCAATTTTTCAAAACTTTTAATCTGGAAAGTAATCCGGATTCTGTGATCCTCTTGTGTTGCTATTCTAGATCTCCATTCAGAGGATCCTGCTGGCGGTGTGTCAGAAGGCAGCTGAGACTATCAATGCCTACGAGAGGCACCGCATCCTGCTGATGTACCACCTGTTTGTCAGCCTGCTGCTCAGGGAGGTCAAGGACGGCCTGGGGGGAGCCTGGGCCTTCGTCCTCCGAGACATCATCTACACACTCATCCACCACATCAACAGCAGGTTAGGGGTAAACACACACACAGTCTGCTGCTCTCTCACAGATCCGATGGAGTGACTCGTCATTTTTGCTCTCTCTAGTAGTTAACTGTTTTTCTGCCTGTTCTTGTTTTCTGTCAGGCCGGCCCAGTTGGACGAGGTGTCCAGCCGTAGTTTCTCCCTGTGTTGTGACCTACTGACCTCTGTGTGTCGCACGGCCGTGCAGTTCTGTGACGACGCTGTGGAGAGCCACCTACAGGTCATTGTTGGTACTCTCACCGCCCAGGTGACCAACCAACTTGCCATCTCACAGCAGGTAAGACATGGATGTATCACATGGCCAGTAGACTCTTTGTATGACAAATAATAATTTGTTCAAAGTAAGTATTACACTGTTCATTGTTCTCTCTCTTTCTCTCTGTTGACCCCTCTGTCTCTCTCCTCTCTTCTTCTTCTCTGTCTCTGTCTCTCTCTCTCTCTCTCAGGTGCTCAGTCTGTTGAAGTTCCTGGTCGTAGAGAGTCAGGACAAGCTGAAGAGTGCCATCCAGCAGTTGGAGCCCTTCCCAGACTGCCCGGAGTTCAGAGAGCTGAGGGCCGTGCAGCATACACTGAAGTACAGCACAGGGAAATTCACTCTCAGACAGGTAAGGGCACCCCCTTCACACACAGGCCACAGCACACACCCTCTCTAACCTCTCATGTATTACCTCTACAGCTGATTCACACTATTGCCACATCCCCAGGAGATAGCCCACTTCCTGTCTGTGGCTTCCTGTGACTCCCTGCCTCTGACCAGACTGGAGGGGCTGAAGGACCTGAGGAGACAGCTCCACAACAACAAGAGCCAGATCAGACCGCTGCTGAGAGAGTGCCTCGGTCAGAGAGAGGGAGGGCTACCGTAGTCTAGATATGTTACCAGACCCATTTATGTTGTTGGAGGTGAGTGTGTTAGTTTGCCCTTTTTGAATCCTGTCTCTGTACCTCTTCATTCTAGTGGACCCTGCAGAGAGTGTGTTGGTGAGGCTGGTCCTTAACCTACTACAGCTCTGTAAGCTAGCAGCCAATCACCCTGGAGGAAGAGACATTTTAGGTTCGTATGGTTACCTCAACCTCACTGTTGGCACTGCGTATGTTTCCTCTCTCAGCCCAGGAAAGCATCAATAATTGGGAGTGTGATAGGAAGTAGTTTCGGCCGGCTTGGCACCGTTGTGTGAAAAAGGTCTTTGTCTTTTCCTTGACCATGTGCCTATGTTTTTATAGAGGCTGCAGGGAGCTGTCTGGGAGAGCTGGGGCCTGTGGATTTCTCCACCATCGCTCTGCTCCATGGGAAGGACCAGCTCAATGCCAGAGCTGTATCTCTCTTCCCTGCCGTGGAACCACAGTGGCTCTACATCATCCTGAACTGCATCAACAATGCCCTCACACACCACTGGTACACCATACAGGGCTCTACGCTGATTTTTTTTACAAGAAGCACATTTGCTCCTAAGCTGAAAAATGTAGGAGCACATAAAGAAATGTAGGAGCACAATGAAAAATATTCTAGGTATTATTGATAAGAATTGCCACCAATTACAAAATACATTTTAATTTTTTTAGGGGCACTGGTGCTCCCAAATAAAAATTCCAGGTAGCACAGTAAAATATTTAGGAGCATATGTGACCAAAATGGTAGCAGTGTAGAGCCCTGCCATATACTGTATCTAATGGCCCTAAAGTCCAATTACACTTTCTTACTAAATCAACAATTTAGCCCAGGGAAGTAGTGTCATACGGTTTTCATATAGTGAGTGTGTCTTGACCTGCTCTCATGTCTTGTTGTGGTCCCATGTGTTTCTCTGTCAGTATTGAGGTGAGGCAAGCTGCAGCCCAGAGTCTAAAGGACATCTTGGCCACTCAGGCTGGAGCTGACTTCTGGGAGGTCCATAAAGACAACCGTGACCCCATGCTGGCCTACCTCAACCCTTTTAGATCTACCAAGAAGAAGGTTGGGCAGACTTTTCAAGACCTGAAATATCACGTCCTCGTATGTGTGTGTGTGTGTCTGAATTTCGTAGTGTGCAAATTTGTTTGCATATATACAGTACCAGTCAATAGTTTGGACACACCTACTCATTCCAGGGTTTTTCTTTATTTTTACTATTTTCTACATTGTAGAATAATAGTGAAGACATCAAAATTATGAAATAACACATATGGAATCATGTTAATAACACATATGGAAAGTGTTAAACAAATCAAAATATATTTGAGATTCTTCAAAGTAGCCACCCTTTGCCTTGATGACAGCTTTGCACACTCTTGGCATTCTCTCAACCAGCTTCATGAGGTAGTCAACTGGAATGCAAGGTGTTCCTTCTTAATGCATTTCAGCCAATCAGTTGTGTTGTGACAAGGTAGGGGTGGTATACAGAAAATAGCCCTATTTGGTAAAATACCAATTCCATATTATGGCAAGAACCGCTCAAATAAGCAAAGAGAAACAACAATCCATCATTACTTTAAGACATGAAGGTCAGTCAATCCAGAAAATGTCAAGAACTACATGATTCCATATGTGTTATTTCATAGTTTTGATGTCTTCACTATTATTCTACAATGTAGAAAATAGTAAAAAAAATAATTTAAAAAAATAGAATGAGTAGGTTTTTGACTGGTACTGTGTGTGAGGGGGGGGGGGTGTATTTGTGTGTTAATTATCCATTCACTTGTGCAGGTGGTCGGGGTGAGTGAGGAGGTGAGCTTGGTGGCCAGGGAGCGGCTGGAGAGCCAGGACCTTTGGGTGCCTGAGGCTGGCGGCCATAAGGCCTGGCTGAAGACGCTCTGCACGGTTCTGCTGGACAGTGGAGCGGTCAAGAGTGAGGCTCTGCTGCTGTCCCGGTCCCTGTGTCTGGTGAGGGCATGGCTGTTATATCTCTAAGCCAGCACTTGTGGTAATGCTAATTTATTGTTCAGTCTGGCATCTCTCGCTAACGCCCTTGCACACACATGCATGGATGCGCGTACACACATGGTCAATTTCGGCTCATCTTTCCAGTCAGATATCCCTGTCTCTAACCCATATCCTTTGCCATGTGTTCAGGTGAAAACAGACTTCTGCCAGAGGGTGCTTCCGCTCATCATCCACGACATCCTGCTGGGGGACTCAGACGGCTCCTGGAGGAAGCTCCTCTCCACACACATCCAGGACTTCTTCACCAGCTGCTCCAGTCGCCAACGCGCCTCCAGCCGTTCCACCACTCCTCTCCCCTCAGACTCTGGTGGGTTTTACTCTCCATCTCTCTCGCTCTCCATCTCTCGCTCTCTCTCTCTAGCTCTCTTTCTGTAGCTCTTTCTCTCTCGCACGCTCTCTCTCTCTCGCTGTGTGTGTTTGACTTTGGACATTTCTAGTAGCTTTTTCTCCTGGAGAGGAGGTCTTTACAGTAGTTTTATTATCTCAACAGGAGAGTCGGACATCTCCAACCAGGGTCCGTTGGATAAGGCCTCTCTGCGCACCATGTTGTCTGTCATTAACTATCTGAGGCAGCAACAAAGACCTCTAGAGTCTGACAGGTTTGGAGATGCATTTGCTCTTATTTTCCTGACCTGGACGACTATAAAGTCTACTGCACCCCTCTCTCTGTTAGGATGGCGTTTGATGCTGTTGTGTTAGTTCTACTAACTAATGTGGTACTGTGTTTGATACTATTGTGTTAGTTCTACTAACTAATGTGGTACTGCGTTTGATACTATTGTGTTAGTTCTACTAACTAATGTGGTACTGCGTTTGATACTATTGTGTTAGTTCTACTAACTAATGTGGTACTGCGTTTGATACTATTGCGTTAGTTCTACTAACTAATGTGGTACTGTGTTTGATGCTGTTGTGTTGGTTCTAGTAACTTGTGTGGGACTGTGTGCCACTCTAACTTCTGGTTGGAGCTAAATTACCTGGAGGTGGCCAGGGTGGCTCAGTCCTGCTCGGCCCACTTCACTGCCCTGCTCTACTCTGAGATCTACGTAGACAAGATCAAGACTAACATGGAGGAGAACCGCAGGTACACTACACATGATGGGAAATACTGACCTTTGATCTCTTTGGAAAAAGATACAAATGACTTAACACACATGAACACAATTCAAAATTATGTCTCTTATGCATTTCTTATTCTGGGTTGTTCTCGTCTTTCTTTACCTCTGCTTACAGGAATCCGGCCAGAGCGTCGCGCAGAATCACATTTGATGAGAGCAGTCAGAACTTCACCATCTCCAGTCTGACAGAGGAGAGTGTGAAAGACACTGGCATCAGTCTACAGGTACAGTTGATTTTGCCTTTAGACTCAATTAACCTTTAGTGATGTTGTCCAATGCATAGCTCTGTACTGTCATTTCTTTACCATGTTTTAGGACCTACTGATTGAGGTGTATCGTAGTATTGGGGAGCCAGACAGTCTGTATGGCTGTGGAGGTGGGAAGATGACCAGCGCGCTCACCAGGTGAACTTTGTTATCCTACTTTTGTCCTATCTTGGATATTCAACGTTTTGTTAGCTGAGAATTCTATTTTTGTGTGTCTGTTTTGTAGGATTCGGACCTATGAGCATGAGGCGATGTGGGGAAAGGCTCTGACCTCTTACGACCTCCACTCCAATCTTCCTGATGTCACACGGCAAGTGGGCATCGTGGAGGTAAGCAGAAACTGGTTTCAACTCCAAATCTGTATAGTTTCTGTCTGTCTGTGTAAACCATTGTTGGGAACAGATGACAAAACCTAATGCTGCTTGTCCAATGGTCCCTCAGGGTCTGCAGAACATTGGTCTGAGCAGCATCCTGGCCACCTACCTGCGGGGTCTGGAGAGTGAGGGGGTGGAGTGGGGGGCGGAGCTAAGGGAGCTCAGGTTTCAGGCCGCCTGGAGGAACATGCAGTGGGACTGTGACCTATCAGAGAGGTGAGTGGTAAGGGCCTCGGGCTGTGACTTATCAGACAGGTGAGTTGGAGGGGCCTCGGGAATGTGACTATCAGAGGTTAGTGGGAGTGGCCTCAGGACTGTGGCCTATCAGAGAGGTGAGTGGGAGGGGCCTCTGGAAGACGAGGGTTACTAAAGTAAGGGTTCCTGAGGTGGTATTTTTGAAGATGAAGAAAATATTGCTTTATGGATTGACGTGCCATTGGTGTCTTCGCTTTTTGCTTGTTTCAGGAATGAGAAATTGAACCCTGGCTTCAACGAGTCAGTGTTCTGCTCCCTGCAGGCTTTGAGAGACAAAGAATTTTCCACATTCGATCAAACTCTTAAATATGCCAGGTAAAACAAGGGTTCCCTCATGGAAATCAACAACTATCTCTCAGCCATCAAATTATCACCACACAAACAACTATAGTCCTTGAAATGAATTGTGTGTGTGTGTGGCATCAGGGGCAGTGAGGTGGAAGAGCTGTGCAGAGGCAGTCTGGAGGCAGTGTCCTCTCTCTACCCTGCTCTACGGAACCTGCAGAGGATCAGTGAGCTGGAGAGCGTCCGACAACTCTTCTCCAAGTATGACCTTCCTTCCCAGCATCTCAACATCGGTCATTTCAAATATCTATACAGTCTAGAAATAGTGTATTTTACAAAATACTATATTTGATTTGAAACCCACTGTATGTGTCCCATACCTCAACACAATGCACATCCACCAACCTATAATTTTTTTATTTTTTATAAATGTTTTATTTGCACACAAGAAAAAAATACAAAACAATATGATAGTTTAAAAGGTAAACAAAAATAACATGCATAGGAGAGGTAAGAAACCCAGAGGGGCTTGTAGGCACCTCCTCTTTCAATCATTGTGAAACAAAACCATACAAAAAAACACATGATCAGATTTTTAGAGAGTGCAGGGTTTTGATACTTCAAATTCTTAGCTAATACAAGTCATGTAACTTGTATATTTCCCCCGGCCTGTGGCAGGCCCTTGACCGACGTAGGCCTGGCCGAGGTGTGTTCCCATTGGCAGCAGCACTCCCAGCTGCTGGTGGACAGTGACTTTGGACTGGTGGAGCCCATCCTGGCCCTGCGCTCCGTGGCCCAGGAGACCCTCATCTCCCAGGAAAGAGACCCCGAAAAGAGGAAGTACCTCAGCACTGTCCTCACCTCCCACCTCATGGAGCTCTGCCAGCTGGCCCGCACTGCAGGAAACACACAGGTACACTGGCGCTCCGAGCTCGCTGTGGGGGTGTTCAATACATGTATAGGGTTTATATAGTGTGTGTTCCACATGTATAGTGTGTCTACTCTGTACATGTAATGTGATGAGAATGAGTGAGCGTGTTGGTGACCGTGTGTTTTTTTGGTCTGGATTCACACACAGCACTCCTGATCCATTTACCCAGTATGTTTTCTTAGATAGTGCAGCACAACATGCATTTGCCTTGGTCTCTGTGTGAGTGACTATATTGGTCTCTGTGTGAGTGACTATATTGGTCTCTGTGTGAGTGACTATATTGGTCTCTGTGTGAGTGACTATATTGGTCTCTGTGTGAGTGACTATATTGGTCTCTGTGTGAGTGACTATATTGGTCTCTGTGTGAGTGACTATATTGGTCTCTGTGTGAGTGACTATAGTGCCCCCCTCACCCTTGTGCCCCTCTTACCCATGTGCCCTCCTCACCCCTCCCCAGCTGGCAGAGCGGGCGGTGTTCCGGATGAAGCAGCATGGCGGAGGAGAGGGGCAGGGCTCCACAGCGTCGTCATGGCAGCTGGAGGAGGCCCAGGTGTTCTGGGCGAAGGGAGAGCAAGGTCTGGCTCTGGGGCTACTGAGACAGATGATCCACACTCTGGAGGAGCAGGTCAGTGGGAGTCAGTCTACATGTTAACTACTCAGTCTTGGGGACAGGAGTTTTTGTTGACCAGGGAAAAACTCTAGGCCTGTAGCTAAGGCTTCATTTTGTTCCTCTGTCTTGGCCAGGTTGTCTTTAACCCTGCCCTGGTGCCGGTGTTCACGGAGTGCCTGAGGCTGTGTGGGAACTGGCTGGCAGAGACCTGCCTGGAGAGCCCTGGAGTCATCCTGGAGAAGTATCTGGAGAGGGTAAAACTAAGACAGATGTATCCTACATATAGTATAATCCACTCCTTGGGCACAATTGATCTATAGCATGTGTCTGTGTGTGACTGTCTGGGTCTGTGTGTGTCTGTGTCTCTGTAACTGTCTGGGTCTGTGTCTGTGTGTGACTGTCTGGGTCTGTGACTGTCTTGGTCTCTCTGGGTCTGTGTGTGACTGTCTGGGTCTGTGACTGTCTTGGTCTCTCTGGGTCTGTGTCTGTGTGTGACTGTCTGGGTCTGTGACTCTCTGGATCTGTCTGTGTCTGGGTCTGTGTGTTTGACCTCCTGTAGGCAGTGGAGGTGATCACGGGCGATGCGTTAGGTTCAGACACCAAGCTGCAGAGCCAGAGGACGCAGGCCTTCCTGTCACTGGCCAGGTTCTCAGACGCCCAGTACCAGAGCATTGATAACTACATGAAGTCATCTGAGTTTGAGAACAAACAGGCTCTGCTGGAGAAGGCCAAGGAGGAGGTGGACTTGATGAGGGAGCGCAAGGTCGGCACCAACAGGTCAGACCAAAACACACAGCAGAGAATGAGAGCACTGTTAACCTTGTGTGGTTTTGAATCAGCTTGTTTTATGCAGGTTCTACACCGGCTGAGTGTGGGTGACAGGTGCTGAAAGAGGGTTGGCCTCCTCCGGGCTGTGTGAAGATTTTATTTTCCACTGTCAGCTCTGCTCAAAACCTACTGTGTGTATGATATTACAACTCCCTCTCCCTGTCTCTCCCAGGTACACAGTGAAGGTGCAGAGGGAGTTGGAGCTGGATGAGAGGGCTCTGTCCAACCTGCAGGCTGACAGAAGGAGGTTCCTGTGTAAGGCTGTAGAGAACTACATCCAGTGTCTGGAGCAGGGTGAGGAGCACGACACCTGGGTGTTCCGCCTGGCCTCACTGTGGCTGGAGAACGCTGACGTCAAGACAGTCAACGACATGATGAAGGTGAGTTACTGATATCACACGAACTAACATCACCAAACACTCACTACATTGACACAAGATTGTTTAGTGCACTATTTGTTATGTCTGGGCTCCATTCCAAACTGAAATCTCTCTGAAATCTCTCTCTCTTCACAATCTGTTTGGATCCCAGGCTACCTGGCATTAGTGTGTCTTCCCATTCAGATGAGAGAAACTACTGTTTGTTTTACTATGAGTTTCTTGTGCTTCAGGGAGGTGTGAAAAGGATCCCGTCCTATAAGTTTCTGCCTCTCATGTACCAGCTGGCTGCCCGCATGGGGACCAAAATGTCTGCTACAGTTGCAGAGGATGTGGGCTTCCATGATGTTCTCAATGAGGTGAGACTTCAATATGTTTCAATAGGCAACAGCCTGTGTGAACTATAGAGTTCTCTTCCTCAGCTTAGCATGTTTCTGTCTATCCATCCATCCATCCCAGCTGATCTGCCTGTCATGTCTGGAGCACCCTCACCACACCCTCTTCATCATCCTGGCTCTGGTCAACGCCAACAAGGACGAGAGCTTCTCCCGCAGCCGCCTGTCCAAGAGCACCCCGCGCCATTCCTCCCAACTGGACCTGGTAGGCTCAACACCAGGCTAAACTAGCTGGGGTACACACAGCCAATAAAAGGAAGAGGGGACTGGGTCTCTTTACTGTGCATGACTTGTTACTGTCTTGTTGGAATTGTCTTAGGAACTAAGTTTGTTTTTAGTGTGTGTTGTGTGAGAATAAAGGAAAGATGTGATGTCTTGTAGGAGCGGTCTGAGGTGGCCAAGAGGATTATGAACAAGATCAGGAAGAAGAGAGCCCAGATGATCAGAGGCATAGAGGTCCTCTGTGATGCCTACATCACTCTGGCCTACATGGACGCCAGTCGACACAAGACAGAGAAGAGTGAGTGACAACGGCACACTCCTTACAGCACTAAACACAGCATACCACCCTGTATCCCACTCCTGGCTTGCCTCTGAAGCTAAGCAGGGTCAGTCCTGGTCGGTCCCTGGATGGGAGACCAGATGCTGCTGGAAGTGGTGTTGGAGGGCCAGTAGGCGGCACTCTTTCCTCTGGTCTAAAAAAAAGATCCCAGGGCAGTGATTGGGGACATTGCCCTGTGTAGTGTGCCGTCTTTTGGATGAGACATTAAACGGGTGTCCTGACTCTGTGGTCACTAAAATATCTAATGGCACTTATCATAAGAGTAGGGGTGTTAACCCTGGTGTCCTGGCTAAATTCCCAATCTGGCCCTCATACCATAATGGCCACCTAATCATTCCCAGCTTCCAGTTGGCTCATTCATCCCCCCTCCTCTCCCCTGTAACTATTCCCCAGGTCGTTGCTGTAAATGACAATGTGTTCTCAGTCAACTTACCTGGGAAAATAAAGATAAAATAAAAAATAAAAAAAAACACAACCACCTTCACGAATGACTACAGGGTTTTTACTACATGCTATTGTATTGGTGTTTGTGAAGTTACTGTCCCCTGTGTTCCTCTGCAGAAGCCATTCCCATCCCTTCTGACCAGCCCATCATGCAGATAAAGAACCTAGATGATGTCATCATTCCTACAATGGAGATCAAGGTAGAGAATGGGTTTGATCATCTGTGGATCCCTCACCAGTCTATCACCTGACATAAGGGGATTTTTGTTATGCAATAGGATGTTTTGCAGCCAGTTTGTATAGAATTTGCACTGTAATGTATGTGTATGTATATACCATGTCACACCCGTGGCGTGCTTTGAAAAGTGATGTAAGAAGGACTCGTGTCCATATTGGTCTTTGTGTTAACAGGTGGACCCCTCGGGTAAATATGACAACCTGGTGACCATCAAGTCCTTCAAGCCTCACTTTCACCTGGCCGGAGGGGTCAACCTGCCCAAGATCATTGACTGTGTGGGATCAGACGGGAAGAGCAGACGACAACTGGTCAAGGTGAGGTCATTACACAGTTTCACTGATGAACTGTGAACCATATATTTATATTGCTGTTTTCCCCTGCAAGTCATTGTGTGAGTAAACTGTGTGTTCAATGCAATTCAAAGCTTCTCCTGACCCTTTGAAGGGAAATCCACTGCCTTGTGTACAAAGACAATAGAGGACTTGAGGTTCTGTTGTGGGTTCAGTTATTTTCCATGTTGGCCTGATGGTAATTATTAATCCCCTATGTTTCTAGTCTAACAAAATAAACACTCTCCAATGCTTTGATCATCATCAGTGCATTCTTTAGGGAACTGTTCACTTTTTGTTTATTTTATTTGTCACTCCCAGTCTAATAAATGCACAGTTAAGATGTTGGAGTTTCATGATGAAATAACAGATTAGCTCATAGGAAATGCCAAGAAGGAATCAGTCTTCAATATCGTACCTGATGGTCCTGAAAAATAAGATTTGGTATATTAGACCATTTTCTGCAGTTATTTTTTGGTAAATTCACTCAACATGGCACATAGCATGTGGGAATACAACCATCACACAAACCCTGTAGAACATTGGTCAGTTCCGGTGTAGTGTTTTATTTTGATATTAATGTAGTTATTGTCCCAGGTTGTAACCCCCTGTGACCTTTGCCTCTCTGTATCCTCAGGGCCAGGATGACCTGCGGCAGGATGCTGTGATGCAGCAGGTGTTCCACATGTGTTCTACGCTGCTGCAGCGCAACACTGAGACACGCAAGAGGAAACTCAACATCCGACGCTACAAGGTCAGACACCGCCCCAGTCTCATAGCTCAACTTATTTAAATACATTTGCCAGGACTGTAAATTGCTCTGTAGAAGAGTTTCTGTTTTGTTTTGGGAGTACGATTTTATAAAAATAAAAATAAAGATTTACTAACACAATAGACAACTTAACATTTCACAGACATAGACAAGAGAAGAGCTTCTGTTAAATGATTAAATTGTACATTGTCAAAGTTGACCTTTCCTCATATCATTATCATGTTATATTAAAAAATAAATGTGACAAAAGTATTCTTAAGGAGCTGTTATCCATTTTGGGGGATGGGAGTGATTGAGGCCTCTGTCTCTGCCCCCAGGTGGTGCCCTTCTCCCAGCGCAGTGGGGTTCTAGAGTGGTGCTCGGGGACCGTCCCTATAGGGGATTTCCTCACAGATCCCCAAAAGGGCGCTCACACACGCTTCTACCCCCAAGACTGGGCCAGCCTAACCTGCCGGAAAAAGATGATAGTGAGTCTCACTTTTACTCATTTATTCTTAGTCCCTTGATGGCTGAATTGTGTAGTACTGTACTGTACTGTCATTTTGTAGTAACATTGATCTTTTCATATCGTTTTTTCTGTAGGAGTCTCAGAGGCTTGGTTCCGATGGGAAGGCCCAGGCTTTCAGTGAGGTGTGTCAGAACTTCCGGCCTGTCTTCCGGTACTTCTGCATGGAGCGATTCCTGGACCCAGCAGTGTGGCTGGAGAAACGGCTGGCCTACACTCGCAGTGTGGCCACTTCCTCCATCGGTACAAACACCATCACCTCTGCTCTCCACAACACAATACAATCATTACTATACCTACAAAAAACATTTTCTTAAACATTTGGCTATTCATCTGATGTACTTCAACACATTCTTCCTTTTGTTTCTGTGTTTGTTCTCCTCAGTGGGCTACATTGTTGGACTGGGTGATAGGCACATCCAGAACATCCTTATAGACGAGCAGACAGCTGAACTGGTGCATATTGATTTGGGTAAGGAGGATACTCATAATAGCTGTGTCTGAGTTAACATTTGAGGACCACGTCTGAGGACATTTTAGGTTAGGTATTTGGTGTAATGCATTTATCTCTCTCTTCAGGTGTAGCGTTTGAACAGGGCAAGATTCTCCCTACTCCTGAGACTGTTCCCTTCAGGCTGTCCAGAGATATTGTGGATGGGATGGGCATAACGGGGGTGGAGGGCGTGTTCAGAAGGTGAGCAGACCTCAAGACCCAATCCCAATACAGATGGATAGGGATGGATTTTATTCAAGCAATATCTTTTTTTTATCAGGATATAATTTTTACTGTGTTCCTCTCCACCATTCAGATGCTGTGAGAAGACCATGGAGGTCATGAGGAGTTCTCAAGAGGCCTTGCTGACTATTGTAGAGGTATAAACACAAATAAATACTGTACACATTCACTCAATGCCTGTATGTGAGCTTGGAGTGTATGTTCATTACATGTTTATGTGATAACTCCTGCTATTCCTTTACCCTGTGGTGTAGGTACTGCTGTACGACCCTCTGTTTGACTGGACCATGAACCCTCTGAAGGCCTTCTACTTGCAGCAGCAGCATGATGAGCAGGCTGAGCTCCAGGCCACGCTCAACTCTACCCTGGGGGGAGACATCCTGGAGGCACACCGCAAGTCTAGGTACTCTTCAGTACTGTAAACCCCCACATCAGGGGTCTCGGCCTACTTGTATACCATCATGTGGAATCATATGCCTGACAGAGCACACTCAGTCCTGTCTCAGTCCAGTAGGCCTGATGTTACTCACCAAATCCTCCACATGCTTTTGAAACATCATGTGGCAAGACTTGGTGTTGGTAATTTGCATTTGTGATATAAATATTTGTAATGAATCTCATACAATATCCTGTCTCTTCTCTCAGCAGTGATAGCCAGAGCTTCAACAAGGTGGCGGAGCGTGTGCTGCTGCGGCTGCAGGAGAAGCTGAAGGGGGTGGAGGAGGGCACGGTGCTCAGTGTAGGAGGGCAGGTCAACCTCCTCATCCAGCAGGCCATGGACCCTAACAACCTCAGCCGCCTCTTCCACGGCTGGCAGGCCTGGGTCTAGGGCCAACATACTGGGAGAAACCAGGGGGCCTGGGTCAATCTTAAAGTCCTCTTTCTACCAAGTACTGATGTATGAATAATGAATGTTTATGCTTTGACATACTTGATGCACCATGTACTTCCTTATCAATCACAGCTGATATTTTAGCTTTCTGCACTTAATAGACTGTAATCAATGATTAGGTTTCTAATGCAATGTGTATATGAGTAGTTTTCTTGTGTTGCTCTGAATTCTTTGCATCAAGTGTCTGACATACAGTTGAAGTCGGAAGTTTACATACACCTTAGCCAAATACATTTAAACTCAGTTTTCACAATTCCTGACATTTAATCCTAGTAAGAATTCCCTGTTTTAGGTCAGTTAGGATCACCACTTTATTTTAAGAATGTGAAATGTCAGAATAATAGTAGTGAGTGATTTTATTTCAGCTAATATTTATTGAATCACATTCCCAGTGGGTCAGAAGTTTACATACACTCAATTAGTATTTGGTAGCATTGCCTTTAAATTGTTTAACTTGGGTCAAATGTTTCGGGTAGCCTTCCACAAGCTTCCCACAATAAGTTGGGTGAATTTTGGCCCATTCCTCCTGACAGAGCTGGTGTAACTGAGTCAGGTTTGTAGGCCTCCTTGCTCGCACACGCTTTTTCAGTTCTGCCCACAAATGTTCTATAGGATTGAGGTCAGGGCTTTGTGATGGCCACTCCAATACCTTGACTTTGTTGTCCTTAAGCCATTTTGCCACAACTTTGGAAGTATGCTTGGGGTCATTGTCCATTTGGAAGACCCATTTGCGACCAAGCTTTAACTTCCTGACTGATGTCTTGAGATGTTGCTTCAATATATCCACATCATTTTCCTTCCTCATGATGCCATCTATTTTGTGAAGTGCACCAGTCCCTCCTGCAGCAAAGCACCCCCACAGCATGATGCTGCCACCCACGTGCTTCACGGTTGGGATAGTGTTCTTCGACTTGCAAGCCACCCCTTTTTTCCTCCAAACATAACGATGGTCATTATGGCCAAACAGTTCTGTTTTTGTTTCATCAGACCAGAGGACATTTCTCCAAAAAGTACAATCTTTGTCCCCATGTGCAGTTGCAAACCGTAGTCTGGCTTTTGTATGGCAGTTTTGGAGCAGTGGGTTCTTCCTTGCCGAGCGGCCTTTCAGGTTATGTCGATATAGGACTTGTTTTACTGTGGATATAGAAACTTTTGTACCTGTTTCCTCCAGCATCTTTACAAGGTCCTTTGCTGTTGTTCTGGGACTGATTTGCACTTTTCACACCAAAGTACGTTCATCTCTAGGAGACAGAACGCGTCTCCTTCCTGAGCGGTATGACGGCTGCGTGGGCCCATGGTGTTTATACTTGCGTACTATTGTTTGTACAGATGAACGTGGTACCTTCAGGCGTTTGGAAATTGCTCCCAAGGATGAACCAGACTTGTGATCTACCATTTTTTTTTCTGAGGTCTTGGCTGATTTCTTTTCATTTTTCCCATGATGTCAAGCAAAGAGGCACTGAGTTTGAAGGTAGGCCTTGAAATACATCTACAGGTACACCTCCAATTGACTCAAATGATCATTTTCTGGAATTTTCCGAGCTGTTTAAAGGCACAGTCAACTTAGTGTATGTAAACTTCTGACCCACTGGAATTGTGATACAGTGAATTATAAGTGAAATAATCTGTCTGTAAACAATTGTTGGGAAAAATTACTTGTGTCATGCACAAAGTAGATGTCCTAACCGACTTGCCAAAACTATAGTTTGTTAACAAGAAATTTGTGGAGTGGTTGAAAAACAAGTTTTAATGACTCTTACCTAAGTGTATGTAAACTTCCGACTTCAACTGTATAATCTATTTGATTTTTTTTTTTTTCATTTGGAAGAGAAAAATGGTTGTTCTTGTATATGTTCATTGTGCTATTGGATGATAAATAGCTGACGTAAGATAATAAAGATAATAGATTTTTGTTCATATATTTCTTGAAGGGGTTATTCAAAACTGCAGTACGACACAAATGGAGAGGCTCTCATACGAGAGACTAATACATTGACGTCATTTAGCAGACGCTCTTATCCAGAGCGACTTACAGTTAGTGAGTGCATACATTTTCATACTTGCCCCCCGTGGGACTCGAACCCACAACCCTGGCGTTGCAAGCGCCATGCTCTACCAACTGAGCTACACAGGAATAATAGAGAGCTTACTCCCTCGAGTCAATCTGAGGTGTTTAAATGGGGCGGTAAAGTTCCACCTGAGGAGTGGCTAGTTGGGCCACCACTCATACAGCCCTGACACCTGAGGAGTGGCTAGTTGGGCCACCACTCATACAGACCTGACACCTGAGGAGTGGCTAGTTGGGCCACCACTCATACAGCCCTGACACCTGAGGAGTGGCTAGTTGGGCCACCACTCATACAGACCTGACACCTGAGGAGTGGCTAGTTGGGCCACCACTCATACAGACCTGACACCTGAGGAGTGGCTAGTTGGGCCACCACTCATACAGACCTGACACCTGAGGAGTGGCTAGTTGGGCCACCACTCATACAGCCCTGACACCTGAGGAGTGGCTAGTTGGGCCACCACTCATACAGCCCTGACACCTGAGGAGTGGCTAGTTGGGCCACCACTCATACAGCCCTGACACCTGAGGAGTGGCTAGTTGGGCCACCACTCATACAGCCCTGACACCTGAGGAGTGGCTAGTTGGGCCACCACTCATACAGCCCTGACACCTGAGGAGTGGCTAGTTGGGCCACCACTCATACAGCCCTGACACCTGAGGAGTGGCTAGTTGGGCCACCACTCATACAGCCCTGACACCTGAGGAGTGGCTAGTTGGGCCACCACTCATACAGCCCTGACACCTGAGGAGTGGCTAGTTGGGCCACCACTCATACAGACCTGACACCTGAGGAGTGGCTAGTTGGGCCACCACTCATACAGACCTGACACCTGAGGAGTGGCTAGTTGGGCCACCACTCATACAGACCTGACACCTGAGGAGTGGCTAGTTGGGCCACCACTCATACAGCCCTGACACCTGAGGAGTGGCTAGTTGGGCCACCACTCATACAGACCTGACACCTGAGGAGTGGCTAGTTGGGCCACCACTCATACAGCCCTGACACCTGAGGAGTGGCTAGTTGGGCCACCACTCATACAGCCCTGACACCTGAGGAGTGGCTAGTTGGGCCACCACTCATACAGACCTGACACCTGAGGAGTGGCTAGTTGGGCCACCACTCATACAGCCCTGACACCTGAGGAGTGGCTAGTTGGGCCACCACTCATACAGCCCTGACACCTGAGGAGTGGCTAGTTGGGCCACCACTCATACAGACCTGACACCTGAGGAGTGGCTAGTTGGGCCACCACTCATACAGACCTGACACCTGAGGAGTGGCTAGTTGGGCCACCACTCATACAGACCTGACACCTGAGGAGTGGCTAGTTGGGCCACCACTCATACAGACCTGACACCTGAGGAGTGGCTAGTTGGGCCACCACTCATACAGCCCTGACACCTGAGGAGTGGCTAGTTGGGCCACCACTCATACAGACCTGACACCTGAGGAGTGGCTAGTTGGGCCACCACTCATACAGACCTGACACCTGAGGAGTGGCTAGTTGGGCCACCACTCATACAGACCTGACACCTGAGGAGTGGCTAGTTGGGCCACCACTCATACAGACCTGACACCTGAGGAGTGGCTAGTTGGGCCACCACTCATACAGACCTGACACCTGAGGAGTGGCTAGTTGGGCCACCACTCATACAGACCTGACACCTGAGGAGTGGCTAGTTGGGCCACCACTCATACAGACCTGACACCTGAGGAGTGGCTAGTTGGGCCACCACTCATACAGACCTGACACCTGAGGAGTGGCTAGTTGGGCCACCACTCATACAGACCTGACACCTGAGGAGTGGCTAGTTGGGCCACCACTCATACAGACCTGACACCTGAGGAGTGGCTAGTTGGGCCACCACTCATACAGACCTGACACCTGAGGAGTGGCTAGTTGGGCCACCACTCATACAATACAGACCTGACACCTGAGGAGTGGCTAGTTGGGCCACCACTCATACAGACCTGACACCTGAGGAGTGGCTAGTTGGGCCACCACTCATACAGCCCTGACACCTGAGGAGTGGCTAGTTGGGCCACCACTCATACAGACCTGACACCTGAGGAGTGGCTAGTTGGGCCACCACTCATACAGACCTGACACCTGAGGAGTGGCTAGTTGGGCCACCACTCATACAGACCTGACACCTGAGGAGTGGCTAGTTGGGCCACCACTCATACAGACCTGACACCTGAGGAGTGGCTAGTTGGGCCACCACTCATACAGACCTGACACCTGAGGAGTGGCTAGTTGGGCCACCACTCATACAGACCTGACACCTGAGGAGTGGCTAGTTGGGCCACCACTCATACAGACCTGACACCTGAGGAGTGGCTAGTTGGGCCACCACTCATACAGACCTGACACCTGAGGAGTGGCTAGTTGGGCCACCACTCATACAGACCTGACACCTGAGTGCTCAGTGTGGTGAGAGTAGTGTTGAATGAATGCACTCAAAGGAGACGATGTAGACCACCTCAACAGGTGGACTTGCAAGTAAATGTTTTATAAAAAAAATATCCTACATATAGAATGTGCCTATGCAGTTTTGATTGTTTTCTGTGTCTTATAACTTCCTACACTGTGTGGACATTCAGAATGACCGAATTGTTCTGTTTCAATGACTTCCAAGAATAGTAAAAAGTATGTTATAATTGTCTATCCCAAGGTTTCTTTGAGACAAAATGACCACTAATCCAGTAAGTTCCTCATAGTACATTGACATACTAACTGATTGGACATTCTACCAAAAGAGTCAAATAGTTGTGGCATTCCTGAAATGTTCGGAATTGTTTAATTGCCTATTCTAGTGCATTAAATGTAGTTATTACATTGTAGCAGAAGAGTGGTCAAACTGTTTAATTTCACTTGACCTTTTCATCTTGTTTACTGTATGTCTTCTTCACAGTACCAGGAGTCAGGTCCCTACGTCACTAACGAGGGTTTCCATGACGGTAAGGGGACTCAGGGGAGATCCCCTCCACTCAACCCATCTGCGGAGGAACTACCCCAGTTTGTACAGGAAGTGGGCTCTGCACCTCCCCCTGATAGCACTGCCTCTATACCTGACCGCAAAGGTGTCTCCCCTTTACCTTATCTGACAGTTGTTACCTGCATACACTTTGTCCTCTTCCTGTCAGACTGTGTTATTGGAATTAAGCAACAAAAAAATGTTTTAAACTTTTTTAGTAGTACAAATGAGTATGTCTTTGATGTTATGTTAAAGAAGAATGTAGAAGAATTTGTCCATATTCCTTAACCTGTTTCAGGTGGGAGGAACGGGTGCATCAAGTACTTAGTGACCACTGTCATCAGTGTGCTCCTTCTCCTATTGGTTGCTGTGATCTTGCTTGGATACTACTGTAAGTATGTGTTTTTCCCTCATCATTTGGCCTCAACCCTAAAACATACACTATATATAAAAAAGTATGTGGACACCCCTTCAAATTAGTGGGTTCGCCTATTTCAGCCACACCTGTTGCTGACAAGTATATAAAATCGAACACACAGCCATGCAATCTCCATAGACAAACATTGTCAGTAGAATGGCCTTACTGAAGAGCTCAGTGACTTTCAGTGTGGCACCGTCATAGGATGCCACCTTTCCAACAAGTCACTTCGTCAATTTTCATGTGGAAACATCAAGGAGCAACAACGTGAAGTGGTAGGCCAGAACAGGACCGCCGAGTGCTGAAGTGCGTAGCGCGTAAAAATGGTCTGTCCTTGGTTGCAACACTCACTACCGAGTTCCAAACTGCCTCTAGAAGCAACGTCAGCACAAGAACTGTTCGTCGGGAGCTTCATTAAATGGGTTTCCATGGCCAAGCAGCTGCACACAAGCATAAGATCACCATGTGCAATGCCAAGCGTTAGCAGGAGTGGTGTAAAGCTTGCCGCCATTGGACTCTGGAGCAGTGGAAACGCATTCTCTGGAGTGATGAATCACGCTTCACCATCTGTCAGTCCGACGGACAAATCCGGGTTTGGCGGATGCCAGGAGAACGCTACCTGCCCCAATGCATAGTGGCAACTGTAAAGTTTGGTGGAGGAGGATTAATGGTCTGGGGCTGTTTTTCATGGTTCGGGCTAGGCCCCTTAGTTCTAGTGAAGGGAAATCTTAACGCTACAGCATAAAATGACATTGTGGCAACAGTTTGGGGAAGGGCCTTTCCTGTTTCAGCATGACAATGCTCTTGTGCACAAAGCAAAGTCCTATCAGAAATGGTTTGTCGAGATTGGTGTGGAAGAACTTGACTGGCCTGCACAGAGCCCTGCTCCTCAACCCCATCGAACACCTTTGGGATGAATTGGAACGCATTCCCAGAAGAGTGGAGGCTGTTATAGCAGCAAAGGTGGGACCAACTCCATATTAATGTCCATTGTTTTGGAATAAGATGTTTGACGAGCAGGTGTCTACATACTTTTCAAATCAAATCAAATCAAATCAAATTTTATTGGCCACATGCGCCGAATACAACAGGTGCAGACATTACAGTGAATGCTTACTTACAGCCCTTAACCAACAGTGCATTTATTTTTAACAATAAAAGTAAAAATAAAACAACAACAAAAAAAGTGTTGAGAAAAAAAGAGCAGAAGTCAAATAAAATAACAGTAGGGAGGCTATATATACAGGGGGGTACAGGTGCAGAGTCAATGTGCGGGGGCACCGGCTAGTTGAGGTAGTTGAAGTAATATGTACATGTGGGTAGAGTTGAAGTGACTATGCATAAATAATTAACAGAGTAGCAGCAGCGTAAAAGGATGGGGTGGGGGGGCAGTGCAAATAGTCCGGGTAGCCATGATTAGCTGTTCAGGAGTCTTATGGCTTGGAGGTAGAAGCTGTTGAGAAGTCTTTTGGACCTAGACTTGGCACTCCGGTACCGCTTGCCGTGCAGTAGCAGAGAGAACAGTCTATGACTAGGGTGACTGGAGTCTTTGACAATTTTGAGGGCCTTCCTCTGACACCGCCTGGTATAGAGGTCCTGGATGGCAGGAAGCTTGGCCCCAGTGATGTACTGGGCCGTACGCACTACCCTCTGTAGTGCCTTGCGGTCGGAGGCCAAGCAGTTGCCATACCAGGCGGTGATGCAACCAGTCAGGATGCTCTCGATGGTGCAGCTGTATAATTTTTTGAGGATCTGAGGACCCATGCCAAATCTTTTCAGTCTCCTGAGGGGGAATAGGCTTTGTCGTGCCCTTGGTGTGTTTGGACCATGATATTTCGTTGGTGATGTGGACACCAAGGAACTTGAAGCTCTCAACCTGTTCCACTACAGCCCCGTCGATGAGAATGGGGCGTGCTCAGTCCTCTTTTTTTTCCTGTAGTCCACAATCATCTCCTTTGTCTTGGTCACGTTGAGGGAGAGGTTGTTATCCTGGCACCACACGGCCAGGTCTCTGACCTCCTCCCTATAGGCTGTCTCATCGTTGTCGGTGATCAGACCTACCACCTTTTGGTCATGTAGTGTAGTTGCATTTCATTCACTTCAATTTGATGAATTAAACTTGTTCCCTTCCGACCATCCTTAACCTCACCCTTCAGTGTCCTCCAGCTGTGCGCGTGGGGTGGCGTGTGGTGATGGTCGCTGTGTCAGCCAGTCTCAGTGGTGTGATGGGGTAAGAGACGGTCCAGCAGCGCAGGATGAAGCTCAGTGTTGTAAGTATCCATTTTTCATTACATTTTGGTAATTTAGCAGATGTTCTAAACCAGAACAATTTACAGTCAGTGCGTTACACTTAAGGTAGTAAAACAACCACAAATCAGTGATTGTAAGTAAAGCTTTTCTCAATAAAGCGGCTATCAGCAAAATCATTGCTAATAAGAAAAGACAAGCTCAAGTGTTAGTGCAAGAAAGGCAAGTACAACAGTAAGTGTTATTTTATTTATTTTTATTAGGGGGGTGCTAGGGGGTTCAAACAAGGTACTCTTTGAAGATAGGTTTTCAGACGCTTAACCTTTACCCATTCAGACCTCTGGTCATCTGCCCTGACAAAGACCTGGCTGGGAGATTTTACTGTACAGGTACTGTGTGTCTACTTATGTTGGTTTTTGCTCTTTTACTAAACATTGTGTGTTGTGCTATTTGTTTTTGTACAGTGAGGCTGTGTGGCTCCAGTTTTCTTCTGCAGGCCTATTCGTCTGACAGTGGATTGTGGAGGACAGTGTGCTTAGATGAATGGGCTGATCACCATGGGAAGGCAGCCTGTCAGCTTTTAGGATACAGCAGGAGAGACATACTGTATCTAGATTCAGATTTATTTTGTTTTTTATCTTTATGCCAATTTTTTATAGTATAGAAAATGGAATCTTCCCCATATGCATTGTGAGATAGTCAAGCAAGCATAAACGTGAATGTAAAACAGTGGGCATGTGTTATGGTAATTTATTTCATTTGTTTGCTATGGGTTCACAGAGACACATATGTTAAATCTGGCCAACAGAAGACAAATGCCAGTGGATTCTTAATGCTGAAATCTGGGTCAAGCCCTGATACACCCATAATGCAACAGCTTGCGAGCAGGTCAGTGAAAAAATGTGAGCCAATCACATTTAATATCATACCATTTCCCAATGGTATGATATGTTAAACTCTTGATAACACCGTCTAACTGTATTTTTGTGATATATTTTACTCTCCTCACGAAACCTGTCCCAGTGTTAATGGGGTAACCCTGAAGTGCATAGCTAAGTCATTATGTAACTTTCTCAGTAATTAGTTATAGAGCAACTTCATGTAAAGTGTTACCACCTGATAAACCTCTGTTTCCAGACTGTGGTACCAGAGTAGTCTCCAATTCGAGTCGTGTAGTGGGGGGCCAGGAGGCCAGTTTGGGGGCCTGGCCATGGCAGGTCAGCCTCCAGGTCGACGGCTTTCACGTCTGCGGCGGTTCCATCATCACCCCCTACTGGATAGTGACGGCAGCACACTGCGTAGTGGAGTAAGTCCATAGACATGCACTATATTATTTAAATATATATCATTGGGTATGTCCAGCACAGTCCACTTCTGAGCGTATTCTTTTGAATCTGTGGCATCCTGGTTAAATTGACTAGTTTAATTTCAGTCACTCTTATCCTGAAGACTGGACAGTACATGCAGGATTTGGGAATCAAATATCTACACACTTCAGCCCTGGCCGTTCTTCAGTGAGCCACATTGTCACCCATGATTACAACACAGAGATGACAAATGACATCGCCCTCATGAGACTCATTAAACCATTACAGATTAATGGTAGGACTTATATTATCTTGTTGTTCTCCCTTGTCAGCAGACTATTTCAGCACAAAGACTTCATGTAGTTAATATTTTGCTCATCGCTAAGCTCATAGCACAGAAATGCTTTACTATTCTTTCTTTCCTATGCAGATCAAATAAGGCCTGTATGTTTGCCCAATGTCGGGCTGGACTTCACTGCTCCCCGGAAATGCTGGATTTCAGGGTTTGGCAGCACAGTTTCTAGTGGTAAGTCATCATTATGCAATATCATGAGAATATACTAATGACCTGTGTTTGCACTCACTTCAAGAGAGAAATTATATATATATATATATATATATTATTTTTTTTACAGTTGACTAAAAAAAGAGGTACCATATGTACAGCACATGACATGGTGTTGAGCAACATCATATTACCAACCCAGTTGTTGTCAAAATTAATACCCTGCATATCAATACAATCAGAAGCCATTAGAAATGTTGTAGCTAAGATCTGTTCTGTTGAGTATGATGAAGGGAGATGTTCGATGTGTTCACCTGTCTGTCCCAGGGTCAGGCTCCAGCTCTCTGATGGAAGCTGAGGTGTCACTGATAGACAGGACCATCTGTAACAGCTCCTCTGTCTACAATGGGAAGATCACAGAGGACATGATATGTGCCGGCAGGCTGGAGGGAGGAGTGGACTCATGCCAGGTAACAGATAGTTACCTATGAGGCACAGTGGGTCAGTTATTAGCCTGGGTACCAGACCTGGTTGTGCGATCATTTCATTCCTTGCCCTCCTTGTCATATGCCAGGAGTTTAATGATGGAACAAACAGGTCTGGTACCCAGGCTAGGTCCCTATATGTCCAGAGTTTTTACTGGTCCGATTAAGTGTTTTTAGAAAAACTTAGAGCCCCACTCATATTCTCTTTACCATGAATGACAAAATATATTTGAAGGTTAAGAAAAATAAAGACAAAATCGATCTATTATATCATGAAAGTATCAGGAGTCTACAGTATGAGGAGCCTAAATCATTTATCACTTGCTCTGTTCATTCATGGAGTCATTCTGAATAAGAACACCTTAACCTATAAACAAGATGTTTAAAGACAGTTGGATAAGGCTTTCACACTGCCACAGTAATGTACCTTCGTTCTGTTTCTATAAAAGTAAAACAAAAGAGTATCATACCAGTGGAATCCCTCAATCATACAATTCCACTTCTCCTGTACAAACATAGCAGTGACATTAGGGGTGTTCCTACGTTTTGAACAGATCATATAGAGGGTTTTCATGCCTTTATGGAACATGCTCTCTGGCCTTGGTGAAACAAAACCTCCATTATATACTGTGCCTTTAGCCAGTTAAGTTGGTGAGTGGTGTATATCCACTACCACATTATGTGATTGAATGGCCTGTAAAACATCAATACTGATTATTCAGTTTCAGAAAAACAAGCTCAATGAAACTGCACTTAATAGCATAGAAACAGAAGACACCCTCTAATACTCATTGGATTGTCTATTGCATCATTCCTTAAATGTGACATGTACTCCGTCTCCCAGGGAGACAGTGGTGGCCCGCTTGTGACAGAGAAGGACTCAGTATGGTGGCTGGTAGGGGACACAAGCTGGGGAGATGGCTGTGCCCAGAGGAACAAACCAGGCGTCTATGGCAATGTCACCTTCTTCCTAGGCTGGATCTATGAGCAAATACAGGTATAAGAAACCATTAAATCCATTGTTGTGATTAACATGCATTCACTTTTTAATAATGGGAAGTTTTAACTATAGTGTGTTTGGTTTTGCAGAAATATCAAGATGAAAACTGAGAAGCAATGTACGGAGAAATTACTGGTGGACAATCAGGATGAAATGGTGGAAATGTATTTTTTCTGTCTTTAGAAAATCTGAATAGAAAAGACAGAAATACATGCGTCTACTTTTTGTACGTACAGTGTCATCAGAAATACCACTGCTATAACCAACACAACCTTCCTTTATGTGCTACATATTGAATTTGTCCTCATTTGTATGTGTATATTCATTAAATCATCCTGATACTGTTTTATTGTGTAATATCCTGTGTATCCTGTGTACTGTCCAGTTGGAAAAGTCATTACATTTATGTACCACATTTGACCACCAGATGGTGCTTGAAGAGTGTTCTTGGTAGTTGCTCTCGAGCTCAAGATTACAGAGAAAGTGAACCTTCACCATTGTGCCCTCTACTTGTGTAACTTTTATTTAGTCATACTATTCAAGTGAATGGTGGATTGTTTATCCAGGTTGAAGGCTGTTGGAATAGAGGCCAGGCCTATTATCACGCTGGAATGAGAGCCTTTACTTTAATCTGGTCAATTTAATTAAATACAATCACAATTTTGGCACTGATATACATTTAAACAAATATGATCATGCAAAACATTTTCATTGAAATCATCTGCACCTGATTTTGTATTAAACACCTTTGCAAAATATTTTCTTTAACTTTTGATAGAAAAATACAGTACATCTTAATACAATTTGTTTGGCCAATACATCTCCACTTTTGAAATCATTGGTAACTTTGGGGGTTGTACAATTTTGAAAATATTAGAAATACTCCAATATAAATATATGTGCCCTTACAAATCAGTTTTCTGTATGTGTCTACTAATGGCAAGTTTTTTGAAAGAATATTATACAATCACAATCATATTGACAAATATGTATATTAGTAAAAGTACATAACATTAATACAACGTCATTACAAAATCCTATAACACAGTTACTGTCAATCGCTTCATTCTCACATACAGATGCAGTGATATTGATCTTCATATATTTGACACTTTTGATCAGTATTTGAAAAGTGCAATAAAAATTTTTTGCAAACCCATACTAGTTCCCATAATTGAGGAGATGGCTGTGACATGATAGCATTGTAAACCACAAGGGAAGTATTATGATATCAACCTAAGTGATGTTCTTACCCCAACATAATGTGTGCATCATCTTGGATTGTCTGAACTCCTGGTTGTGCTTTGTGAATGAAAACATTTAGTCAACTCCAACTCTTAAAATAAGAGAAACCGCTTGACAAGATGCTACAAAACATTCCTCCTTTTATCGCAGAGAAGAAGAAAGTTGCCATGAAATAATGGTGTTGATGCCAATGGGGAACATTCAACAAACTTCAAAGCGTCATTTACAATATCCTATTTTCAGTTGAGGCTTCTAAGAAGTCAAAAGAAACCTGACTGTTTAAGAGTTCTTAGGACCTTCTCTGTCAGGTGAGAGCAGTGCACTTCACTACCAAGTTGTAGGCAGTAGAGAATCAGCAGGAAATATATGTGCAATGAGGGACTGGGCTGGAATAAGGACAGCATGATTCCTTTCTGCTACACAACCTTCAGTCTTATAACGTGTGTCTAAATTGATGTAAAACTGGAGTCCAAAGAACTGGTAACATCTAAGCTAAGAAAGGTGTTCTCTGATCAAACTGGTTAGTGCAGTCTCTTTTTTTCCATGATGTGTCCAGAGAACAGCCTATTGGTCAGTGAAGCCCCAACCCCTCCCCTTTCCCAGCCTCGGTAGAACTGGGACTCCCGGTGGCAGTCGTTGTGTCACCAGAGGCCCGCCTCAGTCACTTGATGCGGTGGCGGACCAGCGAGGACTCATCAGTGATCTCGCCGGACCGGTCTCGGGGACGACAGGGCAGGACGAGGAGGAGGAGCAGGATGAGGAGCACCACGACACAGACGGCGATCAGGGCGTAGGAGATGACCCAGAGAAGGGGCTCCTTCAGCAGCCCTCCAGCAGCACAGTCAGACGCCACGTCTGCAGATGAGAAGGGCCCTGAGATCTCTGACACTGCTATCCCACCGTTCACTGGAGAGAGGGACCAGGGTTATTATGGCTGACGTACTGTGGAATGCGAGATGGGTATACAAAGGGCACTTGACCAAGCAGATAAACATTTAATAGCCAAAAAAAGTACATATTTTCTGATGCTAGAGCCATAACCATATTGTATTGGAAGACCAAGGCCTTATGTAAGACCCAATAATATCCTTGATGCCCCAAGTGTCTCCAGCCCTCACCTGCACATCTGCTGACAGCGAAGCCCACCCTCTTCTCAGCCCGGTCGAAGACGACGTAGAAGCCCTCCATGACGGTGGCTCCTATCACCAGGCCATTGGCCGACGACGAGATGCCGAAGCGGAAGCATTCCAGCCTACCGTCCACGTCTGTGATTGGCTGGATATACAGCTGCAGAGAGGAGCCACACAGACACACTAATGTCAATCAAAGAGCTGTCGGCAAACAGATCTAAAACTCATAACAATATGGTGGATGTTGGTTGGAGTAAGCAAACAACAAACACACGGATGCAACATGGTGGACATTTGTTTTCACCTGAGGAAGGATGGAGATTTTGAAGGACTGGCTGGTGTTGGTGGCCCTCAGGTAGATGGACAGTTTGGGGAAGAACCTCCACGGTGTCTCTCCCTTCAACCAGCAGGCCAGTTTAGTACCACCCCAGAACCCTGAGGTGAAGTCCTGGATCTGGACCATAGAAAGACAGTGACGGATTGTTAAGACTCCAACAAAACTACTCATAGTTGTGAAAAAAAGTGTACTTTTACATAGATGACCACTACTTTTCTCTCAGATCTGTAGACCAGAACAAAGTTGCCATATAAGGGTGGGAAAATACAGGCCATGGTCATACTGTATGGAAAGGAAATAGGTTTCAGTGTTCTCAGTCTACATAGTTACTGAAGTGTCCTCAGACAACCAGGTAATCCTAGAAGTCATTTGATCATGGGCACAGAGGCTGACATACCAGAGATGTTCTTGAGATCGCCTCCACCACAGCATTGAACACATTCACAGGCAGCCGCAGCAGAGTGGTTCCACTGTCCACTATGGCTTTATCCTTGTTGTACTGAGAGATAGAGAGAGAGAGAGAAAGGGAGAGAGAAGGAGAGAGAGAAGATGTATAAAGAAAGGGGAAGACAGAATTTTTTCAGTTACATGGTTTCCTTTCAGAAGATCTCAGTCAAAGAGAAAGCTGAAATGTCCACCTTGGTTCCTGGAAGGCTTCAGAAACAGGATTAGCACATTCTTGTGTCTCAGCTCAGGCATGCTTTATTAGCGTTGCTTTATTTCCTCTTTCCGAACCTGCACTCCAGCCTCATCCACCAAGACTGTTGACTAGACACAGCCTTAGGCTTAGGGCCAAGGTTAGTCTTTGTTCCTCAAACCTGACGTGTTGTGCAGATTGAAATACCTTGCAAACCATTTAGAACAGGAAAAACCAATTTAGAAAACAACAGGGGGACAGTCTGTCTCATACCTCTTTGCAGTCCAGGTTTAGATTCTGGTCCCCAACCTCCAGCTTCAATACTTCCACCTGATAGTACCACTCTTCCTTTATAGGGGTGTACCACATGGACCCTGAATACAATGTTGGTTCAACCCCTCCCATGACCTGAAACAAAACTGGGTTTTCATTCACTTTACAAATGACTGAATACAATGATAGCCTGAATACTATAATAAAACTACAATGGCAAGCCTTGGCACTGTTTGGTATGGCATTGCAGACACTGATTACACCCCGTCATCTCTCCCATCTGCCCCTCTCAGAGGCTCACGTGGTCGGCTCGACCGCTTGTATAACACCGACAGACCTGCTCTCAGCAGGGGGCTATCTTAGCTTAATTAGCCACTCGCTAACTAGATTGGGCGTACAATGGGGAAACACATGTTTCTAAAAAGCACCATGCCGCTCAGTCTCATCCGCCCTTGAAAGGTTTATCTGGTCTGGGCGTTGGGAGCAATATTATGCCAAGCGTCTGCCTAGGGTGCGTGAGATGAACAGCCTCAATAATCATCCTCTTTTACAGTACAACAACCAGCCTTTGTAAGGAAGTCTCCCCCCCACCATTCACTCCTCCCATTCATAGCCTTTAGCTTTCTCCTCCTGACTACTCACAAGACTTCCCCCCGTGGGGTCGGCAATGGTGCTGGCCGACAACCCAGCTCCGCACATCTGGAGGGAGAACACATCTGGGATGCCCGTCTGTCGCACCATGGAGTTAAAGAAGGGCTCCACCGAGGAGTCAGGCTGAGAAACAGGAGACATAAACACAAAACATTCTGGTCATTAGCTTAGTGTAAAACAGTAACGTCTTGGCTGTCCTATTGGTCAATAGTGAAGCTGTAAATACTTATAACTAAGGAGCTGCATGGGATCTCTTATGAGTATTAACCGCCAGAGAGATGAAAACTTGTTAGAACAATATTTCATGTTACCAGGAATATCACACTCCGCTTCAGTGTTTTATAAAATAGTCTCATATGCACAATATGGAAACTGTGAGAATTTAAGGTTGATTTGGCAGAGGGATCTTACTTGTGACATTGAGGAGGATGTATGGAAAAATGTAGTTTCCAATGTAGGGTGGTGTACCAGGGATACAAGGGGTAAATGTACACATTTTAAGATTGTTCATAGATACTACTGCACCCCAGTTAGATTACATCAAATGGGTTTATTGCAAAATAATTTATGCTGGAAATGCAAGGGGGAAGTAGGTACCTTTTTGCATGCTATATGGGAATGTCACATGGTGCTCCCTTTTTGGAAGGAGGTTCTTAAAAAGCTTGAAGAATGGGTGGGACAGCCTATCCCAGAGTCCCCACTGCTCTGCTTATTAGGGGATATATCTATTTTACCACCAGGTATTAGCAAAGAAGAGTAATTGTAATTGTCTCTGGCCCCCTCCCAGTTAGGGGGAGTGACGAGCTCTACAGCAGAGTCTCAGCACTCAATCGCTGGTTGAAAACTGTTTTCTGCCCCTCCCAAAAGATAGAATTTGTAGATAATTGGCCCTCTTTCTGGGACTCACCCACAAACAGGACCAAGCCTGACCTGCTGAGGAGTGACGGACTCCATCCTAGCTGGAGGGGTGCTCTCATCTTATCTACCAACATAGATAGGGCTCTAACTCCTCTAGCCCCACAGTGAAATAGGGTGCAGGCCAGGCAGCAGGCTGTTAGCCAACCTGCCAGCTTAGTGGAGTCTGCCAATAGCATAGTCAGTGTAGTCAGCTCAGCCATACCCATTGAGACTGTGTCTGTGCCTCGACCTAGGTTGGGCAAAACTAAACATGGCGGTGTTCGCCTTAGCAATCTTATTAGGATAAAGACCTCCTCCATTCCTGCCATTATTGAAAGAGATCGTGATACCTCACATCTCAAAATAGGGTTACTTAATGTTAGATCCCTCACTTCAAAGGCAGTCATAGTCAATGAACTAATCACTGATCATAATCTTGATGTGATTGGCCTGACTGAAACATGGCTTAAGCCTGATGAATTTGCTGTGTTAAATGAGGCCTCACCTCCTGGTTACACTAGTGACCATATTCCCCGTGCATCCCGCAAAGGCGGAGGTGTTGCTAACATTTACGATAGCAAATTTCAATTTACAAAAAAAAATATGGCGTTTTCGTCTTTTGAGCTTCTAGTCATGAAATCTATGCAGCCTACTCAATCACTTTTTATAGCTACTGTTTACAGGCCTCCTGGGCCATATACAGCGTTCCTCTCTGAGTTTCCTGAATTCCTATCAGACCTTGTAGTCATAGCAGATCATATTCTAATTTTTGGTGATTTTAATATTCACATGGAGAAGTCCACAGACCCACTCCAAAAGTCTTTCGGAGCCATCATCGACTCAGTGGGTTTGTCCAACATGTCTCTGGACCTACTCACTGCCACAGTCATACTCTGGACCTAGTTTTGTCCCATGGAATAAATGTTGTAGATCTTAATGTTTTTCCACAAAATCCTGGACTATCGGACCACCATTTTATTACGTTTGCAATCGCAACAAATAATCTGCTCAGACCCCAACCAAGGAGCATCAAAAGTCGTGCTATAAATTCTCAGACAACACAAAAATTCCTTGATGCCCTTCCAGACTCCTTCTGCCTACCCAAGGACGTCAGAGGACAAAAATCAGTTAACCACTTAACTGAGGAACTCAATTTAACCTTGCGCAATACCCTAGATGCAGTTGCACCCCTAAAAATGAAAAACATTTGTCATGAGAAACTAGCTCCCTGGTATACAGAAAATACCCGAGCTTTGAAGCAAGCTTCCAGGAAATTGGAACGGAAATGGCGCCACACCAAACTGGAAGTCTTCCGACTAGCTTGGAAAGACAGTACCGTGCAGTACCGAAGAGCCCTCACTGCTGCTCGATCATCCTACTTTTCCAACTTAATCGAGGAAAATAAGAACAATCCAAAATTTCTTTTTGATACTGTTGCAAAGCTAACTAAAAAGCAGCATTCCCCAAGAGAGGATGGCTTTCACTTCAGCAGTAATAAATTCATGAACTTCTTTGAGGAAAAGATCATGACCATTAGAAAGCAAATTACGGACTCCTCTTTGAATCTGCGTATTCCTCCAGGGCTTAGCTGTCCTGGATCTGCACAGCTCTGCGAGGGCCTGGGATCGGGAGAGACACTTAAGTGTTTTAGTACTATATCTCTTGACACAATGATGAAAATAATCATGGCCTCTAAACCTTCAAGCTGCATACTGGATCCTATTCCTACTAAACTGCTGAAGGAGCTGCTTCCTGTGCTTGGCCCTCCTATGTTGAACATAATAAACAGCTCTCTATCCACCGGATGTGTACCAAACTCACTAAAAGTGGCAGTGATAAAGCCTCTCTTGAAAAAGCCAAACCTTGACCCGGAAAATATGAAAAACTATCGGCCTATATCGAATCTTCCATTCCTCTCAAAAATTTTAGAAAAAGCTGTTGCGCAGCAACTCACTGCCTTTCTGAAGACAAACAATGTATACGAAATGCTTCAGTCTGGTTTTAGACCCCATCATAGCACTGAGACTGCACTTGTGAAGGTGGTAAATGACCTTTTAATGGCGTCAGACCGAGGCTCTGCATCTGTCCTCGTGCTACTAGACCTTAGTGCTGCCTTTGACACCATCGATCACCACATTCTTTTGGAGAGACTGGAAACCCAAATTGGTCTACACGGACAAGTTCTGGCCTGGTTTAGATCTTACCTGTCGGAAAGATATCAGTTTGTCTCTGTGAATGGTCTGTCCTCCGACAAATCAACTGTACATTTTGGTGTTCCTCAAGGTTCCGTTTTAGGACCACTATTGTTTTCACTATATATTTTACCTCTTGGGGATGTTATTCGAAAACATAATGTTAACTTTCACTGCTATGCGGATGACACACAGCTGTACATTTCAATGAAACATGGTGAAGCCCCAAAATTGCCCTCGCTAGAAGCCTGTGTTTCAGACATAAGGAAGTGGATGGCTGAAAACTTTCTACTTTTAAACTCGGACAAAACAGAGATGCTTGTTCTAGGTCCCAAGAAACAAAGAGATCTTCTGTTAAATCTGACAATTCATCTTGATGGTTGTAAAGTCGTCTCAAATAAAACTGTGAAGGACCTCGGCGTTACTCTTGACCCTGATCTCTCTTTTGACGAACATATCAAGACTGTTTCAAGGACAGCTTTTTTCCATCTACGTAACATTGCAAAAATCAGAAATTTTCTGTCCAAAAATGATGCAGAAAAATTAATCCATGCATTTGTTACTTCTAGGTTAGACTACTGCAATGCTCTACTTTCCGGCTACCCGGATAAAGCACTAAATAAACTTCAGTTAGTGCTAAATACGGCTGCTAGAATCCTGACTAGAACCAAGAAATTTGATCATATTACTCCAGTGCTAGCTTCCCTACACTGGCTTCCTGTTAAGGCAAGGGCTGATTTCAAGGTTTTACTGTTAACCTATAAAGCGTTACATGGGCTTGCTCCTACCTATCTTTCCGAGTTGGTCCTGCCGTACATACCAATACGTACGCTACGGTCACAAGACGCAGGCCTCCTAATTGTCCCTAGAAATTCTAAGCAAACAGCGGGAGGCAGGGCTTTCTCCTATAGATCTCCATTTTTATGGAACAGTCTGCCTACCCATGTGAGAGACGCAGACTCGGTCTCAACCTTTAAGTCTTTACTGAAGACTTATCTCTTCAGTAGGTCATATGATTGAGTGTAGTCTGGCCCAGGAGTGTGAAGGTGAACGGAAAGGCTCTGGAGCAACGAACAGCCCTTGCTGTCTCTGCCAGGCCGGTTCCCCTCTCTCCACTGGGGTTCTCTGCCTCTAACCCTGTTACAGGGGCTGAGTCACTGGCTTGCTGGTGCTCTTTCATGCCGTCCCTAGGAGGGGTGCGTCACTTGAGTGGGTTGAGTTACTGACGTGATCTTCCTGTCTGGGTTGGCGCCCCCCCTTGGTTTGTGCTGTGGTGGAGACCTCTGTGGGCTATACTCGGCCTTGTCTCAGGATTGTAAGTTGGTGGTTGAGGATATCCCTCTAGTGGTGCGGGGGCTGTGCTTTGGCAGAGTGGGTGGGGTTATATCCTTCCTGTTTGGCCCTGTCCGGGGGTTTCTTCGGATGGGGCCACAGTGTCTCCGGACCGCTCCTGTCTCAGCCTCCAGTATTTATGCTGCAGTAGTTTATGTGTCGGGGGGCTGGGGTTAGTTGGTTATACCTGGAGTACTTCTCCTGTCTTATCCAGTGTCCTGTGTGAATTTAAGTATGCTCTCTCTAATTCTCTCGTTCTCTCTTTCTCTCTGAGAATCTGAGCCCTAGGACCATACGTCAGGACTACCGGGCATGCTGACACCTTGCTGTCCCCAGTCCGCCTGGCCTTGCTGCTATTCCAGTTTCAACTGTTCTGCCTGCGGTTACGAAACCCCTACCTGTCCCAGACCTGCTGTTTTCAACTCTTAATGATCGGCTATGAAAAGCCAACTGAGAGACCTGAGCCCTAGGACCATACGTCGGGACTACCGGCCGTGGTGACTCCTTGCTGTCCCCAGTCCGCCTGGCCTTGCTGCTATTCCAGTTTCAACTGTTCTGCCTGCGGTTATGGAACCCCTACCTGTCCCAGACCTGCTGTTTTCAACTCTTAATGATCGGCTATGAAAAGCCAACTGAGATTTATTCCTGATTATTATTTGACCATGCTTGTCACTTATGAACATTTTTGAACATCTTGGCATGGTTCTGTTATAACCTCCA